CCTATCCTTCCTCATCTCCCTTTACCTTTCTTTCCTCAATTCGCCCTATCACCGTACAGTTGCCCTCTCCACTTCTCTCATCTATTCAAGTCCACTCGACTCACATTCTAGCATGAAGCATCACTCGGACAGTCTTGACTCTGCGCTGATCAAGTCATTCACCAAAGTCGGTCGACGCATTCACCACGCCATGGCCACCGCTTCCTCATTCATACTCGGCAGGATTTAAGGCTCTCGTGCACAAACCATTGCGCAATTAAGGAAGGTACACTTTCGATGTAATCGTTCTCCTTTGTCACAATCATATCGGCTGTCAACAGGATGTGGTCGTCTGAGTAGCACCACCGTCTCAGCCCTCGATGACTTGCATTCCATCTCTCTCATTGCTTCTCAGGGTATCGCGAGTATAGCCTCCTGGTGCTCTGTTATGGGAATGAAGGCGGCATAGTCACTGCTGGTTCCTTAACCTGCTGAATGTGCCTCTTCAGTAGTATTTTGCTTTTGCACTACCCTAGCCAGGGATCTTTGCATCAATCTGCTTGGACCTGGCGCGGACTTCTGTTTACCCAAACTGTCGACAAAATGAGAATGTCTTGCGACTCGAGGGCACGGTTGAGGGTTCTGTGGTTTCTTCGTGGTCTAACACTACCTGGGGATGGTCGGTATGGTGTGGGGTAGGAGAGTATTTATGTAGTTGGTTAGTGGCTTCGGTGTTTTCTGACCACTTTTTTTTTGTCTCCCTTCTTTTTTGTTTTTTTCTCTCTCGAACTAGGGCCGCACAAGAGGACAAAGGTCACTGACAGAACAATTGACGAGCGAGCAGGGACTTGGACAAGAATAGCGTATTCTCGACATGATCATTTCCCATCGGCAATACTCAGTCGGGTATCAACAAGGTCAAATAGAAGCATAGTTATCGGGCGGGCTGCATGGCGCTGATAGCAAGAGGAAGGATTAAGGGTAGGAGGAAGAGCTGATGGTAAGACGAAGGACTAATGGCAAGAGGAGCTGATGGCAACGAGGCAGTAGGAACGGGAGACCCTGCCTTTGTCTTCTCGCGACAATTACAACTTGGAGAGGTGTCTGTATGTGTTTTTTTTGGGCTATTGAGTGCGGCATTCAAGAAAAACTGGACATAGGAATGTCCCTTTGATCATCAAACGACTCTATCTTTCTCTTTGTACTTTTCAGGCCAAGGCACCTCATTGTTTACCATAGATAATAGATATATGTATTTGCTTCTCTCCGTTGCTCTTTTAAATAGTGTGACAAGACCTACTGCTACTTTTCATCTAACAAAGATATTTGAATGCAATAGGCTTTTGAAATAAGTCTCAGGTCGTTTTTCGAGTCGCTGTCAATAGCAGTGGAGGACGCATGGCCCTTCAAACCCACCGATTTGACGTTTTGTCTTGGGGTTGTTGTCCGATGCTCACTCCTGTAGTCCCTTTGCCTCTTTCCGCTGATACTTGGACGCTTGGGTCTACTGGCACCCTGATTCTTTGTGCTTCTTTGTGGCCTTGTCTTACGAAGGCTTGTAGGACCGGCCAATCAACCTTTTGTAAAGGATGGCGTCTTCACACCACATATCCACCGCCGTACTATGCATTTTCTTTTGATCGAACAACTTACGAGCTTGGTGGCCCATTTCCCCCATAAGTCCACTAGGGAGGCCATCCAAATCCCGCTCCACGAACCATAGACTGCTGTATAATAATATCTGTCAACACCTTTTAAAACAGCGTGTTACGTGAGAGTACATCAAATCTCAGCACCTTTTTCCTTCCACCAATCTCCATTTTCTACATCCGCCACCACCACTACTTTGTAATGTCATCCACTTTAGCTGAGAATGCCCTGGACATGATCATCTCATATTGGATTGGAAATTACTATCTGCAATATCCAGGATCCAATATGAGATGATCATGTCCAAGGCATTCTCAGATAAAGTGGATGTAGAAAATGGAGATTGGTGGAAGGAAAAAGGTGCTGAGATTTGATGTACTCTCACGTAACACGCTGTTTTAAAAGGTGTTGACAGATATTATTATACAACAGTCTATGGTTCGTGGAGCGGAATATGGATGGCCTCCTAAGTAAAGTGTAAAAAGGCTCACATTCAACTTTGTCAGGTAATGGCGTTAGGAAAGAGGAAAAAGAACGTGGTGCTTCAGGTCATACCTTTTGAAAGAACAGCAGAGAGAGAATAGGAAATACATATATTTATTATCTATGAAAAGCACTGAGATGCCTTCTCCTGAAAGTACAAAGAGAGAGATAGAGTCATTTGATGATCAAAGGGACATTCCTAGGTCCAGTTCTCCTTGAATGCCGCCCCCGAGAGCCATAAAAAACATACACACCTCTGCAAGCTGTAATTGTCGCGCGAGAAGACGAAGGCAGGGGTGTCTTTTTCCAACTGCTTCGTTCCCATCAGTTCTTCCTTTCGCCATTAGTCATTCCTCTTGCCATTAGCGCCATGTAGCCCACCAGATATGCATGTTCCTGTTTGACCTTGGTAATGTCGAGCGCCGTTAGACTTCCTCATGCTCTACTATGATGGCTGGATTCCTGTATGCTTCTGCATAGTTTATGGAGAAGAGGTGAGGGACATGATTGAATACACAGAGTCAGTGACACTCTGTCCGCCAGTCCTTGTTGATACCTAACTGAATATTTTGGAAAGGAGAATGATTACGTCGAGAGTGTGCAGTTCTTGGCCATGTTCTTGCTCGCTCGCCAACTATCCCGCCAGCGTGCTTTGTCCTGTTGTTTGGTCCTAGCTTGAGAGAGAAAGTAAGAAAAAAGAGGAGAGACAAAAATGTAATCAGAAAACACCGAAGAGCCACTAACCAATTACATATATACTCTCCCATCCCATAACCATATCGACCATTCCCAGGTAGTGTTAAACCAAGAAGAACCACAGAACCCCAACCGTGCCCTCGGGTCGCAAGACAATCTCATTTTGTCGACAGTTTGGATAATTAGAAATCCCCAGGTCCAAGCAGATTGATGCAGAGATACCTTAATAAGGTAGTGCAAGCAAGTTAACGTTCCCTTAAATTTTGCGAGGATAATGAGGAAGTGGGACAGGTCAATCGAACAACGCGGATAAGGCAAATTAAGGAAGGATAAGGTAAAGAGGGATTACGTAAAAAGAGTGAAAGTAAAGAGGGTGAAAGTAAAGAGGGTGAAAGTAAAGAGAGAGAAATTAAAGAGAGAAGGCGAAGAGAGAGAGGGAAGGAGAGAGGGCCAATAGGAAATAGGGATTAAAGGGAAGAAGGAATGGACTCAAGGCCAGTGCGGTGAGTAGGGAAAAGGAAGAGGTACCTATGCAACAGTACCCCTGCTAAACACAAAAAAGAAAAACGTCATGCAGACATGGAGGCAAAACAATCGATGGAAGCAAAAAGGAAGCTAGGCAAAAACAAGGGGAGAACCAGGAACGTAGTGCCAGAGACAAATAAACATGAAATGATCACAGGGCCTTGGTACGGGCCTTCTCCTCTATCTGCCTCGTAACCAAATATGGTACTCACTCGAGATCAACGTCTCTTGCCTCGCCCTTTTAAACTTGCAAAGGAAGAGGAGGGAAAGCGCACTGACTTGTAGAAGAAGGGAGAGAAAGAAAGTGGAGCCAGACAGCCTAATGTGTTGGCAACACCAAGAATCAATTCATGAATACTGCTATTAATTGTACAGCTAATACAGCTAATAAACTTCACCGCTGCTTCTAAAAACTCTAGGGCGAAGAGAGGAGACGAAATCACGAAGATTAACTTTGGGCTATGGTATTAATGAGCGAGTTACAAGCAATTGATGAGATATAGTTAATGATGGGAGATCGGGATAGGAAGTATCGTCAAAGAAATAGAAGTACCACAGGCTCCCATTGCTAGATCCTTCTCCTCTAAAAAAGATCAGGGTTACGCAAGATTCGTCCGTACCCTTGCAGATTGGATACGAAAGTAAGGGTGGGTAAGATAATAGTTTTAAGAATACATCCAATTCAAAGGGCGAATGAAAAAAAAAAGATGATTGTGGAAGGACAAAAATGTTGTTTTTGACATATGCTTTTTTTTTTTTGTTTTTGTCACCCTTCCTCTCTCCTTCTCCCTCTGTCGCTCTGTCCCTCTGTCCCTCTGTCCCTCTGTCCCTCTGTACCTCTCTCCTTATTACCCTCTCTCTCCACTTCTTCGATTGAAAGCCAACGGTCGTGTGAACATGGAAGGGGCCGCTCCCTTTAGTCTTTTGGCATATTAGGCATATTTTAAAAAATGTCCTCGCCCATCGAAACATTCAATCCCTTCCTCGTCAATTGGAATACGTTCATTGGGTACTCGCATGAAAAACAACAGGAGAGAATAATAAAGATAATTTGGCTGTCCCTGAGGCCCAAAAACAGAGGAGGGGATAGCACATTTTATTCGGCCGTTGAAAAGAGTAACCATCATCCTTACCACAAGTACAGTCTAGTCTTGACGCGAACCATAGGCAACCATGTCTGTCCGTCATTGCTGTCGACAACACTTTCCAGCAATATCCCTCGAGCTCGTCTGTCTTGTCCAGAAGGGTTTACAGCGAATTTTTTCAATAGTGGAATAAGCGAAAAACACCCATAGAATAGACAATTAATTCAGTCAGTAATAATAACGAGTGTGCAGCCAAGGTGTTCCGTTTTCTTCGGTTTTGTTTACGTAGCGGTGAGGCATTTTTGCATGAACGGCAGGGGATATCCTCTTGGGTAGCCCTGTGTCTTTCACCGCTGTTGTCGTTGAACGGCAGCCATCACGCAAACAGAGAGGGGATAGAGGGATGTTTTCCATTTCAGGTTCAAAGGAGGACAGACAAGTAAATGTCCAGTGCCTCAGCTCATTCATAATTCATTTTCCTGTATAAACGGATAACCTCCCCTCCAAAAGCGACCTTTTTTCTTCTTTCCTCTCGACCTCATTTTCATTTTCACTCGTCATATCTCCTTGTCGCTTACTACGATGAACTCCAGCAGCTCCATCCAAAACTCTCACAACAACGACAAGGCCCTCAACGACAACCATCCAGCACCCAACAGCACCGGCCTTCCCATCTTCTACGACTGTGGCAGCGACGGCGAAGGCAGTTGTGGTGCTGGTGGCAGCAGCGGAGACGAGAACGATTACGGCCAGAAGGTCGTCCAACGCCAACCAAGACGGCAGCGCACCCCACCACCACCTCTCAAGACCATCATCGACAAGGCCGCCAACAAGACCTACCGACAGACCCATCTTCTGGGCGAAGTAAGTATTAATTGATGACCCACACAGCTGTCGTACCTCAATCCACTAGTCGAAAAGCTGCAGTGCTAATCCTGATTTCGATCTTGTCTCTAATTTTTGTTTCGATTGCTTAGGGTTCGTTCGGACAAGTTCATGTGGCTGTCGACGAGAAGGGCGAAAAGGTCGCTCTCAAGACCTTTAAAATATTTGACATGGAGGAGGCGGATGTAAGTATTTGGTTTCTGCTACTGCAAGTGTGTATGGAAGTTTGACTGAGTCGAGTCTTGTATTCTAACCATATGTGTGTTCTCAACATTTCCTTCCAGGCTGAGCAAGAGTGGCAAGCGTGCAAAACGATCCTCGACCACCAGCCCCACCACCCCAATGTCGTCGCCCCCATCAGTTACTTCAAGGACGGAATGTTCCCTTGTTTGACGATGGAGCTGTGCTCCAACAAGGTAAGAGAGAATGATTAGAATCCATCTGCGATTGCCATGTACATATTGGCGAGGACAATAACCCTGACGCCAATCTCCCTTTAAATACTCCTACCTATCTAGAACCTGGACACCTTGTTGGAGGCCAGGAGAAGTCTTCAGGAACACGAAGTCCGGTATTTCGGACAGCAACTGGTGGCCGGCGTGGCTCACTTACACAGTTTGAACCTGGTCCACCATGACCTGAAACCACTCAACCTCTTGCTGACAGAGGAGTTGGTGTTGAAGGTCGGTGACTTTGGTCAAACGCGAGATCTGAGAGAGGGCAAGGAGTTCCGGTAAGATGATACGATTATGATATGTACAAGTAAATGTTGTCTTAACTCAAGCATGCTCTCTTCAATTCAAACATGGAGCATGTTGCTAACATACCTGTACCGTTGCTTACTCATGTACTATTGCTTACGCACATTAGGAATGTGGTCGGAACTCCTGGCTTCCAGGCCCCCGAGGTTCTCAATCGCAAGGGGCACACCTACGCCCTGGACGTGTTCGCCATCGGGGCCATCCTCTTCAGGATGTTGCTTGGTGTCACGTACCAGCTCCCTGGCAAGAGGAAGCCTCTTAATATTAGCGTAAGCATTAGTCCCAACGCTAGGGACTTGCTTGAGAGAACCCTCGAGAGCGATCCTGGGAGCCGGATCGCGATGCCCGATCTGCTGGCTCACCCCTTCCTGACCGACGGGCCTGTGCCGCAGAGTGTCTCCTGGGACATTTTGCGCACACCTGCTCCCCTGCCAACCGAGGACGACGCATCAGACCCTGATGGCGCTTATCAGGTTGAGATTATCAAGTCGCAGGAAGAGGAGGATGCCAAGACGCCGGAGGAGCAGATCGGGTCCCAGTTGGACGATTCCGTGAAGGAGGAGGGGGGTGAAGAAGAGGAGGAGGCCGCCCAGACCTTGGAGGTGGCCGAGCCCTTAGAGCCAGTCGTCGACCTTGACGACATTGACCTCGATGACATTTTTGAACAGGTCGAGGAGGCAAAGAAGGCCAAGAGAGCCAAGAAGGTCTTGGAGGACGACTCGGACGACTCGGACGAGGAGGGGACCCAGACCCAGGAGGAGGCCACCCAGACCTTGGAGGTGGCCGAATCCTCAGAGCCCGTCGTCGACCCTGACGACATTGACCTCGACGACATTTTTGAACAAGTCGAGGAGGCAAAGAAGGCCAAGAGAGCCAACAAGGTCTTGGAGGGCGACTCAGACGATGACGACTCGGACGAGGAGGAGGCCCAGACCCAAGAGGAGGCCACCCAGACCTTGGAGGTTGCCGAATCCTCAGAGCCCGTCGTCGACCCTGACGACATTGATCTCGACGACATTTTTGAACAGGTCGAGAAGGCAAAGAAGGCCAAGAGAGCCAAGGAAGTCTGGGAGGGCGACTCAGACGATGACGAGGAGGAGGAGGAGGAGGAGAGAGTCAAGGGCCGCAAGAAGGCCAAGGTCATGCAGAAGGGAGCGACGAGGGAAGAGAAGGCACCGGAGGACAAGGACGGAGGTCATGGTGGTGACCAGGATTACTGGCACACCTACCTCCGTCGGTAAAGGATGCCTTCAGAGATTCCCCTGCCTCTGCCGCTCCTTGTATGATGACCTGTCGTGTATTATGTATATTATGTATATTATGTATACTATGTATATTAAATTGTATTATATCATCAGAAACGAAGTGGTTGAAGTTGTTGTTGTATGTATATATGGCCATGGTGCGAGAGGATGCAAAGAAACGAAATGATGAGGCGTTAAAAAGGTCAACAAGAAAAAGAAGAGACATAGCGCGACAAGTTGCAAAAGAAATGAAAGGTGGAACGTTCAAAAGGTCAACAAAGAAAAGAAGTGACATGGTGCGACAAATCGACAAATTGCAAAGAGATGAAAAGGTGAGACGTTCAAAAGTTCAACAAAGAAAAGAAGTGACATGGTGCGACAAATTGCAAAGAGATGAAAAGGGTTCAAAAAGCCAGCAAGAAAAAGAATAGACAAACGATGTGATGATGTTCAACTCTGTGGAGTGTCCTTTTCATCTGAAATGAAAAGAATGCTCTACTGACAGAAAATCGATTAGTACCTGCAGAGTCGACCGTTGTTGTGTCGCACCAGAGAGTACTATCACTTTTATTAAGTGTTGTTGTTTGAGGTGGAGGTGGTGATGGTGTCGAGAGGAAAGAGGAAGGTATTAGGGGTTCATCCAAGTATCAGCGGAAGATTCTCCAAGGAACTACTAGAATGAGCATAGAATAATAACCCAAAACAAAAAAATCAAATCGGTGGGTTTACGGGACGATGAGTCCTCGCATAGCGATGACAGCGACGAAAGGCGATGCGGATCGAAATATTCAACTCCCCATTTGACACTTGCAACCATGCAAAAAATGCAACCATATGCCTACCGGTTTTATAAGCCAGGGATAAAATAAAAAAAAACTGTGCGCCTTAAGTTCTCGAGACGCCGTACAGAAAACCGGCCAGACTAGGTGTTATAGGAAGAGCCAACAAGTAGCGGAGTGGTACAAACAATTACGAACCTAGGAAGAACTTTTGCGAAGAAAAAGCGAGTGGGACATGTGTGCACACCTTGGTACGAGGAAGAAATGCCAACGTTTCACATCCCGTGGCGATCATTGGATGCCACCAACAGTAACCATGACCTGACTTTCACCATCAGAATAATATTGAGTTAAAGCATCAGTGCTCTTAAAAGGAAAATTACAAATTGATCCACACAAAGCCCATAATAACAGCCGCCTCGAAATCTGATGAAGGTTGATATTCGAATTCCATTGAAAAGATACAATTGAACATTCAAGATGTTTGCTGGTTTGAACAGAAGGGTATATTTTGTAGAACGAATTTGTTGACTAGCAGTATCGAAGAATGAGCTCGGTTCCAGTTTCCAATGGTTCAGCTGCACAGATGACGACTTTTGGTCCTTGGAGTCCTGGTCCAACGACGGTCCTGGCATAGACGGTGCGCTTTTGTTGTGGGTTGTTGTCCTGCTTGCGAAGGTGTCGGTGCTCGTTCCTGATGTATCTCGCCAGCCCTCCTCGCATCGTGGCGTCGATCACTGCATCCTGGAACTCGCACCACATCATGTAGCAGCTCCGGCCTTGGCTCTGGTACGACTCTTGACGACGGACAGCAATTGAAGGGTGGACTACCTCTCCTGTGTACTCCATGATCACTTCATCCGACTTGAATGAGCATGTCGTGTAAACGCGCACATCCCCGTGTGCCTCCGGAAGGAGCCTCAACGACACCGCTGTGCTGGAGGGTTGCTTTGCTTGGGAGCCTCCTGGGTATAAATGCATCTGAGTAGTCCCGTCGACCTCCATGCCCTTAGGTGTCTGAGCTGAAGGCTCCTTATCATTGTCCACTCCATCTGCAGCTGGGAGGGGCTGCCTCTCTGGACTTTCAGAGGGTTGGGCGACGGGGGTCAAGACGGCTCTGATCTGAGATGACACCATCTTCCGACCATTCCAAAAAAGGGCGACGTTCTTCATCTGGTCCGCGCGCAAGGTTTGAAGCTGCTCCATATTCATCTCAAGAGCAGGTAGAGTCTTCTCGTCCTCGGGTTCAAGAAGTGAGTCTTGTCGCTCCTGTTGCTGGTGCGACTTGGTGAGGGCCACTTTGTTCGATCCAGTCGGCGCTATACCATCAGGGCTGTTGTTGGAAGATGTTGAGGTGGATGCTTTGATGAGTTCCTGCAAGAGCCCAGGCACCAGTATAGTTTCCTTAATGTCCGCATCCTTCAGCTCGGCCGCACCCGACGACGAAGGGTCTCTGCCGCGAGCGATTCCGATACGAGAGACCCTCTTCCTCAACAACAAACTGCCCGTCCTCAATCGAACCCTAGCGGCGGTAGTTGACTCCCAATCGCTGTTGTCATCTTCCTGAGAATCTCTGCCTTGATGACGCCGTGACTGGTTGCTGCACCCTCCCTTGCTGCATTGTCTGTCGACTGCCCGTCGGACTTGTCGGTAACGGGTCCACATCCTTGAAGCGACTTCCTTTTCGCCTTTCTTTGCTCGGATCGAGTTGCGGACCAAAGGATGGTCAATCCCGAAGAACGCGTCTGCAGAATGAAGGTAGAGCCCATACTGTTGCGATGATTGGTGCTCGTTATCTAGGTCGCCGCTGGAGAAGCTGATGATCCTGTCCACTGCATCTACAATATGTAGTAATGTTTGATAACGTTATGTTAGCTATGATAACATGTAACAATGTCTGCCGACGTAGCTCACCCTCCATAGGCACCGATTAATCAGTACCTTGCATTGAGTCTGCAAAAAACTCGCAATCTTGAGGTGGACCATAGCCAGAGAACACCATCATAATCTTCCATGCAGTATCCAACTCGTCTGAACCAGGGTGCGCCAAGTCACCAGCCTCAGTGGATACCACTGTCTCAACAGAACCTTGAGGCTGCCGCCGGCGTTGGACAACCTCCGCAGTCGTAACGCAAAAACGATGTTCGTTCAGCACAATTCTTCTCGAGCATTTGAAACCCAGAGGCAACGCCAAGACTCGATCTCGAGGCCCCAGGTCCGCCAAGGGCTTATCAGAGACCATCTCATAACAAGCTTCCAGATCCACATCGTTCGCGAGTCCTGTCTCGCTGTACACTGACTCGGGTGAGTCGAACTTGCCAAAGGTGTGAATGGTGAGTCCTCCGATCCTGAACCCATCAATGCTCGTCTCCTGTACGACCGATTCTGGGGCATCAGCGTTCTGCAAAGCCAACAACGAGTTCTTGATCCAGTAAGGCCCCGTCCATGCCGTACGTAGAGTAACAGGTGGCACAAGAGGGTTGGAATGGGCGGAAGGAGCAGAGCAGTCGGAGGATGGTACAGATGACTCAAGTGCGTAAGCAGTTGATCGCAGGTTGTTCAGTGTCGAGATCTCTCGGTAGTGCATTGAGCACAATATCGTCCGCTGCTTGTGATCCATGACAACAGCGTTGTTGGATGACTGCCCTTGATGTTGTAGCTGATCTAGATGGCTTACACAAGTGTAGTGAAACGTTGCTGTACACGCGTTCGGATTGTCGGTGGCCTTGGAGGCCGATGTCTTGCACTTGATTGTTGCTCCTAATCGTCCGCAAGAGCTACAGCACTGAAAATTACAAATGCAAGTAAACGATTGTTAGCATGAAAAATCGTCACGATATGCAATGAAAAAAGGAGATGAATTACGTACGACGTCAAGGCTCTGGCTGACAACGCGAGAGACATTCTCCATGCCGCCTCTTGTTGCCTCCAATGTGACGCCCGTAGACCATAGGGCGCAGTTAGAATGTATCCAACCAGTCAATGTACTCGAGTCAGTGTCTTGTCGAGAATGGCCATAGCTCTGTAGGGTGAGTGGAAGCAAACGCCCCAATACCGAGTGGTCACTGGCAGCAGAACCACTGCGTAAGCTAGGTCCATGATGACAGAGCAGACATGTCCGCGTGTCGACAACATCGGCCAGACTCCCCGTCGTTGGTACAGCTTCTGACGAAGAACGTCGTTGAAAAGTGTGGTGAGGTGGCACAAGCGGTCGATAAAGGTCAGGATGCGTTCCGTTCTTGCTTGACGACATCAGCAGTGCCTTGAGGTCCTGCTCCTCGCTCGCACAGGGAGATTGCAGTCCAGCGCGTCCTTCCTCCATAACAACATCCCCCGGCTCCATGGCTTGCTCTTGTCGTGAAGGCAGCTTCGGCTGTGCCGACATGAGTTCCAGCTCTTGTCCGATATGGTGATAAGGAATAGTGGGACGAGAGTATGACCGACTGTTGAAGTAGTCCTCCTGCGGAAAGCCATAGCGATCGCGTGAGGATCCAGTCGATTCTTGATCAGATGACGGCGTATAACCCATGGATCCTACCAGTAGTGCGTGGTCGTTAGGGCTGTTGATGACTGAGTAGTGACGGTCGTAAGGTCCATTGAAACTTGGCTCAAATGGCGACGGAGGATACGATGTATAGGGTGTCGAGCTGATGGGTGTGCTTGCTCCACTAAAGATCGTAAGTAAAGCCTCGGCTGCCGCTACCTCCGCCACCGACTCCAGGGAAGTAGACATTGTCCTGGAGTGCGTAGTCGGAAACATGGGGGCGTAGGAGGTGTAGGGCGATGTATTACGAGACTCCGAGTCCGATATCTCCTTGGCCGCTTTCAGAAGATCGAGAATGTCGTCCTTCTTCTTACTGCTCCTGATGTGCCAATCGTCCTCGTTGTAGGCCTGCATCTCCTTGCTGCAGTCAAAACAGCTCGCGGCACCGAACAATCCGTGACCGCAAGTACCAGTCCAAGAGCTCTCATCGTTTGAGTGTGCGGTCGACAAGATGGATGACGAAGAGGAAAGCGCCGGCGACGGTATCGGCGTGGGTATACACGACGGGCAGATGTACTGCTTAGAGTCCTCGCCGAGCTCCTCATAGTCGCGGTCTTCAAGGCCTTTGTCACAAGCGACATGGACCCAATGAGAACAACCGTCGCAAAATATCATTGGGGTCTCGTAATCGTCGTCCTGGTAGATGGTACAGCAGAGGGGGCAGACGTTGCCTTTTTCCTCAAGTACTGTGCAAGAGGGGCAAAGGGCAGAACCATGAGACCATCGCCCCTCTGCCGTTGCCGGTCCTTGGGTATGCTTGTCCACTGCTGAGGTCTCGTCGTCGCCTTCTCCTGCCTGTCCAGAAGCTCGTTCAACGCGATGCCCACACTCTACGCATTCTCTGCAGGCTAGACACATCCACTCCTGAGTGTGCCGGTTGGCGGGCGACCGTAGTGCTGGTTTGAGGGCTGGTTCCACCACCACTTGACATTGAAGATGAGTGAACTCGTGGCAGTGATCGCATACCAAGGCCTTGATCGAGTCAGTCTCCACCAACGGTATAGCTTCCGATGATGGGGAGCCGACAGATACTGAGGCAGGCGGTTGCTCATGGACAGACTTTTCACAAAGCCGACATGTTGTGCAACGAGGGCAGCGCCAGGACTCATCCAGTACGGACGTGTCGCGATCTCCAGGGGAATCAGAGGGAAGACAGTCCATATGGTAGCACTCTCCGCAATCAAAACAGCGTCTCATTACGTCCCGATCGGCCTTGATGTCACCCACTTCTGGCTCAGTCGACTCCGCACTTGACCATTGGTGACTCTGGTTGGAATGGCGTCTGTGAGATCTTGGTGTCGAACCAGAGCCACCACAGAGAACACAAAACTCCATGTGCGCCATGGAAGATGTCAGCTGCAAAGGAATGGCAACTGGGACCAGCGACAACGGTCTCAGTGTTCTCAAGGCTGACAATCGAGATGCTGAAGAATGTCTCCGCTTTGACTCCTGTTCCTGACGTCGCCTCTCAAGACTTTCCAGTGGTATAATGCCTTTGTGTCGGCTCCACCGAGGTTGATAGGGGGTCCTCCGTCGCTCAAACCCATCATACGTAGGCGACATTAGGTCATCCTGCATCGAGAAGAGGACTCCAGCCGCTTCCCAACGCAATTGACGATCCTGGAGCAGGTCTGACGATACCATCCCTGAGAGGTCGGAAACGGTTCTCTTTCTTGGTCGAGTAGGCTCGGTCTTGCCTTTGTAACTGCGAGTTCCAGTGGTTGTGACTCGTAGTCCTGCCGCCTCTCCTGAGCGTGCCAATGGCCGTTTCCGCTTCTTCCTATCCAACGAATCCGCATCTAGGTAGGTCGCACAAATAATAAAAATGGTTAGCAACTAAACTCAATGACCATGATGAAATACAACATACGGCATCCGATGCAAAACAAAACACCATCCATACCTTTGCCTCCTCGTCCTGATGAGGTGTCGTCTGCAGCCGCCAGAGCTCCGTCATCTGTCATCTCAGCCAGATACTTCTTCCTGAAGACATCCAGCGAGGCCTCCGCCACTCCCAGTCCCTCGTACTTCTTGGAAAGCTCGGAATCTTGGTGAATTGGAACTTTAATCGCCGACCACCCATTGACTGCCACCTTCCCTGTCCTGCCTCCCTTGACCATCGCTGTCGCCCAGGCACTCGGTGTCTCATACTCATCCTGAAGCCAAGGATAGATCGCCATTGCATCGGGCTCTTTCATCTGAGGGATCAGAGTTCCTTTGGCCGTGATGATGGCACTATGCTCCCGGAAGACAACCAGCGTTTCTGCAGGGAGGTAGCCGTTGGACACAAGGTTGTAAAGGGTAACACGAAGTTGGGAGGCTGGTTTCATCGTTGGTGACTTGAGGCCGACAGGCGTTTTGGTGGAGGAAGACGATTGACTGGCAGTTGGGAGCGAGGGCGAAGGAGGCGGCTGCACGTGGGATCGCTTTGCCTTTGAGCCACGCCCCCTTGTTCCGTGGTCGTGCACGCTTGAGATCTCCGAGTCTGACAATTGATTCAGATGGATCGTACTATGTGAGACTCCGAAGCCATTCTTCATACGGTCCTGGGTCAACAGAGACTCTGTCGAGCAAACCGAGTACGGACGCGCTGTTGTTGTTGCTCTCCGTTCTCTGGGGACCGTGATCTTGGAGAGGTCTCGACCAGAAACACCGTATGGTCCTGAGGAGGAGATTGTCAGGGCTGTCAGAGAGTTGGCTGTCGCAGTGATCGGACTTGCCAGGGGAGAGGACACTGAGCGATTTAATCCAGGAGAAATCGACTCGAGGTTAAGGTCGCTCTGAGAACGGCCGTGTCCTGGAAGTCGAGGAGGAGGTGGGCGCTGTAGAGACCGTTTTCCCGTGCTCCCTGTGGTCCTAAATACGGGAGACGAGACTGGAGTTGCATCCTGAGAGTCTCCTGTGGATTGGCCCGAGGGTCGGTGTTGATTCCACTGGTCCGAGGCGGCTCCATCCGAGTCGTGCAACCTGTGAGGCTGGCTGTTGCTTGAAGAGGAGAAGGTATCCAGTGGTAAGGGCTTCTCGTCGTCCTGATCCGCCTCCAAGTCCGAGTTGATTCTCTGCCGCTGCTCTCGATAGGGACCATGTGAACGGGTTGTGGAGTGGATTGTCGACCGCCGTGGACGCTGCTCCGGTTGTGTTGTGAAAGCAGTCGAGCTGTTGGTCTGATCCAGTTGCATCCTCTGAGGTGGCATGGTGTTTGACAATGCTTCTCCTGACTGAAAAGGTAGACCGTGTCCGTCCCTCTGTGAACTTTTCCGATCTCCAATTGGAGAATTAGACTACAGGGATCAGAGAAACAAGTTTGGTCAGAATCCAAAGTGTTTCCTCTGTCAAGTGAGGACTAGCAGGAAATGGACGCGTTGTTGGCAGTACAGAGTGTGTGTTGAGGGTGGAATTAGACGATCTTTGAGGCTGGAGGAGGAAGATGGGGTGTTGAATGCAGAGCGTGTGGTGTGTGTGTGTGGGTAATTGATCTTGCCGAGATCGTTTTGTCGTTTTGCCAGGAGGGTTGAAGTCAATAGGTGGTTTGAGAACTCACATTGCGAGAATCTGTTTCTTTGAGTTTCTTTTGTCTGCAGCCAGCCAGTGGGTTGGACAAGAAGGAAAGTGTGGACTGGAGCAGGAAAGCCAGGGGAGAGAATAAGGGGAAGAAAGAAGAGCAAGCAAACACACGCGACCGGGAGTGGGTCTTACATGCAGCCTGTGAAAGGAAGAGGAAGGGAGGATCGAATGTAAACGAGGAAAGGAGGCAGAGGGGGAGAATGCGTGTTGATGGTGTGCGAGGTTGCTGTGATGGTGGAAGAGGAAGAAAGGATGTCGAATGAAGGAGGAAGCAAGAAGGACGGAAATGGGCCAACAGGAGAGAGGGAAGTGGCGTATGAAAGTGAGATGAGTGTGAGTTGAGAAGGGAGAGAGAGACAGAGAACAGAAAAATGAAAAGCAGAGGGTGAGCAACACGAGGGAAATAACAACAACTGCCACTACTACTACTCTACTTACTCTACTGCTACTACTACAACTACTACTACTGAGAAGGGGAACTGTTATTTTTCTGTGCGCGGGAGTGGAGTCGACTCGGTAGGGACAGTAGGAGAGGACGTGGTCCGGCTGGGATACAATTCTGGGCCAAGCAGGAAGAAATTGACTCAGGCAGGGTGCAGCCAAGTCGAGCCATATCTAACCAAAGAGCATATGAGGGCATAGCATAGCATGCTACCTTTTGCCCACGCATAAAATACCGCACACTTCGAGTACGACAGATCAGACATAATTTAGCTCTGTGCTAGAGTGCTAGACAACCCCGAGCCTACCCCATGTCCCACACGCGTCTCTGATACTGATATATCAATCCCCTACGCCTATAGAAACTCTCTCTCTCTCTCTCTCTCCAATGGGAATGACTCTGCAACAAAGACTACTGTGGCACACCTCTCTCCGACTGCTTCATCCCGAGCTGCAGGAACGCGTCATTTCGGCCTCCTCGAAACCATACACCCCTGTCTCTCCCTTTGCCTATCTCTTCTTGTTTACACCTCGCCAACTTTACCCAACAAGCAAAAGGCAGCCGCCTCGGCATCTCCAGCTTCTCGATGGTTCCTCAAAAAGGCCTAGCTTGCAAATGATCAAACTCTTCTCCCAGAAAAAACTCCATTCATGTCCGTTTTTTTCTTTCATTGACGTCGTCACCGCAGCAGAGATAGAAACAGTCATTTGAAAATCGACTTTCTACGCTTCCTGTACTGTCCTTTGTATGCAAACAAAAACATACCGAGGAATAATAACCTTATCGATCCAGTTTCACACACACACACACATACAACAACAAACACGCCCACGCCCATGCTTTCATTCTGACCCACATCTCTCTTCCGCTAATAACTATTCTTTTTGTTCTTTGACGCCTCGCTTATTTTATTCAATTACCTTCCATTGGCCACCGCCGTGATCTGACTAATGATGCCTCCCTCTTTCATGTTCTCTATCCTTCTATCATCCACAAACGCCGTCCCTGTTTTGCTCCTGCGCGACAGCAATTGACTTCCTCCCACAACCCAATCTCAAGTAAACAAATAAAGTCTGTCCCCCTTGTGATCAATTTCCGTCTCTTTTTATTCCCTTTAGTCCTACTTTCTTTTCATTTCTTCAAAACAAGCCATCCCTCCGCATCTCAACTTCGGATTTTTATTCCGCACACCAAAAAAAAAATATGATTGCCACCACAACCTCTCCCACCGACTTGCTCCCAGTCCCAGTCCTCGAGGACTACGATGTCTCGCCCGTCACCGGATTCGTCCCCCACGACCAACCTTTGTCCCGTCTGCCTCAAGCATACTTCCAGCCCTGGGAAGAGACCATGGATCAATTGAACCATCTCATCGATTCCCGTCAGCTCCGGGCCAAGGTGGATCAGTGGCCTGTCTTGGATGTCGCACAGTTGACAACCCTCCGAGAGCGTCAACGCGCCTATGTTGTCCTCGGCTTTGTTGCTCACAGTTACATCTGGGGTTCTGGGCTCGATGTTTCTCAGGTACGCTTGATTATTTTTATTTATTTTCACCCCGCTCACTGTGGCGACAATAGACAATCAATCAGCAGTACGTCCAATTGATGGCCACTCTTTTTTCCCTCCCACTCTGATTTGTAGCACATCCCTGAGCCACTGGCTGTGCCCTGGGTAGCCGTCTCCGACATCCTCGACATCGCCCCAGTCCTGACCTACGCCAGCAACGATCTTTGGAACTGGAAACTTAAAGACCCTAAAGGACCCTTCGAACTCGAGTACGTCAATCTCCTCCCTTCTTTTTTTTTCCGAACGGCAATCGACTGTTGCAGCGGAATAATCAAAATCAAGATACAACATTTTGTTCATTACCCAACCCCAATCTCTTAACTCGGACCTTCCCATTTCTCACACGTTTTTTCTTCTCTCCAAAAAATGGGCACACATAGAAACCTGGAGACATTGGCAACAATGACAGGAACAAAGGACGAGGATTGGTTCGACATTGTCTCGGTCGCCATCGAGATCGCCGCCGGTCCTGCCTTCAAGGCCCTCATTGATGCCATCCACGCCGTTCGAGAGGATAACATCCGGACCGTTATTGAGTGCCTCCACCTTGCCCATGTCCACCTCGACAAAGTCAGCAAGCTCTTGCGTAAGCTCTCTCTCTCTCTTTCCCTTTTTTTTTTTTTTTTTTGTTTGGGTCGAATCGATCGAGTGTTGCGCCCGTATCTAATGCACTTGAAAAATTGACACTTTCTACCCTCCTGACTCTCTGTGACACACACACACACACCCCATCCTCCACACACAAAAACAGCAAGAATGTTCGAGAACTGCAACCCAGCAGTATTCTACTGGAAAATCCGCAAATACCTCGCCGGCTCCGAAGGAACCGCCAACCTCGGTCTCTTCAACGGCCTCCAATACAACGGCGTCAACAACAACAACGAACGCCGCCATTATATGGGCGCCACCGCCGGTCAATCCTCCGTCTTCCCTGCCCTCGATTATTTTTTTGGCGTCACGCACCACGACCTTGATAACCAATCTGGTCACAAATCGGCACCGAATGCCTTATTGTTGAAAATGCGTGGGTTTATGCCCGCTCCTCATAGGGCCTTCTTGGATCACCTTGCCCAGACAGCCAACTTGAGACCTTATGTCCTGTCAAAGACCGCGAACGACGACCCGGAGGGACAGGATGTCAAGGAGTTGATCAGTATCTATGACGCCTGTGTCCACTGCATCAAGTTGTTCCGCGATAATCATATCCAGATCGTCACCCGTTACATCTTGACACAGGCCAAGCGTGGTCCCCCCGAGGGCTGGGAGGATTACCGTGTAAAGGTCGAGGATCAACCACTTGCTGTTGCCAAGGTCGAGGAAGAAAAGTCCAAGACTGAGGAAAAGGCAAAGGAGGTCGAGGAAGGAGCGGGTATGAAAGGTACTGGAGGAAGTGACCTGATGCCCTTCCTCAAGGGTAACCGCGACGAGACCAACGCCGCCAAGATTGTTACTCCCGTCAAGAAATAGAAGGGCGCTCCCTTAGAAAACGGACAAGTAGATAAACATAACACATAAAAGATGAACGGAATAGAGCCATGTTTTCATTTGTATTCCAATTCACAGAAGTCGTTCACCTACAACAAGCAAGCACGAGGACGAAGGAAGAAATGGAAAAACTAAAACTAAAACTAAAAGTCTCCTTGTTTAAGCTACGTATTTGTACAGACTCTGGTCATTCTTGTCACGCTCTAGGTAATCACGGTCAATCAAACTCTCAATGCGCTTCTTCAGGTCCGTTGGCTATATATGTCAAGAAGGAGCAGAAAGAAACGCTTTGTTAGCCACTGAACATTCCAAAAAAAAACCAAAGCTAGTTCAGACGCGACATCAGATATCCAACATAGACTGTCCCTGACAAAACAAAAAATATATACCTTGATTGCGAACTTGAGTTGATCAAAGAGCTCACTGATCAGAAGAGTGTGTGAAAGCTGCTTCCGAGTCTTCATGATGCGAACAATGGCAGCGTCAACTTGGAACTGGCGGTCCTGGAAGATGCGCTCGTTGGTTGAGGCGTTCTCCTCCTGAGTTTCCTTGAGCTGAATCGAGTTGACCTTGATCCTCGTCAGGGATGCCGTAAAGTCCTTGTTGAACTTGAACTCATCCGTCTCAGACACATCCTTCGACTTTGGACTCTTCACCAACACTCTGTACTTTCCACACGCCAACGACTGCAATGTCCTGTTCAACTCCTTTTGCTCTATTATTTCAAGTAAGACGACAGATGATGTTAAAGACGCGATCAAAAGAAAAGGAAGAAAAGGCCTTGCTCACAACCTCATTTCGCACAGGTGGACAATATACCAATATTAGACTGTTGCCTGATGTCCTTGTACGACAGTGACGAATCGCCAGTGTCGTTGAAAAGTAGTACAGTAATCGCTTGGAACAAACTGAGCTGCAGCTCCTTGGTTCCCTGTTTGCCAGAAGAAATGAGAAAGGTGGAACTGTCAGCCATTACTCCCAACGACAGATAGCAGCAGTTCGGCTCTCGCGGTCATAACAAAAAGGTTGAAATGCGGCACGTACCAATGGGAAGTTGGCCTTGACGACACTATGTCCGAGCGAGTTTTGCCAGTTGAGCCGCTTGCCCTTGTGCTTGGATAGATAGAACTCTTTGAACACTTCCTGGCATTGCGAGATCTATAGTTGAGACAGAAAATGAATTATTTGAATTTAATTAACTAGTTTCGCACACTGCACCTCCTTGCATATCCTTCAAAAGTTCGCTCAGGCGAAAACAAGACATACCTGGTCTGGAATATTTGCCTCGGCTGGAGGGTAGGTCGGCCAGTTACCCTGGGTCAAGACGTTGACATTAAGCTCCAGATGACCGATCTTGTTGTGCATTTTGCTGGCCTAATAGCAAGTTGATTAATTAGCTCGTGTACGCAACCCCTGCAAACCCGTCAGCTAGCACCTTCTCGAACAAACGTTCTTCTCTGGTACAAATTCTTACCCTGAAATTGACCATAATGTCCTTGGAAGTATCCATATCTTTAAACATGCCCTCCAACTTTGTTGTGAATCCTGCTCCGCACTCTGTCGTACAACAAATCAATAGGAAATGAGATGGTTAAGCTGATGCTCAACAACTTATATCGTTCAGTTTCTGAATCAAATATGCGAAAAGGCGAATCCAATCATACCTGCTTTCAGCTTGCTCAGCATGCTCTTCTCTGCGTCAAAGGATGCACTCTTATTCAACAACAACCTCTTGGCAAGATCGCGCTTGTAAAAGGCCTCAAAGACATCCTTTCCTTGGATATACCGGAAAAGGATGAGAACACGATCCAGTGTCGACTCCAGGTCCTGATCCGACAATTCCTATGTAATAAAATATGCATAGAATTAAGACATTAGTCAAACCATATGGCCGCAGTGGAGGAAGGAGCAAGGTCATGTGCGCGAATGACGAATACACCCAAGCCAAGCGCTTGCAGTTGTTTACCTTGTTGCCACTGCGCAGTCGGAGGTCCAGATACTTGGCGACCAACTCTGCCGGCTTGTTTTGCCGAATGTTGACGAATGCCTCGAAACACTCCTTGAGAACGTTGAGGAACAGATCCGAGCTGTTGAAGCACTTGCTCACAACCTCGTCAACTCCTTGCTTGAACGTCAACAGCTCTTCGACCATGGTATCGTCCTTTGTTGGATCAATAACCAGCCCCTTACCAGTTTTCTATTCGAGTAAAAGAGTGTATCATCGCTTCTGTTAGACATAATACCCATGAATGGTCAAATCTTGGCAAAGGTCGACATGAGACAGGTATCTACCTTGACGTAGTTTCCAAAGTGGAAGCTCAGCTTCTCTAAACCGTTGACCCTGGCCAAGAGGTCGTACCACAGCTTCAGATCTGCTAGGTTATGAGCAACCATGACACCCTCAAATCCCTTCTGCAAAAGCATATCGTTCCACCTCTCCAGCATCTCTCCTTCGACAGCGCTTATGAGTCCTCGCCTGGTCGACTTGTCAAGGTAACCCTCAAAACGGTGAGTCTCCTCCTTCAATCGCTTATTGGCATGACGCAAGTACTCCGGCACTGTCAGCTTGATCGCATACTCGCCTCCTTCGACGTGGTAAAACGATCTGGACGCCTGCAAGAAGGGCGTCTCGAACAGCGACGTGTACAAGTGAATGTCGGACAGCATGCGCAGCATGGACAGGATCAAAGGCTGTGAGACAGCGTCGCCCGTCCGGTCCATATCGACCAAACTGAGAATGCCTCCAATAACCTTGCTACGAATCTCAGGCTGGCTCATCACCAACGTCCGCCAGAGGTCCAAGCCCATCTCCCAAATACTCGAGACTCCCAGAGTCTGCAAGACAAATGTCCGGTCCAGGTAGAGGAAGATGCTGCGGATCATGATCAGCTGCCGGCAGTGATCGGTCCACGCCCTGTGGACGTGCTCCAGAAAGGGCTCCTTCTCCGTCTGGTCGGCGTTGAGACTCTCGACCACTGTCCTGACATGGCTCTCGACCTCCGCCTTTAGTCTTTTGTAAGTTGAATCGGCGAATTTTTGGTGACAGAGGTTCTCGCAAGTTTTGTATAATTCCTCCAGGGATGATGGGACAGGTCTGGACTCCTGAATAGCTCTGACAGCCTCTTGAAGGACTTTCCAGGTCTCGAGTTCATAGTCCTTGGGTAACTGCGGTGTAACTAAGACAATAAAGGAGGAGTTGCGATCCGGTGGGACAAGATGGCAGCGTAAAGAAGTCAGTCTCAGTCTTGTTCCCATTTCTTATTACAGTTCACACGCGATGGATGTGACAAATTGCTCTTATCTTGACCGTCATGGTCAACGAAAATGCCGTGAGAAGATGCGAGGTTGAAGAGACACTTACCTGTGAAGTTTTTGATAACGAGTTTCTTGATAGGTTGCTTCCCTTGCACACCTGTCCGTCGGACGACCGTAGCAGTCTTTGCGCCATTGACAAGAGTTGCATTTGTGGGTCCAGTCCGTGGACCAGCACGACCCACTCCAATGCCTCCTGAGCTTGAGCCGACGGCTGCGTTGGCGAAAAGGTTGTGTGAGTCGATTGACATGCTGTCTGCGTCGTTGTGTGTTTTGGAAGCTTGGCGTCTACGTTTCTGTTCTTCGATATCCCTGGCGCGCGCGAAGGAGTTTTCAAGAGAGTTGACAGGGAGGACTTTGAAGGGAAGGGCAGAGGAGGGGGAAGAGGCGGAGGAAGAGGAGGACGAGCGTTGGTTTGCAGAGGAAGTTGAGGACGAGGCAGAGGTGCCTTGGGTAGTGGTTGAATCCGAGGGATGCGCGGCAAAGGTGGATGGTTTCCGTTTTTTGCTCGGACTTTCTCCTGTTGTTGTGATAGTGGTGATAGAGGTGATAGGGGACGAGTTGCGCAGGGAGGACGACCGCGCAGCGGCAGCAACAGAAGTTTGGGTTGAGGAGGAAGACGGCGAGGAAGAAGGTTTCAAGGAAGTGGTTGTGACGAGCGGAAGAAAGAAGAAGCGACGAAGGTAAGTGACAAGAAGGTGGAAGAGGACGCAAAGGACCACGATCAGAATGGAGACAATGACGGTGTCCGCGTCGTTGTCGGTGGACATGACTTTTTTTTTTTTTTTTTTTTTCTTCTTTTTTATTACAAGCGACAAAACGAAGGGATGGGGTCGAAAGTGTAGGAGGGGACACCACGCACAAAAGATAAGCGCACACACAGTAAGGTCAAGTATGAAGGGAAGGGAGAAAGACAAAGGGAATCAACAAAAGTGGAATTCACTTCACTAAAGTACAATGAAGTGAAGTACCCCCTCCTCCTCCTTCCTTCCCATGCAGACACACACTTGCACCTGCTCAACATACTCAGCACCCAGACACCCAAAAGACAAAGCAACACCACCAAGTACCACCAAGCACACAAGGGTCAGGAAATAATGAAACCAAGGAAGCGCGCCCCTCACCCTACTACCTTTTTCCACCCCTTCTTGTCAGTCCGTTGTCATGGTTGCTCTCCCTGTGCTACTCTCCCACCCCTTCTTCAAGTTCAAAGTTCAAAGTTGACCCTCAGCATTGCAATTGTGCTCCTCCACGTTTTGCAATTAGTCATTACCTGAGGCAGACGACTGGTGTGAGCTCATAAGATCAGAAGAGTGTAAAGAATGAATATGCTCTCTCCTTTGCAATAGAGAGAAAGGTGATGAAAGGTTGGAAGACTGGAGGGTCTGATTGAATGTTGGGCAGGTAGGTAGGTAGGTAAGTAGGTAGACAAAAGGAGAGAGAACGAACAACAGAAGACCACGAGAGTGAGCGTTATTTGCGCGACAAACGTGTGCCAGTGTCAAACGCAGTCAAACAAGAAGTTGAACTGTGGCTGAGTCAATTTGAGGCTGGACGACCGGTCAGTCCGAAACATCATTTTCTTTATTCAGAACTCGATCAAGGGTTTCTCTTCAACAGGAACAACAGGCGCCGGGGCCGCGGTGGTTGACACAGCAGGTGCAGGAGACACAACAGACAGAGGTCCCTGTCCCTGGCCATACCCCTGTCCTGGAGCCTGTGGGGCATGCTGGTTCACATAGGACTGTTGCTGACTGGAATAAGGTGCGTAAGAGGACTGACCCGCTGAATCCATCAGATTGACGGCGCCTGGAGGGGCTGGTGCATACGCCTGAGCTGAATAGTCTTGATGCAGGTACGGTGCTGTCGAAGGTGCAGGCGCAGGTGCAGAGGCATAATAAGGATCTTGGACGGGCGCAAATGGAGCAGAACTGCCATAGTCAATTCCCGATGAGGCTGCATATCCAGAATTGGGCGCGAAGGGAGCTGTGGCAGGGGGTAATGTTGGCTGATACGATGGCTGAGTTGAGTCAGGGAAGGGTGGGATGTTTTGTTGTTGGTTATAAGGTGCACCAGGAGTGTATGGTGCATATCGAGAGTCGGCTCCAGTTAATTGCGGGTAAGCTTGAGGTGCATAGTCAGATCCAGGTGCGACAGGCTGCTGCATGTGGTCAGGATGGCCATAGTTGTTCGCATTCATCCTGCGCTGATATGTCGAATTGAGTCGTTCTTGGAGTAAATGATCGTAAATCTTGACAGCCTGGTCAATTTTGCCGTTCGCCTGCATTGCCTCCTCTAATGAATGGTAAGGACATGGGAGCGTGATAGGGAACGTGTTAGGAAAATTGAAAAAAACACTTCTGCAAGACAACTACAAGAAATGCAAGTAGCATATATTTAACGTACGTTGTCTCTGGACGGCCTCCTCAAGGCTGGCTGTGACCTTTGCTTGAAGCTTGGTAATCTGCTCATAAAGAACCTGGATCTCTCGATCTCCTGAAACATCGCCGTTCATAGTTTGGATTCTGTCAACAAGCGCCGAGAACATCTCAATGTTTTCCTTGTCCGTTGCTGTCAAGTCATCCGTCGGAGCTGGAGCCGCAGCGACCGACTAGGAAATTTGAAAGGATATTAAGTGATCGGCATGAATGTCAGCATCCGTCTGAGAACGACAACCTAATACACAAAAATCATCTCAGCAGGAGTCAGGTCTTACCTCAGGTTGGGTGGAATAGGTGTAAGCAGTGTAGTTGGACGTGGGTTCATCGTGCTTCTTCGAGGCTGATGCTTGCTCGTTGATGTTAGTCTCTCTCAACGAAGCCTCGATAGCCGCCAGAAGATCCGCATCGTCCTCCTCTCCTTGTGCAGCTGCCGAACTTTGGGCAGGTTGAGTGGTCTGGCGGGCAGAGGGAGCAGAGAAGCCAGGTCGAGAATTGGCTTCCTTCAATGACAATTCGATCGCCTTCATAATGTCATCGTCCTCACTCAAGTTATTGGCTGCCGCAGTGTTTGATGAGGTCGATGGCGCCGAGATTGGGATACTCGATCCTAGATCAGTGTACGAATCTAGATCATAGGGATCCTTAGAGGGTATGTTCTTTTGACCAAGTTTCCTCTTTGTCCAGCATCCATCACAAACACGGACTTCCTGAGTAACTCCGAGCTCGGGCAGCGCCATGTTCTTGCTGGAACACTGTCCGCAGTATGTGTGGCCACAGGCGCGACAGTGGTGCTTGCGGTTGGTCAATGTGAAGGCGACTCGGCAGCGAGTGCAGACATCAGAATCGGTCCAATCTGGGGGCTAATGATGTTGAGAAGTAAGATCGGGCTATGTTAAAGGGCGTCCTGTGATAGTAATGGTTTCTTTTGACATCCTGGACAGCGCCGTTACTTACTGCCTCTGTCTCCATAATGGCTGCGCCGACATTGTCGGCTGGAGGGAAATCGTATCCCTCGTTCTTCAGGATCTGGTATGTATCAGCCACATATCCGAGTCCACGCTTCGAGATGAAAAGGCGACCCCATGTCTGGATCAATGCCAAGATTTTTTTCCTGACCTCCAAGTTGATACCCTACAAAAGAGGAGAATGAGAGCATAGTGTGAGTTCAAATGAAATTGCCAAGGATGCCTCATGATACTGACTGCATTCACACAATTCCAGAAAGACCACTTACAGGTGCCTTGAGGATGGATGTAAGATTGTCGATGAAATCCCGGGATGCAACCTCGACCAAAAAGTGTTGACCTCCATTTTTGACACAGACGTCAGTCAACTATGCAACGTGGCACAAAGAAAATTGTTGAGAACTGTTGTTAGTTTTCTTTGTGCATACTTCTTTGGCTACCTTACACTTACAAAACCTCAGTTCGGCAATGAATGTTGACTTACTCCGAGGGCAAGAAGTTGGACGTTGGGGTTCTTGTGGCTGATGCGACGCTTGAGCGCCTTGGTCGCATCCTTGGGAGGGATCTGCTTGGATCGGATCTGGTCACAGATCTCGAGGTTCAAGGCGAGGTCCTCTGTGCCCGCAGGTAAGTTTTCGGAAGTAGCCTTATCTATAAGTGTGGGGTATGGTAGTGTATGGATTTGTTGGGAGATAATTGACAAGGAACAAGGTAGGAACCTGTTTAGGGGTGAGATTCGTTTGTGCGAAGCATGGAAACAAGTGAGCGTCTTGGCAAGACTGACATCACTTACCGACGAGCTCATCGACTGGCGAGCTAAGGAACCAGGAGGTCATTGGAGTTGTAAGAGTGCGAAGTAATGCCGAGTGATGTGTTGAGGATGGTTGCTGAAATGTAAGAATTAAGAATGGAAGAGATGAAGGTGAAGGAAAGAAGAACAAAGTTGTTGGTTGCTGATAGGCGGGAACTTTTGAAGAAAAAGTCGACTACTTGGTCGCTGTTTGCCCCTTGCGACACAGGACCAATGGGACCAATGACGTTTTCGCTCGAACCTTGATTTTTTGTCCTTTTATCTCTCTTCCTTTCCTTCACTCACACACATCGACACACTCCTCACAACGACAACACTCACGCACTTTCCAAGGATAATATTCAGCCTCAGACCAGCTACGCCCTGACTATCTCTCTCGTCGTTCCTATCCACCACCAACGACCAGGTCACTCCCTTCGTCTCTCTGCCACCCACTCCTGGGCGCGACTCTCGTACAGACTCCGACCTGAACTCACTCACTCAGGGCCTCAAACGCAGCAACCTCACATAGGACGACTGAGAAGGAGGCAAGGACCGCGTTGTTCTTTGTTATACTTTGCCACCAAACAACAACAACAACATGACACCGACAGACGACCAGCAGGATGGCGACCTGATTCCCATCGGCTCATGGGACACCTTACACCCTACTGCTGCTGCGCACTTCAGCAATGGCGATGCGCCAAGGTTCAGCCCAGAGCCTTTCTTGAGCTCAGAAGACAGCTCTGACCGCGACCTTTTGATGCTACAAGCGCTTGGTCTACTACAACAACTTGGCGTTCTATCCTACTCTGAGCATCACCGAGCCAACCAAGGTCCTCGGGGACAACGCCATACTGGAATCCGACTCTTGATCTATGCCCACGACAGACAACGCCCCTCAAACCGTGAGTACCAAAGCAACAAAAATCACAGTCGAAAGGCTATTGAGGAGATTGTGGAGGCGAAAAAGGCGTTGGTGTTGGTCTTGTTCAATATGAACGTGGACCCCTGGAGTTTTCATCACCCCACAATGGATACCAACAGTGCGGGACAACGGCCACCGGTCGCGACTCTGTTTCAAAACAACACCAACAAGCGTCTTATCGATATCTACATGGAGATGCCCTCACCCCGAGCCAGCGATGACCCATACCAGGACCAGCCTATTCGGAGCAGCTCCAAGGCTACCGAGCGCCTCCTTCAACAAGCTATCGAGCTGGACTCGCCCCGAGGCATGCGGACCAAGCTCTATCAATACCAGAAGAACTCTCTCTGGAAGCTTCTCCGGCGTGAACTCTGCCCCGACCTCATGTTGGACCCATCGACCGTGACGTTGCAGGACATGAACGGCAAGCCGTACTGCCTCGACCTTGCTGTAGAAGAGCCTTTTATCTGCCGAGAGCCAGCTACTATGTGGGAAGATATTCCTGGGGGAATAATCTGCGAGGATATGGTAAGCTTTTCTTATTTTCTAGTGCTAGGATGTTGAATCATTTCGCGCAAAAAGTCACCACAGCCTATTAACAAGGAATACTTTGACTCTCTTCATCACACAGGGAACGGGAAAGACGTGTCTTTGCATTGCGCTGATACTTCACACACTCCACCAGTCCGGTAGACCTCCTGCAGACGAACCTGTCCAACTCCTCTGCGATATCCTTCCAAGCACTCCTTCCGCTGCCACTGTCGATTCTGACATCAAGGAAATGGTCCTTCCCAGCGGAGCTGCGATCCCAAGTCTTCGCGACTTTGCAGTAGCGACCGTCAAAACGAGGGCGGTCAACTACAGACAAGCCCAGGACTATATCAACCCCGACATCATGGACACCCTGGAGGATGCTCTCCTCTATTACCGTGAGAGTGGATCATCAGAACAGAACCGGCAGTCCAGATCTCGACAAACCAGGATATCAGAGCTGCCGGTGGAGATTTATCTTTCAAGTGCGACCCTCGTCATTGTACCGCCCAACCTGGTCGACCAGTGGTGCAACGAGATCAACAAGGTGTGTATACCTTAATTGTACTATCAGCAGCTTTGGCCATCCTGTCTTCGATCGTTGTTATTTGCTCATCTGAAGTATGGCTCTCATTACGCGTCGTAGCATACGGAGGATGGGGCACTGAAGGTGTTCACCATCACCAACAATTCTCAAGAGTTCCCGAACCTCAGGACACTCCTGCATTACGATCTGGTTCTCATCTCTCAGAATCGGTTTGCAAAGGAGTATACCCCCGGCCCTTACTCGATGAAGCGCGCACTTGGTAATCCGTCGTTTATTATATCTGCGCATTCCATTTGAATGTTGTGATATGAGAAAAGAGGAAATGGCATATTATCCTTGCCTGGTATCGTCATTTTCCTAACATTTGTTTATTTTCACAATTTGGGACGAGTAGACAAAACGAACTGCCAATGCAGCATTGTGTATGACCGTTGTCGCTGTCTACCCCCTCGAGCCATCTCGCCACTCATGCAGATTCGATGGAAGCGGATCATCGTCGACGAGGGCCATTCTATGGGCATGAGGATGTCGGATCACGCCCTGCACGCAGAGAAACTACACGCAGATCGACGCTGGATTTGTACAGGAACACCGACAACCAACTTGGCCAATCTAAGCCCGTCGTCATTGGCTGGCGTGCATGGGTCAGGTAACAGCTTTCAGCAGGTGGCGTCGTCGGACAGAGCGGACATGGACCGGCTTTCAGTTCTTGTCGAGAGCTTCTTGCATCTTCCGCCCTACACTTTTGATCGGAGTCGGTTCGCGAAAGAGCTGCAGAGACCACTGGTAGACCATCAGCACAAGTACTACGCGACCACGACGAACGGCGGAGACAGCAATCTCGTTTTATCAGGAGGTCCAAAGGCTCGACAGGAGTGGACGTTGGAAGGTGCAAGCAGTGCGTTGCGTTTGAAGTACTTGATGGATCGGATCATGGTCCGAAATCGACCCGAGGATGTCGCGCGGAACGTCACTCTCCCACCTCTTCAGGAACGAATCGTCTCGCTCGATCTGGAGTACTTTCAGGTTCTGGCGCTTAACTGCCAGATCGCTCTGATTCAGGCCAACGCGGTGCTTTCTGAGCGTGAGGACCAGGATTACTTCTTGCACCCGAGTAACCGCACGCTCTTGACTAAAGTGATCGAGAACTTGAAGGACGGCTGCTTTTGGTATCTGGGAGGTATTGGGTACAAGGACAGAGTGGTGGATTCTCTCAGCAACGTGATGAAGGCACTTGAAAAGGATGACTTGAGTGGCGGCACCAAATACAGTCGGGAGGACCGCCGGCTGTTGTTGGACATTGTGAGGCATCTTACGACGGCACTTGAGAGTCCTGGTTGGGAGGCGATTGTTGCGGCCCAGGAGGTTGGATATTACTGCCAGGATCTCCCGACTCTAGTGCAGGCCAAGCATGCTCTCATTCCATCAACATTTCTGCACAATACCAACTCTGATTTGATCCATAGAGGGCCATCGGAGCGGAGGCAGGTTCAGGGCGACGCTGATGGCTCTCTTTGTGTAGTGCTCGGGAGAGAGATTTCCGACTTGCGGGACAAGGTTTTGAGTGCTGAGCGGACAGCGGATATCGAGCACCTTCACCATCCGGATGACGCTCAACTGCCCAATGCTTCAATCACCTCAACCATGGATATGACGGTCGATGACAATGCAATTGCCGAGCAAATGTTGAAGGAGGCCATGTCACGGGAACGACTCTCTCGGTCGACGATCCTTTCCAGTACATCCAGCAAACTCAACTACATTGCCAGCCAGATCCTGCAGCACCAAGGTTCTGAGAAGTGTATTGTCTTTTGTCAGAACCAGACCGTCATGTATTACATCCGCGAGTACCTCGAATTGGCGAAGATCCGATGCTTGATGTACCACACTGGCATGGTAAGTCGACACATTGAGTTTCTGTCTTCAAGTCAGATCATTGACAGGGTACAATATTTATGAGGCTTTCGTGTGCCTGACCAACTGTTGCTTTTGATTTGTTCCTTATAGACGGAGAGCGAAAAGTCGAGCAACATTACAACGTTCAACACCAGTGAGGCTGTATCGACCATCATCATGGACACCGGTCTGGCGGCCTACGGCATCGACCTCTCAAGTGCCTCGCGTGTTTACTTTGTATCACCTGTCTGGAAGACTGCCACCTTACGGCAGGCTATCAAACGCGCTCACAGGATTGGACAAGTCCGCCCCGTCTTTGTCGAGACTTTGGTTATCAGGAACTCTTTTGAGGAGAAAATCATGAATCGGAGACGCGAGATTGACGACAACCCCCGAGGAGAGTCGATGGAACCCGCTTCTTTGTCTATGTCGCCTTTTGGGGGTGATGTTGGAGAGTCGACGTCTTCGTCTGCATTCACGAATCATCGCTACGGATCGAGGCATCAGAGGAGAAAGAGTTCTAGAAGATCAGGTTCTGCCGCCTCAGTGGGGCACGCGAGGTCGAAGAAGGACATGTTGGATGATGGCAAGGTGCAGGATCTGATCCGCAACCTCGAGTTCATAACCAGCCCGCAGATTTTTGGACAGGTTCGGGGCGGTGAGGGTGACGCTCGTCTTTCAGAGGCGCCGCATAGCGTTTCTACATTGGCCGACTATGCGCTCCTGGGTGAAGGCGGTATCCGGAGGGATGTGGGGACCAAGCACAGAATCCCTGTGGTGCACCCGGCCAAGGAATCTGTGCTAGCGCAAGAGCAACTGAGGATGGCCCGTGAGGAGCAGGATGTGCCTTCTGTTGTTGACGTTCCCTTTGAGGACTCACCGAGCGAGATTGTGGTTGAAGGGGGAGGGTCATTTGGTAAGAAGAAGCTTCGCTTTGCGATGGACACGGACATGGAGGTTGCCGATCAGGAGATGAACGAGTTTGAGGATCTGGTCCTTCCCAAGCAGGAGAGTAACCAAGAATACCGTCATCCTAGCGAGCCAGCGGAAGCGTTGGCAGTAAGGGAAGAACATCGCCAAAAGCAGGAACAGGAACTCCGTATGGCCAAGGAAGAGGTTGATAGGGCACAGTATCAGGTCCAAGCCGCGCAGGAGCGTCTTTTGCGGATCAAGCAGCAACAGCAGGAGGAGAAGGAGGAGGAGTATCAGGGGCAGGTTGGATCGTCAACCAAAACGGTCATTGTGCTGGATAATGATGATGATGATGTTGTTGTTGAGGCGGTGGAGGTGGACTTGAAGAAGGAGGAGGTGAAGGATGTTCGGCTCAAATTTGAGAACATCAAACTGGAGGGCTCGTCCTCTTCTTACTCGCTCACTCCCTCCCGACATTATAAGTCTGAGCAGGAGGACAAGAAGGTCAAATTTGAGCAGAAGGATAGGAGGGTCAGGTTTGAACAGGAGGACAAGAAGGTAAAGTTTGAGGTCAAGACTGAGGATGCCAAGTATGAGGTCAAGACTGAGGATGCCAAGTATGAGGTCAAGACTGAGGATGCCAAGTATGAGGTCAAGACTGAGGATGCCAAGTATGAGGTCAAGACTGAGGATGCCAAGTATGAGATCAAGGCTGAGGATGTCAAGCGACCACTCACCTTCCAATCGGAAGACGACGACGACCGTGACAACAAGGACTTTAAACGCGAGCAGACACCAGCGCCCGTCACGGAGTACTATGAGCTCTTTGATCACGATGATGGTGGCGAGGACAAGAAGTTCAAGGTTGAAGAAGGAGTGTTGTCGGACGATGCGATTATTGTCCTGGATTCAGATAGCGATGAGGCGAGTATGTCTGTCCCCGTGGTTGGGTTGAAAGTTGAAGGATCTATGACAACGGGTGGAAAGGTTGAGCGGGTTGGCGGCGATGGTGGTTTCGGGGATGGCGGTGGCGGCGATGGTGGTGTGAAGCTGCCATGCCTGGATGACATGGATGTGGATTTGGATGTGAATGTAGATACTGTGCCCTCTATGCCACTAGAGCGGAATACCAAGCGGGAGAACAACCAGCCACACCACCCTGTTGACCTCCAAGCCGAGTCCCAACTCAAGAAGCGCGTTCGCATCTAGAGCTCTCACATTTTTTTTCACATTTTTTGCGATTTTTGGTATTGTACAAGGTTTATTTTCGAGAATAAAATGCGATAATTTAAAAATATTGTTACAACCCCCTCCCTTTTAGTCATCATCAGAAGGGTACTGTGAATACGCCGTGACATACGAGGTATCAGACCTCACAGTCGCAATCGACGCATTCCTGTTCAAGCCGCCTCGATCTACAGGTCCAGTACTTGGGTCGTTATGCATCCAGTTCGCGTCGAGGTACTCTAACCGCGGACTACCTGCTCCGGACTGCAACGACGACTGGCGGCTGAGGTCTGAACCTCCGACTGAGATAGGGTCAGATGTGAGGTGTGGGGATGAGTTTCCGGAACCTGTGGAAGCACTCCCGGCGGCGGCGTTAGCGGCGGCTGCGCCTGCGGTTGCGGTGCGCAGGAGGACGGATGGTTCGTGGAGTGGTGAATGTGCGAGGGGTCGACCGCCAATGGATCGTTGCTGGGGTCGAAGTTTTCCTTGTTGGTGCTGCTTGAACGCAGAGGATCCAGTGGGCGAAGTTGGGGAAGTAGGACCTCCTGATTGAGACCGCGCCAAGTTCGGGCTGGAAGCGGCAGTAGTGGTCAGGAGAGGGAGCTTCTCGGCAGACAAGGAGGTGGCGCGCTTCAAAAGCTCAGTCTTTGATCCCGAATCACTGCCGCTGCCGTTACTACCACCTCCAGGGACAACCAACGACGCGGAGGACGGAGTGACGAGAGTAAAGTTGGACTGTCGAGGCGTCTGATCCTGATCGATCTCTCCCACACCATACCTGCCGTCATCTTCGTCCTCAAGGTCAGATCCTTCCATGACAGGTTGGAGGATATCGTACTGCTCAATCGACTCAGTATCATCATTGTCGTGATGACCTGTTGTCTCTGTCTGTCCCAAGAGGGATTTTCGCCCAGTGGCGGTCGAGACGGGTCCTCCTGAAAGTGACGAAAGTGCATCCTCACTCAACACCGAATCCGAATCATGGTCACTACCGGCTCCACCAGCACCGGGGTGCAGGCGGATAGACCGGTCAGAGAACATACGACCCAAGATCTCGTGCATCCTTCCGGCGCTCACCGCGACATTGGCGTTAGGACTCGGTTGACTCTCTGTTGGGCTAGATCCATCGCTACCGATTTCGCCGCTCAGCGAGACACTATTGCTATCGTGACTACTGCTGGAAATATCGCCCAGACCGCTAGGACCTCCCACAGACGTTGGGCTCTTGGTCGTAGGCGACGAGGACGCCGAAGGAGAAAAGGCGGCAACCTTCTTCCCTGCCGCTACTCCACTTCCGCCTACCAACTGACCCGTCTGGATCGGCGGCAAGAGCAAAGAAGGTGTGGAGACCGATGAGGACGAGATCGTGGTGGCAGAGAAGCCCTCAGGTTTCGAAAGCCGCTTCTGATCCTTCAGCGATTCAGCAACCGACCGGCTATAGGGGCCCGAACCCTTATGGAAGTACTGGACAGCCTTCTCGGGTCCCTTGGAAACCTTCAAGGTTCCACCCCCATCCAACTGCAAGGGCTCCTCGATCGTCATGGCCTCAGCCAGGTTGTTGCTGCTCTCGGCAGAATGGCGTGGCGGGTACAATTGAGATCCGGTGATACTGCCAGCGCCACTCATCAAAGCCGACGAGGCCCGACGAGATTCCCGATCCGAGATCGATATTGAAGCGCCTCCGTGTTCGGATCCAGTGTCGATCCCCAGACCAGACCCCTTGGTGCTTCCTGACACCGATGCTGCTGCCGCTGCCGCTGCCGCTGCAGTCGCAGCCGCCACAGCAGCAGAAGGTCCAAGTCCCGATCCAACCCCTGCACCTCTCGACCGGGCATTCCTCAAGGTCTTGATCGACTCTGCGGCTCCTGACCCATCCCTCTGCAACCAAATCGAAGCATGAGGACCCACCGCGCCAGACACCGTCGAGACCAAACTTCCAGTCCTAGAGATCATCGCCGAAGGGTTGGCTACCACCAGGTTACTATTCTTCTCATATCCACGATCAGACTCCTGGAAGAATTTCGACAGCCCGATCGAGTTGAGATGTCGCGCATCTCCGCCAACCTGAGACCCTGTCTCGTCTGCATGGTCGCCCAATGTAGGGGACTCAGGGTCAGCAGCAAAGTTCCTGCGTGGCAGTCGCATGACCTCGAAGGCCTTGGGCTTGGACCCGTCGCTGGAGGGGCTGGAATGGTTGGACCGTTTGCCGAATCTAAAGACACCTGCAAGGGATGCCTTGACGCCAGCCCAGAGTCCCGGTCCTGACCCAAATTTCGACGTGCTCTCGCGGACCACTGCAGCTGCGGCCGCTGCTGCCTCTCTAGAACTATCCCCCTCCTCCTTGTGCGCGTTAAATAGGTAAGGACCGTCCCTGGTGATATCCGACATACGTCTCGTCCGTGGGTCGGCAGATGGTTGTTGGTGTGACATCCGCTGCAAGCTGGCATAAGAGTCGCGCGCTGGCAAACCGCCTCTCATCACCGTTAGTTGCGACTGCCGACCATCAACAGTAGATGTATCTGAAGGTGGCGAAGTCGCGCCACCCTTGAGTCCAGATCCAACACCAGCCGACGACAAGAGGACAGGCCCCATGTATCCAGAGTCAGGTGGACCGGACCCTGTCTCAGACGACGCAGACTGGTTAAAGGCTGGCTGACGGTGGTCACTAAGTCGCGACTGTCGATACCGCTCAGCTGGGGAACCATACCGCAACGTCTCATCATCCGAGCTATCATGATGCAGCTGCCTCATCTGCTGGGCATGAAGAGCATGCTGCATCGACTCTCTCCTCGCCCCATTGCTTCCACCACCAGCACCCTGACTATTGTTGCCCAGGGAAGAGTACGACATGACCGTAAAGCGCCTATTCTTGCCGGCTCCAAAGTCGTCGTCATCATCTCCCTCGCCGCTGGCCCGGTTATCGCTGTTGGAGACTGCCACTCCGCGGGAATGAGCCGCTCCACTGTGCAGGAGCGGTCTCCCATTAAGACCCCAGCCTTGCTCCACCTCTCGGGATGGATCCTCAAAGCTGTAGGTCTTGGTCGGTCCTCTCCAGGTACCAGAATGCCGCGAGTGCCAAAACATACAGGCCTGAATGAGGTTCCACAGCGTCAGCGCAAACATGACAATGAAAACCGCCAAATGAAGTGCCATCTGGATATAAGCCAGCAACTCTCGGAGCTCGGGGGATGTCTCAATCTCATGAATGTATCCAATCGACAATCCAGTAATGACGATCCGGACGATTCCCAGAAAGAGGTGGAACTTGTTGTCGGTCGACTCGGAGAAGGGCCATTTGACACCGATGACCAGTGTGTAGCCCAACTCGATCACCAGCAGGACAGCGACCTGGGCGACGCCATAGGACGGCAGCATCGCTACGGCAAGTCCCCACAAGAACCTGACCAGCAATGTAACCAGGAAGAACAGAGTGCCCTCTTGGGCAAGAGTGTTGTAGAGCGGGCCATACTTGAGCAAAGTTCCCAAGTCGTCAAAGAGCAAGTGCTCAGAGGACCCTCGGAGAATTCGCCATGTGAAAAAAATGGTGGCGCCGACGGAGATGACCAAAAGTGAGGCGGCAGATCCGACTGTCAGAGCTACACCACCCGAGATCGTTAGTTGGTACATGGCCGTAAGGGCCAAAGGGGTATAAAGCAACGACCACACTCGCAGCATGTTGCCTACGTAGATGAATAAGGATGAAGCAAATTCGATTAGCCTTTGGGCTACTTGTGGCTATACTTGCATACATTTCAAACATAGTGATGAAGTGATGAAAAAACTTGAGTATATATACCTGCGACAAAGTTGAGGGCATGTTGAAGCGTCTTTCCGCGCTGGTGCTTTTCCCTGGCCATCATCCAGGCGATCCCAAGAAAGCCGCCCGACAACAAAAGCGCTGCAGCCATAGCAAGAGCAGCATTCACCAAGGTCCCCAAGAAGAGTGAGGATGGGAACGCACCAATGGCGGCTGCATAGGCCTCGATTCCGAAGCGCGACACGTTGTGTTGGATGTTGCTCTCACTGGTGTTGGTGAAGGCATCCCGAATAGTTGGAATAATGAGCGTGGGCGAAGTGGAAGAGGCGGGAGGGCGACTGGGCGAAGTTCGAGTGACGGGTAGGTTGGGTCTGACGGGTGACTTTGATGTCGTTGTTGTTGGGCTGGAGTTTGATGTCGACGAGGAGGTCCTTGACTTAGAGTCCGAAGTTGTTGTTGTAGTAGTGGGGGTGGAGGTGTCGGACGTCGATGCGCTGACAGAAACGGTATCAGTTACCGTTGGTGTCGCGTGGCTCACCGAGGTTGTCTCGTCTGGACCGACATCGACCTGAACCTGTCGTTTGGCAGGTAGAGCTGGTTGGATGTACACACGAGGGGTGGCTCTGGGGTCGACAATGGCGGCTCTCAACGCAGAGCCAGCCTGAGTGGTCCAGGCCAAGGGTAAAAGATCCTGATCGATGACGAATCCCGGCTGTTTTTCATGGCTCAGGTCTCGTTTCTGAAGGGAAGACGGACTTTCGGTGGTGGTTGCGACAACTGTCGCGGCTGTGGTTGTAACTGTGGGTGTGAGGATAGAAGAGCCGCCGCCTCTGCTGGATCCTGGACGCGAGTCCTGTATTTGGTTAACAGAGCCCGCGCCACCAAAAATTAAAACATCGGTGGCGTTGGCTGGACCTTTGCCCAGGAGCGTCTCCCGGAATTCCAAAAACGACCAATGAAACAGTGCGGTAAAGCTCGAGTAGAAGGACGGATAGTTGACCGAGAGCTGGCCTGTCATGAGCATAAACTGCGTGTAGAAGATAATGTCGAAGAATCCAGGGGTATGGACTGAGACTGGTTCAGTTGCCATTCCATATGTTGCTGCTGCACCAAGGAAGCCATTTCCGATCGATGCTCTCATAAAAGTCGCAGCTAAACTGATTGTGCCCGAGAGACAGGCCAGGGCCAGGGGGAGGACGCTGACTGCATTGTTGACAGTCTCCATGGTTTGCTCCAAAAGAATGGCCACACAGACAATCGATTGGTTGTTGCTCCCCACGATTTGCATGGTCACCATGAGCTCTGCAAAGGGCGCTGCCTGCGAGATGTTGAAGCTCTATGGAGTCATGGAGTTTGAAAAGAACGATCTAGATTTAGCAAAACACGCTTTGTTTTTCTAGTAAGCGCCATTGATTGGAGTTGTAGTATCACACGAAACATAAATAAACCAAAAAAAAAAATATTCTACGCCTACCGTTTGAATGGTCCCTAGACCTGGTGTTGTGGGGCACCCTCCGATGATCATGCCACTACCATCGTTTGCGCAGGCAGGTCCTTCGCTCCTGTACAGCTGAGTTCCCATGATAGTAGTCTGGATCGAGGTCCTCCCTATGATGTGGCAAAAGTATTATTTTTTTGTTAGTGATTCGCGGTTTATGTATTTATTCTACGGAGGGATGCATAGCTTTTATTCTTGGATATGTTCATGGGAGAGAGTCCAAAAGGGTCCTGCATGGATATGTATTTTCTTGGAGTAGGTCAGCAAACGCGCATATGGGCCAAGAATAATAATGCTGTCGCCTTTCATCATTCATCGCGCACTTTATCGACCATGCGATGGTAACAATAAAGGGTAAAAAGGGTGTGCGCAGAAATAGGATCATGAATGCACCATGGGTCTGTCGGTCCTTGAAGGGAACAAATTACAAATAATAGGAGAAATGAATGATAGTAATGCAGTGAATGAAAGGGGGGCATGTGGTCCATGAAATGTATGAGGGTACACGGCCTATCCACGTTTGCTGTTCTGTTCTGTCTTGCTGCAATGGGTTTTGTATAGACAGAACAATGGCATTGCCTGGCTATTTCTGCCAGAGTGGTGCGTGTCTGTGTTCAAAGACGGGAAAGGGAAAGGAAAAGAAGCACAAAAACGAACCTAGTGAAGGACGAGAAAAAATAACCACGACGGATCTAAAAATACGCAGATACCACCTGTCGCATATTTGGGGCATGTATGGAAAAAAAGGAAAGAGATCTCAAAAACACCAACAAAACGACGCCCGACCACAACCTCCTCCTCTCGTGTTCTCTTTCGCTCTGTAATCGGGCTGTTTGTCCTTTCTTGTCGACTCTTTCTTCTCATGCCTTGTCGGCACGCGCACAAACACAAACACAGATACGCCCTCAACCCAATCCATGAAAGAAAAGAAAAGAGTAAGGAGAGAACGAGAGGCAGGTATTTAAGCGTATAAGGAGGTTTCAGTGATCTGGCTTACATTTACTGGTGGCTAGTTCGGAGTAGCCCTGGGCCCAGTAGGTGTCGGTGAAATTGCCCTGGAGCGACAGGCCGATCGAGTTGTTTCCGTGATCATAGTGCGCCGTCACCCGCTCCAGGGCAAATATCGAATTCGTCGCCGAGCAGTCGACATAGGGCCAGGCCTCGACGACATTATGGTATGGTGTCCAGCAAAGTAGAACGAGAAGAAAGACGAGCACCGTGTTGCTGAAGGTAGTGGTGCAACGATGAAGACGAGGACCCGTGTGTCCTCTCATGGGTGCAAATGAGGGAACAGGGTAGAAGTGAAAAAGAAGGATAAATTGAATGAGAGGGAAAAGAGGAGGAAGTAAGGACAGAAACGAGGGAAGGAAGGAGTAGGAAGGGCAGGGCTTCCGTTGGTTCAGGTGAGAAGTGAAGGGGGTGGAGGACCGAGTGCGAGGTGCAGGTTGTTGGTTTGTCTGCAGTCAACTGCCACTTTCTTTTTTAATACGTCCGAGAGAAGGAGGAGGAGGCGATAGCGATAGTTGTAAATGAGTTCGGTTTGCTGAGAGAAAGAAAAAGTGGAGGAACGAGTTCTATTGTTCACTGTGTCGTATGGTCGTATGGATCGGGGAATGCAATGGTCGTCGTTGCTGGTGGCGATTAGATTGTGATTAGAGGGTGGAGTAGTCGTTTGTTCGTTGTTGTCGTTGTTGTTGATGTATGCTAGTCTTTTTTGGTAGAAGTGTGGGTCATTCAGGGCAAATACAAAAAAAAAAAAAAAAAAAAAAGAGAGAGAGAGAACAAAACAGAGGCCAAAATAATAATGAACGAAAAAAAAGGGTATTGCGTTTTAGGAAGACATGGCGAATGAGGTTATGAATGGGGTGGAGGAATGAGGGTGGAGAGAACAGAGAGGAAGGAAGACGAGAACAGAATGAAGAAGGGCGAAAGAAAAGAAATGCATGGAAAAGAGAAGTGTCAAGGAGAGGAATGGGGGGGGGGGGGGGGGGGGAGGGGGGAAGTGGTCAAGGAAACAACACAATAATAAATAACGAGGGGGGAGTGACGACGGATGATGATGAAAACAACAACAACTGCCACCTTTAAAATTGAAATTGATACACCAAATAGCGTCCATTTGTTCACATTTGTCAAGAAGACAGGTGGGACAAACAACAAGGAGTTTGTCTGTTCATTCAAGGGATGAAGGGGGTCAGGAGAGAACAAGTGAACAGTACGTTTAAAAAAAGGAATAAAAAAAGGGACGCGTCCGGATTGGACACTGATCAAACCAAAAATCAATTTTACAACAACGATAATGGAAGTGGCGTTCAAAGCAGGCAGGACATGCATCACACTAAAAGGCATCACAGTTCACAAGTCAAGCTTCGAGAAGAAACTGCTGCTCCTCGGAGGGAAGGATATGTCTTCCTCTCATCCGGCTCTGTTTTGCCTCAATTGCTTGTGTAATGGCATCCTGGGACTTGTCAGCAACAACAATCTATATCTGCTACCTCTCTCCTCTCTCTCTCTCTCTCTCTCTCTCTATTGCGCTCTCGTTCACTCTCTCTTCCCTTTTCAGGGTCAACCGTTTCCGTTACAGCAAATAGCCTCTACTGCTTCATTCGCTTTGCTTTGCTTGTATGCTTTGCTTTCGCTGTAACGGCTCTGGTTTCATCTGTGCCCATGGGTGCGGTTGTGCAGCCTGCATGACTCTCTTTCATTCATTCACTCTCTCGGACTATTCTTATTCACGTCTCTCTCTCGTTCTTTCTCTTGTCACTCTCACTCTCTTTGTCCCTTCTTTTCCTTTGTTCCGCCCTTGTCCCTTTGTGTGCTGGGCAAAAAATACAAAGGACATCTGATTGTCGACGACGTTGGCTCACCCACTCACTGTTTGTTCCCTTACGTTGTTCCTTTTTGTTCACAAATAACTATTTTTGTTGCCCATATGGTAATAGAATAGTCCCTTACCATTTCGTGTTTTCCTCCCCCTCTTTTCAGCCCTTCTCAACCGCCCCTGTAGGCACTGCGACAAAAGCAGCGAGCAGCAGTATAAGAGGAGTGTTCCGTAGTTGTAAGAAGTAGTAATGTCGATTGCTCCCTCCTGCTGTTCGATTATGTTCTAATTGGCCTAATTATCCATTGCGTCCAAGTCCTTTCATTCATTCATTAAGCCATCCTTGCCATTCTGCTGCCCACCCCCTTGTGAACGCCTCTTCATAATTGTTTGCCCTGTGGTAGTGTGTGTGTGTGTGTGAACTGTGCCAGCTTATGGCCGTGCTCTCTTTCTATTTCTTTTTTATGTCTTTTTTCTTTTCCTCTCTTCTGTCCTTCCTTCTTTCTTTCTTTCCTCTTTCCTCTCTCCTCTCTCTCACTCACTCTCTCACTCACTCTCTCTCCCTCTCTCAAATCTCACTTCTCCTTCTCTTCTTCAGCCATTCCCCCCTCACAACCCATGCCGGGTCCTCACTGAAAACATTACTCTCTGTCTCTTTCTCATTCTCTCCTCCTTCCCACCCTTCTTCTTCATCATCCATTATTTTTACTATCATTATTGTCTTTGTCATCTCCCTTTTCACGCTCCTCCTCCTCCTCCTCACCGAACGATACCTTAATCCCCCTCCATTTGAAACGACCACCCACATATCCAACCCAATTTACCCACTCACTCACTAGATCATGACAGACAAGGCACTTCCTCTCCCTCCCCATGGAGCCTCACCCTTCTCCGCCTCTGCTCCTTCTTCCCCCAACCTCTCCTCACCTCCCTCATCCAAATTCCCACCACTAGCCATCAACATCTCCCATAGCCCCAATAGCCTCGGGCCCCCACAGGTCACCCCCAGGCGAGGCTCGATCGCAGCACACCTGATGAACTTTGCATCAAAGTCCACAACTTCCCTCAACATCCTCTCCAGCTCTGCACCCTCTGCCAACAGTCCCTTGGGCCCCGGTCACCCCCACCACGACGACGAGACACGGTCGCAGGTGATGCCCCTTCGGTCGTCTCCTTTCTCCAACCCCTTCAAAAAGCTGCAGAATACCTTCCATTCTAGCGGCTCGTCCAAAAAGAGTCTCGACTCTGGAAGTGTCAAGACCGAGAGGCTCGCCTCGTCTGCATCCTCTGTCCACTCAATGATGTCCTGGCGGTCCAAGGGTGCCGAGATACTGTCCAAGAAGGCCTGGGGCAGAACCCGCAAGAGTAAGCAAACACACTTTTTTTTGTTTTTCGTCCTTTGCCAATACCTTTTTTTTAGTGCTAATGCAATTAAAAAAATACCATTTCCCTGCCAATCCATTTACTCTAACAACACACGCAAACACAAATAACAACAAAACCCTGGATGAGCTATCAATCCAGCACAACAGTAGCAGCAAAAAAAAACGCCAAGAGAGAAGAAGAAGAGGTCCACAAGATTGAAAGAGAGAGAAAGGGAGAGAAAGGGGGAGAAAGGGAGAGAAAGAGAGAGAAAGAGAGACGGCAATCGCCACACTTGCCTTCGACAGACACGCCCTCTCACACTCGCATTCATGCCTGCACACGACAAAGACAATGCAGTTGCAATCGAACCACACCGGATCACTTTTGTTCTACTTTCTATACGCCCTTTCCCCATCCAGCATCCATTCTATCCTCTGTTCAACTTTATGCTCACCCGCCTGCTACCGAGAGAAGGAAACAGTAAAACCAGAACGAACCACCACAACCACAACCACAATCATAACCACCACCATCATTTATCAACTGTTTTTATCTCGATCATCCAACACAATCTTATATTCTTATCACCTTCCACACTCGGTCAAAGCGAAGAGAAGAATGAGAGAAAGAGAGAGAGTGTGTGTAGACAGTAAAGGGAAAGGACAAAAGGGAAAGGGCGCGCTAATGACCTGAACACAATGAACTGTGGGCTGGATACAATCCGAGACCTTTGTCGAGGGAGTTCTTACGCATATGATGCCTATGATGATTATGGTCGTGGCCTTAGCCTGCCCCTACTTGGCGCTACTTTTTGGGTTTTGGTCTCGGTCCGCGGACTTGCATTGCATTGAACCCAGTGCCTTCATTTTTTCCATCTGCATCCTTTACCGACAACAACTCAGTTGGCGCACTTGCTACTTTCACTAATGACCTTAATACCCTTCTATATAGACTCAGAACCTACCCTCGGCGCAAAGGGTCTCCCAACAACACCACTCTTTGGTTCGTCCCTCGAGGAGGCCGTACGGATGTCCCATATTCCCGGCTCACCCATGGTCCCCGCTATCCTTGTGCGCTGTGCAGAGTTCCTCGAAGCCAAGGGAATCGATGAAGTTGGCCTCTACCGGTATGTATCTGTCACCTTTCTATCTATCATCACCCCATCCATTTTTTACATATCAATTGTACACCTTTTTTTTTTCCTTGCCAGGCTCGGCTCTCGTTCACTTTTGTCCTCCCTCTCTCGTTGCTCTTTTTCTCTCAGCCCCTCTGTCACTTTCTTTTTTACCACTCTATTTTCTTCGTGTTTGCTGGCTTGTATGTTAGTTTTTTTTCCTGCTTTTCTTTGTTGTTGTTGAAGTTGAGTTCAGCGTTTGTGCTCAATTGGCCCTACTAGCTCACAGAGAGATGATTGTCGATGCTTGTCCAATTTAAATAATACGATACAACGGTGACACAGAGTGAGATGAGTGCGATGAGAGAGAGAGTGTGTGTGTGTGTCTGTATGTCTCTAGCCCACACGCACATTCGACTACAACAAATGAATTGTTTATTTTTACACTTTTCTAACGCTCAACCAAACAACAACAATGCAAAAAAAAAAAAAAAACTACATAGTGTGCCTGGTAGTCATGCAAGCGTGCAGAAACTGAAGCTGATGTTCGACTCGGGCAAGGACCACAACCTCCTCGCCATGGACGCTGTCGACCCCAACGACATTGCCACACTCCTCAAGCTCTATCTCCGTGAACGTAAGTTTGTTGTTTCTTCTTTTCCCCCTTGTTTTTGTTACCAGAGTTTTCTAATCGCCGACAGCACTCCACATGTCCGTCCAATTGTTAATTTTTCTTTTTTGCTTGTTGCACCCCTCTCCCCACTTTCTAACCGCCTGAATTTCCATTCGTCCACTTTTTTTTTTCTTCTTTGCCTCTTTCAATTCTCATTCGTCCAACTGCTTTACCTATTTTCTAGTGCCGACCCCCCTTCTTCCTGCCGTCTTCCTGGAACAATTCCAGACGCTGCTGTCCACGGATCGCCAGATCTGCCACAATCTCCGTGGTATCCTCATCGGACTCCCCCGTCCCAACTATGTCGTCCTCTCCTACCTCTGCCACCATCTCTCCAGGATCGCTGCACACGCCGACAAGACAAAGATGAACGTTTCCAACCTCGGCGTCGTCTTTGCGCCAACACTCTCAATCGGATCCGTTCTCTTCAAGGCACTCCTGGGAGGATACTACGACACCATCGACTCGGCCGAGAGCAGAGAAAATGGACTCAAGATTGTTTGGGGCGGACTTTTGCAGGATGTCGAATACGACGTGACGACGGAATGGCCCGAAGATTCGACTTGTCCTTCTCATCAACCACCACCACTCACCCCCGCTCAGGAAATCGTCCATGCCTCCACCTTGGCAATCCCATCCTCCAACACCTTCCCTCAATTCTCGCAGAGCGCACCGGCAGATCACCCTTTCACCGCTCCTCCAACCTCGATCGACATGGCTCTTTCTGCCGAAACTGCCTCTATTGACGACGAAGAAACAAAGCTGATGGCAGCCATGGTCCTGCGCGAGGAAATGGCGTCCAGGGGTCACAAACAACAGGACGACGAGACTTCATCCAACGCCTCCAGCTCATCTGGTTCGATCCCCTGCACAGACACCACCGCCCTCTCTGCTGCGTCGTCCCCAGGAATGAACGCCAAGGACCAGGCATTTGAGGCCTCCTTCACATCGCCCTCCATGACCTTTTCTCCACCCACCTCCTCGACCTCTATTCTTCCTTCTCACCTCACATCCGCTGCTACTACAGGAGCATCATCAAGCCAGGATATCTTTTCGGCCGTATCAACTATACCCATTCTCCTTCAGGATTCGACTCCAAAAACTGTTGTCTCGCCTCTTTCGCCTCCACCTTCATTGGACTTTACCACGAAATCGAGCAGCGTAGCACCGATTGTTCATATCACCATCGATGCTGGATCACCCCTTAGAGCAGATTTTGGATCCTTGTTTGACCCCCAGCAGTTCATGGATGCAGCAGGAGAGACCACCAAGGAGGTCGTGACCGAGACGAGTGCTGAAGTTGTTGTTGGTGCACCGATAACACCACCGGTTGATATTCCTCACAAGACCGAAGTAGCAGACGTCTCGGGAGAAGTACCTCAGTTGCCACTAGAGGGTCTCATGATTGCGTTGTAATCCTATTGCATTAAAAATTTCTTTGAAAAAAAAAGAAAAAAAAGAAGAAAAAACCAGGCAAGCGTGTAATTGTGGATGTTGTTAAGAAGTCCTTTTCCACGTGTAAATAACATGGTGATTTGTAAGGTCTTTTGGTCACCTCGACCCTCGACTATTTGAGTGACAGAAGAGCAAGAAGTGGGAGAAACATGCGTGGCTCATTTGGGAGGGAGCGCGTTGTTGTTTGAAAATCTAGCAATCAACTTGATGCCAAGAAAAAAAAGTTACTAGGAGGAGTTCGCGAAACATGACGCGAAAAGTGGACGCGACTTGTTTTTTGTTTTCGAGTGATGTAAGGATCAAACTAGCTGAGCTTGGTTCAACGCGCGCGATAATCAAGGACGAATACGTCCTCTTCTTGTTTTTACCAGACCATGAAAACATAACAAACTAGCTCAAGCCATAGACAAACAGCGATGGTGGATTGTGATCCGTTTCTATTGCGAGAATGGATCGTATCAACTTCTGGATATAACAAGAGGAGTCTCGCATAGCATTAGATATATCGACGAGTGCTGTCATGAGGCATGGAGCGAGCATGTGTTTCTTAGAGGATGCTTCTCAGGAACAAAAAAAAAAGAACGCGTTTGAGACTGAGCACGAAAACGCACTGTGCATCTTTGTTCATTGGGCAAATAAAAAAAGGGTCCTCCGCTTGCGCCCCTTTCTTTCTTTCTTTTCTTTCTTTTCGATTTTTCACTACACGTCCTCCACAACGCACGCCTTACTTCCCTCTTCTTCATTCACTTTCCTCCCTCCTTCCTCACTTCTCATTCCCTCCCGCAAAAAGAAAGGTCATGTCGGAATCTCCCATTCAGCTGCCCGAGACTGTCAGCGAGCTTAAGGAGATCGTCGCGCGCGTCCAAGCCCTCCTCGTCTCCAGTGGTGACGACCTGGTCGCTGTCCCTACTAACCAGCGCAATATCGAAAACACCCTCCTCAAGCTCCAAGAAGCCCAGAGTCAAGCCGCGGCCATGCAGACCCAATGCACCTTCCCCTCCATGGTACCGTTCTTACCTGGACTTGTTATGACTTGTTTAGTTTGCCAAAGTGGCGGCGAACTTTGTTACCAATGACCAAGTCGTGGGAAACCCCCTTCTCACACCCCCCCACTTTTTTTCACACGACACACTTTTAGGTGCATTTGAACAAGGATGTTCGTGATGCGGCCACAGAAGCGAAAAAGACCATGCAAAAGGCCTGGTCGGCGTACGTATCATTTCACTACCTTTCTACGCTGGGCTTGGAAAATCCGGAAGAAAGAAGAAACAACATGAATATGGCTGCCAAATAAGGATCGCAACGACTGATACCACCAACTTTCTTTCTTGTCTTTCCCTCCTCTCCGTACTTAGTCTTTACTCAAGAAGGGTATGAACAACAAAACACACATGTCGGGAATGCCGTACCAGATTCTTTTTCCATCGAGCCATAGAAACTGGATATCAACACCCATTCCATTGGACATCTCCTAACCTTGCTTATGATACCTTTCTTCGTTAACTAATGTAGGATGTGTATGAGATTTTGCGTCAGTTGGATCACAGCTCGGATGCAGGGCACTGTTACGACCCCATCACCCACCGCCTGTTGAAGCACACCCTCCGACTCTTTGAACGCCACGGCGCCGCACTCTCGGAGGCCGACCAACAAAAGTTGATGAACTACCGCACCGAGATCAGCGGGCTCGAGCTAGATTTCCAAAAGGCCCTGAACGAAGACACGACCGACATCTTGTTATCTGCAGATGAACTCGAGGGATGCACAGAGTCTTGGATTTCGGGTCTGGCAAAGACCGAGAAGGATGGTCGACACCTTTACAAGGTCACGATGAAGACGCCCGATATTCTCAACGTCAGCAGGAACGCGTCCCTGCCGGAAACTCGTCGTCGTGTTGCTACGACTTATCGCCAAGTCTGCACCTCGACCAATGGACCTATCTTGGAGCGGTTGATCCGACTTCGACACGACGCTGCAGTTCTGTTAGGCTACAAGAGTCACGCCGCCTATCAATTGGATATCAACATGGCCAAGACCGTCGAGACTGTGGAGGACTTTTTGGACAAGATTGTGAAGTCGATCTCGCCCAAACTGGAGAGCGACAAGCAGACGCTTTTGGATCTGAAGAAAGCCGAGTACCAGAAGCGTGGATGGAGCGAGCAGTACGATGGCGTGCTATATGCCTGGGATGTCAAATACTACCAGGAAATCTTGTTCAAGGAAAAGTACGCTGTCGACAACTCGCTTATCCAGGAGTACTTTGAGCTCAACTACGTCCGCGACCAGATCATGGGCATGTAAGTTACCTTTGGTGAATTTTCTACTTTTCTACTTTTGAGGTGTGCACACCCTACGTCCAACATCACAGTTGTTGACAGTCGTGTCCTTGTTTGACCTCAAAAATAGCTATTCGAAGATCTTCCAGTTGAGGTTCGAGCAGATCCCTGGCAAGTACTGGGCAGACGATGTCACCCTGTTTGCTGTCTACGACCAAAAAGCTCAAAACCAGGCTGGAGAAGAGGGCAAGAAGATCCCCTCCGCTTTTAAGATTGGATACTTTTACCTCGGTATGTTTGACCTTCGTCTTCGTTCCTGGGCAATGAAATGGATGCCTAATTTTTAACGACTGATTCTTGCTTTTGTGTGTTCGTTCTGTAGATCTCTTCCCTCGTCCAGGTACAGGAACTTTCAGTTCTTTCTCTACGCGTTCTTGTTGTCACTTGTCAACCTTGAGCAATCATGCTAACCTTCATGTTTGTACGTGCTATTAGGAAAATACGCTCATCAATGTGTGGTGCCTTTGCGTCCCAGCTACGTTGTCTCAGGAACCATGGAGCAGGTCCTTCCCGTTGGTACGCATCATCAACTTTGGCACAGTGGCGTCCTCTCTGGCTGGATATCATGGTTCTGACCCATTTTTCTTTGAATGCCCCTCCTCTTGTAGCTGTGAATGTCGGAAACTTGTCTCGGCCCACTGCTGGCCGCCCTGCCCTTCTCAAGCACAGTGAGGTACTTCTCATACCAAGATGCAGCTCCGGAATGATACTGCTGACGAAGACTTCAATCTAACCTTCCTCTCTCATTGTTTCCCTGTACATGGGTCATTCCTTAGGCAAACACGTTTTTCCATGAGTTTGGACATGTCTGCCACGCAATGTCGAGCAAAGCCCGCTACTCGCTCTTCAACTTCTCATGGTCCGTCGTCCCTTATCCCACCTCTCTGGCTATGGATTTTTTGGAAGTCCCCAGCATCATGCTCGAGAACTGGTTGTGGGAGCCCACTGTTCTTAAGCGCCTCGGCAAGTACGTCCTTGTGCTTTTATTTTACTGACCAACTTTATTGATTCCTCCTGCCCTCACTCACAAACGCATCATCTTTTTCGTTCTTCTCCCTTCATCAAAACAAAATCAAAAAAAAATAGACACTACAAGACAGGAAACGACCTCCCAGATGACTTGATCGCCTCCCTCGTCAAAACCCGCAAAGTCTCCAAAGGTCTCCTCTTCTCCCAACAGATCGCTGTAACAGCCATCGACCTCAAAGTTCACACCCTCGACCCTTACACCCGCCCCCAAACAATCCCAGAGCTCTGGCAAGAAATGTCCGAATCCCTCGTCGGTGTCAAACTCGAATCTGGTCCCGATGTCAACCCGGCCTGTCAGCTGTACCATATCGCGATGGGGTACGATGCAGGGTATTATGTCTACTCGTGGTCAGAGATGCATGCTCATGATTTGTATACGCGATTCGCGGGCAAGTCTGGTACGGATTCGCATGAGAGGACGAGGGCGTTGGATGGAGAGTTGGGACGGGAGTATTGGGAGAAAGTGTTGGTGCCCAATGCGGCGGTCGAGCCGATTGAACTACTGAGGGATTTCTTGGGCCGTGAACCCAATACTGAAGCCTTCCAACGCTTCTTGACCGAGCCATAACGTATTCTCTTTTTCTGTTCTTTTGAGCAAAGGCAATATAAATACAATCATGAAATATTGATGTTGAAAGAATGTTATGCTTTTTTGGTTTTAGGTTTGTTTGTTTGTTGTACAAGAGGTTTAGGAAACTAGATGCAAGAAAAAGATGCTAAAGAATGCTGTGCGAAAGGTGGAGGAAGATGAGTGATAATAGAAGTGGAAGTGTGTGTGGAGTGATGATCTACTTCTTACTCGGCCTTCTTCTTGCCCTTGCCATCCTTATCCTTCTTCTCCTTCTTCTCCTTCTTCTCCTTCTTCTCCTTCTTTTCCTTGTGCTTCTCCTGCTTCTTCTCACCATCCTCCTCGCCCTCAGCATCGCCAGACTTCTTTTTCCGTGCTGGCTCATCCTCGGACGCCTTGACCTTCTTGGACTTCTTCTCCTCTGCTCCATCAGCGGCGTCATCCTCATCCTCAGCCTTACGCTTCTTGTCCTTGCTACTCTTCTTCTTCTTCTTCTTCTTCTCCTCAGCACCAGTACTGCTGCTGCCCTCACCACCGCTCCGCTTCTTTTCAGTCTCTGCCAATCTCTCCCGCTCCTCAACCATCTTCTTGCGCAACCGAATGGGATCCCAGTTCTTGTCCAGGTCCTGATCCTTGATCTGCGTCTTGAGCTTATGCCGGAACATCTGGACGCGGTTCTTCTTGGTGTACTTTTCAATATCGTGCATCTGGTCCTCAGGCCGGCGGTAAGTCGCAAACTTCTTGAGGGACACATACTCGTTCAGGTCCTTGTCATCCGCCAACAGGATCTCAACAGGCGTAAGACCAAAAGTCGAGGGCTTGACACGAGAGTACTTGAAACGCGTTGGCAGATCGCCCACCATGTCCTCATAGTCGAGCTGGTAGTACTCGTCCAGGTATTCGTTGAAGTTCTTCTTCTTGTCATTATCCAACAACGACTTGGCCGCCTCCAAAGCTGCAACAGCCGTCCGCGCCTTGCCGCCCTTTTCCGCCATCTTGGCCAACCTCTTCTCTTCCTTCTCGCGCTTCAACCGCTCCTTCTTGGTCTCCTTCTCGGGCGCCTTGCCAAAGTTCTCGCCTCCGGGCAGGTAGTCGGCGTCCATCAAAATATCCTCCTCGCCCTCCTCACCGCCATAGTATCCGTCGCCGTTCTCGTCATAGTAGCCACCAGACTCGTCATAGCCCTCCTCATACTCTGGTGGGTAAGCCTCTTCCTCGTACGCCTCCACCTCATCGCCGTTAGCCTCGGCTCCCTCGGCCTCGTTATCGGATTTGTCGTCGTCGCTGTTCTCGTAGGCGGCCGTGTCGATATCATCGTCAAAGACGGGCTTCTTGTTCTCGTCGTCGGCGTAATAATGGTCGCTGAACATCTTGTCCATTTTTTGATCATAGTCCTCAGGGTTGAACTCAGTCTCCAAATCAATCTCATCAAAACCAACAGCTAATTAATTCAAAAAGGAAAAAAAAAAGGCAAAAAAAAATTAAGGTTAGCATTCATTTGTCGTTCCTCCAACATGAAAAAAAAAAAGGATAGAGTCCCAGAGATACGTTACTCTTGTTGCCGGTGATCTCCTGGATCTGCTTGAGCTTGTTAAAGATCTCCTGCTTCTTGAGGTTCTTGGCACGCTTGAGCTCCTCCAGCTGACGGATCTTCTCTTCCTTCTTGCGCTCCTTGGCAGCTTGGCGCTGACGCTTACGCTTGTCGTCTGCGTTACGGACCGAGTCGTCGATCATACGCGAGTAGCCCGTCAACTTGTCGGCCTGGGCGTCCTCGAAACGGAAGTTGTACTTGGACTCGAACTCCTCAGCAGCCTCGAGCTCCTCCTCGGACTTTTCCAGATCGGACAAGTCTTCCTCACGGACAATCTCTTTGTAGCTGGGTGTCTTCTTCTGGGACTTGTCGATCCATCCACGGTTCAAGATATAACTATTACATGCGAAAAATATGACATACACCAAAAGTTAATATAGTTCTGTGTACGTTCAGAGAGAGAGAGGGGGGGGGGAGGGGGAACACGACGAACAGAAAATAAAGGCAAGGAAAACTTACTCCATCAAGAAGGCCTCGTCCTTGTCCATGCTAGGCGCATTCTTGTACTCCCTCCAGTCCTGGAAAGCAGCAGCACCACCAGACTTGCTACCCATACTCTCCATCAAGAACCTCTTATAATCCTCCTCCTCGGCGTCTTCATCCTCCTTGGTCTTCGCCTTCTGCGTAAAGAACGAATCGGCATCCTCCCCTTCATCATCATCTCCATCACCGCTCAAGAACGCATTCTTCATCTCCTGCTTAAGATGCTCCTGCTGCTCCACATGAGTCATCTCCGAAACATCCTTGATCTTCCGATCCTCAGCAGCCTCATCGACCATACCACCATCCTCCAAAAGAACCCGACGATGATAATCCTGCAAGTTCATGGGCTTTGACGCCTTATCGGCAGCCTGCTTCTCCTTCCACTGCTTACGCGCCTTTTCCATCTCGGAGGGGATAAAGAAATGAGAAGTGGCCTGGTAGATCTTGGGGTCCTGAGCTCGGATCAAGCCAATGGTCTTCATGATCTGACCGTCGACCTCGGGCGTCACCAACTCGCCAAATTCATCCTCCTCTTCGTCGTCCTCGGAATCGTACGAGTCGTAGTCGTAGTCGGCGTTCTTGGTATATCCGTATTTGTGCTGGCGGTCGGCAATCACGGACAGACGGCCTTCATCCATGGCGCCATACTTCTCGCGAACTGGTTTGGTGTTTTGTTAAAAATTCCGTGAGACGGTGGGGAGGTGGGGGGATGGGTAGGAAAGATGTTGAGGTTGAAGGGTGGGGAGTGAGGGTGGATTGTTAAGAGTGGATTGTAATAAAGGAGAAGTGTCGTTGAGGAAGAGGTGAGAGGCGAAAGAAGGAGGTAGCAGTGGAGAAAAACAAAGGTACACAGCAGTTAGTCGTCTGTATCGAACGTCTAAAAAATAAAAAATAAAAAGACCATGCGTCCGCCTGATGGTAACAAACAAGCAAAAGAAGGACATACTTGAGGACAACTCCTGGCCACGCTTTGAAGCTTCATACTTGTTGGCGAACTCCTTGTTGATTTTGAAGGTGATTTCTTCGTTGTCGCTGTCCATGGTTCGAAAAGATGCCTTCGAATGAATAAAAAAAAAAAAAAGAGGAAAGGGAGGTGGGAGAGAGTTAAGCTGAGGGACCAGAGTCGAGTGAAGCCCATAGAAAAAAAAAGAAAAAAAAGAAAGCAACAAAACAAAAAATAACACCACGTGATTATGTGACTACTTTTTATATCATTATGTACTGTCGATTTCTCTAGGCTACGACGTTGTCGTCCTGCGAGTCGTTTCTACGAGGGCTCCGCAGGGCAAGGGGCTTCTTGGGGACCACTGGTGGCGAGCTTGGGGAGCGATGAAGGCTCATCCTCTTGGTATCCACCGATGGCTCCGTGGGAGTCATGGGTGCCATGTTCTCTCCCTCGGACGATTCGCCATTACCGGCGCGATGGCCGCTGACACCAACAGAAAGGGGTTCTTGAGAGGAACGAGCCATGCCTCCAATAGGCCGTGGGGCAGGACGAGGACTTGGGCGAGGGGCAGCCACAGGGGTCTCCGCCTGTGATTGGGTAGGGGTTACAAGACGCTCCTTGCGCTCCTGCGATGTTGGGGGCGCAGGCTGAGGAGTAGGTTTGGGCGTGTACACTACTGGCTTAGGGGAAACGTGCATCCTACGGACTCTGCGATGGAGGGTCTCCTCTTCATCATCCTCCTCATTCACGCCTCTGCGCTGCTCTTCCTCTTGACTATTGCCTCTCTGCTGTCCCTGGTTCTCAACCTTCTGGGCCTCCTCAGCATGCTCAACCTCATACGTGGCAACCTCGGTAGGCTGAGGTCGAGAGGATTGACGGATGGCTACCGACACCTTGTCCTTGGCCGGCAGTGGCATCTCCCTCTCAACCACAGTTTCCTCTGAAACCTCGGTCGCGGTCACACCTACTTCAGCCTCCTCTTCCTCCTGCATCTCCTTGAGTGCTTTGGCGGCTGCTTCCTGCTCTGCCTCGGACAAGATGACGTGAGGCGCTCGACGGTTAGCGAGGTTGGCTGGCTTAGCTCTGATCTGGGGCAAGACATTTGCCGAGCTGGCATCGTTCTCATGTTCATGCACTGAGGTCGCAGGCGGACTCTGCTTCTTTGCGGGCTCTGATTGCTGACCTGATTGTTGCACTGGCTGTTGCACTGGCTGTTGCATCCTGACAACTCCAGCTCCAACCTTCGCCTCGACCGGACCAAAGTCGTATTCGTGACCGAAGGGGGATGTTGAATAAGACACCGACTGGACACGACTGAGGCGATGGTCACCAGCATATCTATTTTTGGGAGACCCTTCGGGCTCCATTTGAAGCTGCTGTTGGTATTGCTGTTGCTGTTGGAGCTGTTGGAGTTGGGCAGGTGTAAGCGAGGCGGGGTATTGTTGCTGCTGCTGCTGTAGTTGCTGGATATATCCGGAGTATTGCTGCTGCTGTTGTTGTTGTTGTTGTTGCTGCTGAGCATTCCAGTTCGAGTTGTTCGAGTTCATGTTGCCGTGGTTGTACCCTTGGTAGTGCTGATAGTTGTTGTACATATCGCCTTGATGACCAGTCTCCTGTCCCTGCCCGTTCATCGCTCCTCCATTATTGTAGATGATTCCAGACTGGTCTGCAACGAAATCCCCTTGGTAGCCTTGATATCCTTGCTGGTGGCCATGCTGATGCTGCACGTGTTGGGGTGGAGGTGGGTACCCTTGGGCGGACATGTAAGGAGTCTGGGGCTGGAATTGACCCTGCGCATGGAGTGTATCCTGACCACCATCGTGCAAGGCTCCTGGGTGATTGTAAGTCGGATAATGTTGACCCTGTTGTTGTTGTTGTTGTTGTTGTTGTTGGTGCTGACCCTGCATCTCGAGGTTTTGGATGGTGATGGCATGAATCCGCTGCTGCTCCTGAATGTCCCGCAGAATCTCGTCGTTGCGCTTCTTGATCTGCTCGAGTTGCTCCAGGGCCATACGGTTCTTCAGCTCGTCCTCCGAAATAATCTGGGGTGGATAGAGTGCGGGGTTGGTATCGGAAACATGCTGAGCCTGGTGAGTCTGCTTATTGGCGTAAGACATATCCTGGGGCTGGTTGTTGGTATGACCATTGTACTCGTAGGGAAGAGGCATCGGCATCTGCATCTGCATCTGCGTCTCAGGTCCCTGGCCTTGGTATCCAGCTTGATTCGCGGCATGGTTGACATATTGCCCTGATGAGTCCGCGTGATGCTGGTGTTGAGGCATAGTCGAGTTCTTGTTGGGGTAGCCATACTGGTTGTTGGGAGTGACATTTGAATCGACTCCTGAGGTGGAGACCATTCCTGCAGCGCCTGGAACGGCAGGTTCTGACATCTTGACAGGGCGATTGCGCCTCAAGAGTGGCGTGGAGGGAACTTCACCCTCGTCTGTGCCATGAACATGCCCAGCCGAGGAAGAGTAAGCACCATGATGACTAAGTCGATTTGAGTTGTATTGAGCGTATGGCGCCAAGTGTTCTGCCTGAACCGGAGAGTCGCCAATCACCGTCTCTTCCTCGGAAATGTTGAGGGCATACACGGCTGATGACTCTGCGTGCATCCTCTTTTGAAAGTTGGGGTCATAGCCTGGCACAGACACTAATTAGATTGACATGCACAAAAAGTAGCACGAGCAAGTCAAATGAAAATGTTAAAAAAAAATATCAAACGTAGCCCCTCTTCCTTTCCTCCTTGCTATTCACCATAATTTTGAAATGAACGGAAAAATGTTATACCTGAGGATGCTTTTGGACGTCCAACCATATGGCCTGCAGCATGGGTCGATGAGGGCGTATTAGAGGATGCTGGACGAGCAACCTTGTCCCTGGCAGCGGCCAATGCCTTGTGACGAATCTCTTCCTCAGCACGTTCCCGCCGTTGCCGTTCCAGCTCGCGTTCTCTGTCACGCCTTTGTTTCTCTTCACGTTCTCGGTCCCTCCTCTGCATTTCTTCACGCTCTCGTTCCCGCCTCAGCCTCTCTTCTTCCTCCTCCTGCTGTCTCTGTCGTTCCCGCTGACGTTCAGCCGCAAGTGCGTTTTGTCGCTCGGCAACAATCTCCCTCTGCCGCTGTTCCTGGGCGCGCTTGGCTTCCTGCTCCCGCCTCGTATCCTCCTCCATTGAACGCTGCATCTCGAGAACAGCAGCCGGAACCACGCCTCTTGCCTGGAGGGTGATTTGACATTCCTGGAAAGCTATCCTGTTCTGTTCCAGGCTTCGGCGGGCATGGTCGAGTTCTGTGTGGGCGATTCGTTTGAGGTTCAGAATTAGGTCCTCTGGTGACTCGTTCGATCCCGCAATCATGTCGGCGTGAGAGATGATATCCTGGATGATAGACTCGAACAGTCGAACGTCAATCTCAGTCAGGTTGTCGGAAGCGCCCCCCTCCATAAAACTATTGAGCACGGGCTGCCAGGCTTTGAGGGCATCCCGCTTGAGGTCCTCGATACGGTTGTGGTTGTACTCGCTCAAGTTGAAAGACAGGAACCAGGCGAGCATCATGGACGAGAAGATGGGGTGACTTTCAAAGGTATCGAGCTCCTCTCGCAACTCCCTGACTCGGAACTCGGCGGCGGTCATATCTACCAGCATTGACTCCATCTGCTCCTGCAGGACAATGGTCGGGATCTCGTCCTCAGCAGCGGCGGCGGCGGCTGCTGCTGCTGCTGCTGCTGACTGGGACGACGAAGAGGATTCACGGCCGTTTCTCATTGGGCGGAACCCAGACATCGAATCAGGCTGTGGCGGTCTTGACTGGCCCTGGGTATTAATATTACTTTGTTGCTGATAGGAAGTCGGCTGGAAGGGCGGAGTAATACGCTGCTGTTGATGTTGTTGTTGTTGCTGTTGTGCTTGTTGGTGCTGCTGTTGTAGCCGCTGTTGTTGTTGTTGTTGCTGTTGTTGTTGCTGCTGCTGGGCGCTGGTAGGTCTTGGTTGAGCGGGCTGGGCTGGTGGTGCTGGTCGGTGCTGGGTGGAAGGGATGTAAGGTATTGGGATGTGATTTCGAGATGGAGGATTAGAAGTAGAAGTAGAAGAAACAGCGGAGGGTTGGATGGGAATGTTTGAATGAGTGCCTCGTGCTGGTCCACTGTTGCCGCCGCCTGTTCCTGCGGTCACAGCGTTTGTTGAGGGCGGTGTGGTTGTTGTTGCTGTTGCTGTTCCTTGTTTATTGGGTTTGCTGGATGAGGAGTCGGACTGACCGGAAGGGGTCGAGGGCGAGTTTCCCATGGGCGAGAATGAAGATTGGTTGCAGGCTGAATGAGATTAGATTTGATGTTTGAGAAGTGTGAGAGTGGGGCATGGGGATATGGCTGTGTGTGCCTTGTGAGAGTGTCGTCGTAAGTGTATGTGTATATAAATGTGTGCAAGTGAGAGTGAGAGTGAGGGTATCTGTACAAGAAATAAAAGTACTACAGTAGAATGAATGTGATTGTATGAAGGGAGCAAGAAAATAAATAAGGGCTGGACGATGTTCAATAGAAGGCGAGAAAAAGAGAAAGACAAGGGAAAGAAAAAAGAATCGAGAAAGAGAAAGACAAGGGAAAGAAAAGTCATTAAAAGGCGGTGGAGTGAAAATCAAAGAGACGTCCCAGAGGTGTTTGTTTGACACATATCCATGGAGAACAAAAATAACGATGCGACGCACTCAATCACACAACAGCCCTGTTCCCCTGTCTCTCTGTCTCTCTCTCTCACTGCCATCTTTGACCGCTGCGTTCTTGTTTTTAGCGGGAAAATATAAAGAAACGCTTGGCTGCTGCGATAATGATAGACATATCCTTCCTTTCTTTCTTCTCTTCCTTCTCTTCGTCTCTTCCTTCCTCTTCTGTCCCTACATCAACTACCAAGTGAAGAAAAGGGTGCCAAAGGGCTTTCGTCGCCAAGACACACTCACATCAAAAAAAAAAAAATAGACGTCCAAAGGAACGATTCTCCCGCATCGTCTATCCCTAGACCGTAGTTTCACGCAAAATAATACAACAGCCCTAATCCATTACAAACTACGAAAAACTCGCGGCCTTTTTTCTCCCTCCCCATGACGCTTTCTTCCCTTTCGCCCCACCCGTTGTCTTTGGCACTGCAACTGCAAGCTAGTCTGCTCCCACTCTACTCTCCTTGTGGGCTGTCCACTATGGATTGTCAAGCAACTTCCCCCCCTCCTCCTTCACTCTGACATATACCCACATCCTACCCCATCCCGCGCAGCATGGATCCATGTATCTTTCTTGTTCTCAAAGTTCAGAAAATGAGCAGTCGAAAAACTGTTCTAATTGCTCTCACCTCTGTTGTCATTCAACCATGACATAAACACCTAGTCGACAACAATACACGGACGTATCACAGACCACAGACCACATGGCAACTCAGAAGATTTCGACTTCCTTCCCTCAACTTATTTTTTATCAGGTATTTTTTATTCTTTGTTATCGTTTTTCTTGGTTTCATTATCCTTTCGGTCCGAAAGAATAGAGTGCGTGTGTGTGCGTGAAAGAGAAGAGTGTACAACGAGGCGGAGTGGTGACAGCGACATCATGGATAATTTACAACAGTGCTTTCAACATGTCTGCTAGCTTGTGGGAGGGAAAATAAGGAAAGATATGAAATGAAAAAGATCGCGACAATTGAAAAAGGTTGGAATGAAAAACAAATGTTGATAAACGTAGCAAACGTAGTAAAAGTAACAAACGTAGAAAGTAGCAAACGTAGCAAACACGAGATAGGGAAAAGTACAACAAGTGGTGAAATGAAAGGAGGAAAAAAACTAAAATGTGTGTTTGTACAAAGTAAAAAGTAGAAAAGAAAGAAAGCAGAATGTTGAAGTAAAAAAAACACTTGAAACTACACGATTTCATGAATGAGAAGGAAAAAAAATGTCCCTCCTAATCCTCAAACTCTTTGCGAGGCTTGGTGATCGTTCTGCTCGAGCCAGACGTCGACCGAGGACGCTCAACGGCTCTTCTCTTGAAACGCCCATAGGTCTCTTCGTCGTCTTCATCATCGTCCTGATGCTGATATGTCTCCTGCTCTCGCTTCCAGCCATCCCGGCCTCCTTGGCCGAAATTAGATCGATTGCCTGCTCCTCCTCCGGTCTGAATGAACCCTCCTTGCGATGACGAATAACTGTTGGGAAGTGATCCTCCAGAAGGAAACGGTGACGCTTGTCGTATTGACGCAGGGCGGGATGGAAATCCAAAGTTCTGGAACGACTGCTGTTGCTGTTGCTGCTGCTGGTGAAGTTGGTACTGCTGCTGCATTTGCTGCTGGAGCGACTCTGTCATCCTGTGAAAAACATCACCCATAGCATTTCCAATGCTCTCTCCTAGCTGTCGAACTGTATCCTTCTGAGTGTTTTCGACAGTGTCCACTGAACGACCTACACCCTCCACCTGATCGGCCAGTTTGGTGAATGCAACCTGCAGCGAAGAGTAGATCTCTTCACGAAAGTGCGCGATCTCTTCCTGGTTGGCGCGCTGAATGTTCTGGAGTTCTGAAAGAATGTTGGTCTGGCTGGTGTTGATGGCGTTCAAAAGAACAGGCGTCTTGGAGAGCAAGTCTCGGTCGTCCTCCCCCCGTTCGGCTGCTCGTCCTTTGCCCTTGCGATCCCTAAACATGTTGTCAAGAGGTGGTCTCGCTGGTCGTACTGGTTGACCTCGCGGCGGCTCCATCCGCTGTCGCGCCTGGTAGGGATGGTGACGGACCGAGTGTGGGCGCATTGGGCGTTGAGGAGGTGGATAGGGCTCGGCCTCCTCAAGGATGTCCGACCTGTCATCATCACCATTAAAAGAAAGCGATTTTTGCAGTGAAGCTCCAAGGTCACGCAAGCGCATATCCTCCTTCATTAGCCGAGGCGAAGGGGCATGGATAGATCGAGACATCTCTCTCTGTTGCATCGGATCATCCTGATCATAGGCCAAATCGTCCATGCTTCTCCGGTTCTGCGCTCGAGATCGTGAGCCCTCCAGCTGGTTCGGCGACAGTCTCAGCTGGGCAGAGTGGGTCGACGAGTGGCGACGATGAGTCTCGCCTTGGTCCCCGCGAGCGAACCCAGGCTGAGCGAATGCATGGACAGACTGCGCCCTCGGCGATGGCGTACTTGTTTGAGGCGAAGGGAATCCAGACCTGTTAATTGGTGCATGGTTGGAACCTTGATCACTCGACCGGTGCTCGCCAGAAATGGCCATGCCGCCTTGGACTCTGGCCTCAGGTTGCCGCATACTCCGTGCCAAGAGGTCCGCTGTCATGCCATGGTAGGAAGATCGATTATTGGGCACAAACTGGTCGCCAGCAGGGTCTTCTTGGTTGTTTCGTACGGTCTTGCCGAATGCCGGCCGTTGTTGGTGTGACGAAACGGAGTGTCTGCGATATCCTGATGAAGGTGGGGGCATGATGTCGCTGTAAGAAGATGGATGGTAAAGGTCTGATTCTTGAAAGGGTTGGTCGAGAGGATGCTGAGGGAATTGGAGATGGAGTGTTGGTTGCATCTCAATACCATTCAAAAGAGAACGTCCGCTTTGTCCACTTGCATAGGACTCGTCTCTTGAGACTTGAGATGGGTAAGAAGGATAGGAAGAACCAATTTCAAGACTAGCCTCGTCATCATCATCCGTGTCAAGACCAGTCCTCCAGGTGCTGACTTGCTCCATGATACCAGTGGTAAGCGAACTGCCAACGACGGATGAAATGACGCTCAAGGACGACTCGCTTTGCGAAGGGGTCATGGTAGTTGTCGTCTGGGTTGTATTCCGAGAGAGCTGGAATGAAGGCAGCTTTTTGGGTGGGGTCTTTGGCGAGGGCATATCAGAGCTGTTGATCATCCAGAGGCCAGCGTCGTGGTTGTAGCGGAAACAACTGCCTTTGTTCGTTCTGACGCCTGAGTTGTAGACCGAGAGCAGCCGTTGGACTCGCTAATTAATGTTGGAAGAGACAGAGTCAGTAATGTAGGCTAGAATGCTGAAGGAAGAGATGTGTAACTGTAGCCCTACCAAGACGTACAGTGCATATTCGAGATGCATGGTTTTTCCCCTTCTCCACCCATCCACCCTACCCATTTGTTCCATGGCAATAATAAGTAAGTAATACATATTAGAAGCAAGGTGGTCAGATGATGACTGAAAATCACAACGTGATATGAAAAATAAAATGCCTGCTGCTCCTCCCACCACTTGGGTCTAATCATAGAGGTCCCATGTCCACTCTCAAGAGCCCGCAAAGACCGATAAGGGTTTGATGTATGTACAAAACATGGAATGGGGCGAATGTATGTATGTACAATTATGCTTGTTTGGCGAATGGACCGTGGTAAAATAAAAAAACATAAATAAAGACGACAGGGCAGCAGTAAAAAAATGAAGTGAGAAGCAGTGCAAGAGAGTAAAGTGGAACCGAAGGGGAGAGGTAAAAGGGGGATGGGTGATATTGATGGGTGGGTAGGGTTCGGTGACTGGACGATATCAAATTTGCATTTGGTCCGCCCAGCCACGTTGTCGTACCAACACCCAACACACAAAACGTCCAACTTTACCTTGATGAATGATCCCGAGGACTGAGTCGAGTAAGGCGCCTGTTTGAGAACAAGTCGATGGGCGATATCCCGAGAGGTCAGGCCTGTCGGCTCCGCTAAAAGGATATCTTGTATTGCTGAGACTATTATGAATATGACAAAGGAGTGAAAAACGAAGGTGCATGTGAGAAAACAAAGGAAAACATTTCAAGAGACAATGACCCTTGCAGAGCAAGAGGCTACGGTAAGGTCGCTGTTCCTTTCTGCACCCTTGCAGGCACAGTGGTTTTTAGGATGGCGGAGCAGAGAGGACGGAAGGCGTAATATGTGATAGAGATGAAACCTACCGAGAAGCGTCGTCTTGTCAGACGACGACGAGGATGTCGACATGCGTTGTAGAGTTTACGAGTCGAGGGAAGGGTGAGAAAAGTTGCTGCTTTTGCTGTTGCAGTTGCGGAGGATAAGATGCCGAAGAGCACGAAGGGGGGAGGATGGTCGGACAAAGGGGTGGTCGTCCCAAAGTAATACAAGAAAAAAAAGGTTCGGTAGGAGGAAAGCAGTCCACGTTCTTGAGGAGGTTCCTGGAAGGTGCGTTAATGGCGTTGGAGGAGCAAGGTGAATTGCCGTCGAGGTTAGATGATTTCCTGATGGTGGTTGTGTTTGTGTGTTTGTGTGTTTGTTTGTAGAAGAGAGGTGCGGGTTTGAGAGTTGTAATGGTGAAAGAAGAGGAGTAAAGCTGGTATGTGCTGCGGTGGTGCTCAGGTAAAGGGAGAAAAAAGAGCAGTCTCTCCGTGGTGGGTGCGAGACAGGTACGGTGAATGAGAATGAGCTAGCGGCGAGGAGGGACAGAGAAGAGGTGTTGAAATGAGCAAGAGTGAAGGGGAGTGGGAAGAGTGGGAGAGAGAGAGAGGGGTGTAGGAAGAAAAGGGAGAAGGGAGAAGGGAAGGGAGAATGGAAAGAAGGGAAGCGAAAGGGAAGGGAATAAGTAGTGTGAGGGCAGAAAGAGAGAGGAGGGGATGAATACGCAGAAGAAAGAAAAAAAGTCCTCAGAAGTCAAAAAAAAGAGAGCGAAGTGCGAAGTGCGAAAGTGGGCGAAAAAAAAAAAAAAGTGGGCGAGAGAAGGAAATGAGAGTGGAAATAAAGACCAGCGATCACGGGATTGGTGTCAATGGTGCAAGGGCATTTGATCTTGCGTTCAACAAAGAGACGAAGACAAACAAAAAAAAGTCAATGTCTAAGGGGGTGAAGCAGAAGAAGAACGAACAGCAACATCATCAACGAACGTACATAAAAAAAATGAAGCAGCCTTTAAAAGGGGGTGGGCATCATGACCATGACGGGCAATTTGCACCAAAAAAAAAAAAAAAAAAGAGAAGGGGCTATGAAGATACAGAAAAAGAGAGAGAATGATAAAGAGGGTAGAGGGAAGAAGGAGGGTCAAGGGAGTCAAGTTGTACAAAAGTGAGGGGTGGGGTGAAAAAAGGAGGAAGGAAGAAGAGCGATAGAAATCTGTTCTTACTTTGCTTTCCTCTGATTTGCGTCACAAAGGCATAAGGATCTTGGCCGGGGATGACGATCGTTTCCTAGGGCAGTCAGGCGAAGTCGAAGAATGTCGTGGCCAAAGAATGAATGCAACAATGCAACAGTGCAAGCAAACAAACTAACAAAGCGACGCTTCTTTGAGTGAATGTATGCGTGTATGTATGAATGTATGTATGAATATATGAATGTATGTATGCATGTATGAATGTACTGTGCGCTCGAAGGTACAGTGGACGATGCGGATGGAGGATGAGGGGGAATGAGTGGGATAAAGACACGTGTGCAGCCAGCAGAGACCGGAGGATAACGGGCGTCTGCAAGAGAGTTGAGATGCTTCTTCCTGCCTCCTTGCTTGGCAGTATCTGTGTGTGTTTGTGTATGTCCTGATGACTGTGCAATAGAGAAATAAGAGAGAGTGATGGATGGGGATGAAGGTGGAAGGGAAAAGGAAGAAAGAAGCGAAAAGATGACAGTGGCCGATGTTGTTCTTAAGTACTCGCCCATGTTGGACAAAAAAAAGAGGCAAGAAAATGGTGGCGCAACGCGCTGTTTGAATTTGAATAGGAACTGTTAGACTCAGAAAAGCATAATCGGCAAGAAAGAGAGGGCGGCGCATTCATTGCCGCGCCATATCCATGAAGACGAAATGGTATTGCCATGGCATGGAAAGCAGTCAAGTACTGCACACCCTCCCCGTCAACATGGGCTAGCCTTGTCCTTGTCACTTTGGGCACAGGCACGATTGCCATTTCTTTTGTCATGTTAACAGAGAGCTACAAGTCCCATTTTTTGTGGTCCTCAGAACTCTCATCCCTGGATTCCAAACGCACTGTCCATTCATACTACCAACTTTGGAATAGGGCACAGCGTATCACTTCGTCAACAAGGAAAAGGGCGAGTGACCCGTGTGCGTATTCCTTCGCAGCTGTCAACAGACAGGTACATAAGATACACGTACGTACACAAGTGACGAGAAGGAAAAGAGTGAGCGCTCTTTTCTGTCTACTGTTTTCCGTTGCGAAATAAATGAAAAAAGGTGTATGTGTCTGTGAATACGCCGCCATGCCCTACTCTCCATCTGTCCCCTGTTTCTGGCCATGACTACTGAGCTGGAGCGACGTTCAGTCTCTCGTCAATCTGTCTGACTGTGTCTCATAGTTATTGCAATTGTTTGTCGCAAGGGGGGAGACGACAGAGGGAGGGGAAGAGAAAAGTACTAAAAGAAAAGGGCGCAACCTAAATTGAGCAGAGATTCAGATGGACATTTCCCAGCAGAGTGACAATTCGACTAGGACATCTATCCTTTGGAAGAGCATGGCCATAGGCTTCGCCTTGAGATAGACGAGATGAACAACGGTAACATGAAGACGAACAAATATAATGACCAACAAGGTTCAGAAGTGTGTGTAGCAACTGTCTTCCTACTACCTGCGACCACAGCTTGCTTCCACGACAACGAAACAAACAACAATAACAAAACAACGAAACGAAACGAAGGCGTGAATCAACTTTAAATTGTCATAAAATAATACATGTAATATTGCATCTTCAGAAACAGGTGGCACCCACCCTGTACACCCTCGCACCACAGTGGTCCACCTATTACACTCTCCCTTGCTCTCTCAAACTCCGTCAGGCACACCTCTTTGTCACAAGCGCATATTAGATCTCCCTTGGCTCATCCCTTCTCTCTCACTCTCTCCTCCTTTCTTCACTTCTCCTTCACTTCCTTCTTGCGCTCCTCCTCCGCCCTTCTCTCTCCCGCTCCCTCGTTCCCTCCTTCCCCTGTCTGCGCATATTCTCAAGAAAAAAATACTCCCGCTCAAATACAACGACCCCACTACCACGCACCCTTTTTAATGTCCGGACACTACCCTCCAGAGCATGCTGCTGCAAGGCACCACCACCACTACAGCAACAACAGCAGCAACAGCGGCTACAGCAGCAATAGTTACAACAACAATACAAACAGATACTCAACTTCATCCAACACAACAGACAGCAGCTATGCCCCTCCTCAACGACCACAGCGTGCACATCGTCCCGTCCCTGATCCAACGACATCAACAACGTCCCTCGGCTCCTCTCTCTCACAGATCTCATTACACGACAATTCATCCCACTCATCCCTCCCAATCAACAATCATAAAGATGGCCGCTGGATTGCTGCACCCTCAGACAAGGATCTCCCTGAGCCACCAAGACCCAACAGGAGGTTGAATCGAGACTTTCGAATCATTCCACCGGCAGACGAGGTCGAGACTCTGACTGAAACAAAACTCCAGGAGAGCATACGCCAACTCCCTAAAAAGTCCTCCTCTCGACCACCCTCTGTCAGCCTCACCCATGGCATCTCTTCAACAAGGATCTATCAGGAACCAGCCCCCCAATTGAACAACGTCGACGAGGACGACGAGGAGAGTTATTTCGGTGATATCCTTGACAAATACTGCAACTCGGACGACGACGACATTCCATCCTCGTCCATCCTAACCTCAGACTGGAGGACATCCTCAAACGACCAATTGCCCACTCCACCCAGCTCCCGTTCGTCTCTCCTTCCCGTGGCCCCTCCACCAAGACGAGGAGCAGGAATAGGAGCAGGAACAGGAGCAGGAGTAACCGCATTGACTGCATCTTTGGGTCAGGATTCGTCGGCTGACTCGAGCAGGACACGCAGTCAGAATAACAGTGCCTCTGAAACGTCTCCGCCGTCTTCGTCACCAGCCAACCCTGCGACCACAAGGTTCAAGTACCTGCAGGCCGGACCTTCTAGGGAGAGCCACGATTCGCTCTCGAAATTGGCCACGCCCTCTGCTTCTCCTAACCAATCACCAGCCTCAACCACCACGCGAGCTTACACCAAGCGGCCTCCTCCTCCGCCCAAGGATGCATCAGCATCCACCACCTCCCAACAAAGCTCTCACTCTGAACCATGGAACCACAACAATGGCTCGCTCTCGGATCCCAAAGATCATCGTCCTGAGCCCCCACTTAAGGACAGCTCCAGGCGTATTCATCACAGCAACACCACCGCCACTACCAACAACAACTATGCCTCGAACAATCGCGGTAGTCAGAGTGCTGCCTCTCAGTCACCACAACTCTCGCTCGATCACCACCACCAGTCCTCCGGCCATCATATCAGCAGCTTTGCGGATGCAGTCGAGACGACTATGAATCGACACAGGGCAGCACCTCCAGTCCGTGGCTCGCATTCGGAACATTCCCACAGCAGCGATCGCACGCCATCATCATCGACATCTACGACCACAAGGGAGCGGTCGTCAAGCCATGGTCACTCTAGCCACTCGTCGTCGCATCATGGACATGATGGAGAGGGTTCTGGTGGCCACTCGGCGTATCACCGCCACCAGTCGGTTGGACCAGGACATAGGCACGAGCAGCATGGGCATTCTCACATTCAGGAGCGCAGTCGGTCCTTGCCACCTCAAGCGCGCCCAGATCACCATCAGAGTCACTCAAAATCGTCACAAAAACAACATAACTACCATCCGTCTCCGATGCAGGACACTCCTTATCGCATGCAGGGGCAGGGCTCTTCATCTCAGCTTGATTTCACGGGCTCGGAATACAAGTCGACCTCGACTCATCCTCCTTCTGCCGCACCGCGCTCTTCAAGCCAGGCTCCCACGTACACTGCCGAACGTACCCGAGTTCACAGCCATGCCCCAGTCTCGACCAACGGATCCTCTGGGAGATATGCACCCTCGATCAGTCTCAAGTCTGCGCTTCTCAAGACGCCCATTGCTCGTGCTCGCGCCAAGGAGTACAAGGGCCCCCGCAAGGTGATCTTTGGTGAGACGATTACTATTGTCACAATTGAGCGTACGCCGACACCACCTCCCCTCCCACCCATGGACAAGAAGTCCAAGAAGAAGCTGCTGCAATCCAAGAAGGCCTCAGGCAAGGACGGTAAGGGTCAGACGCAGAACTTTGATCCGGAGTATGACGCCAGGTACTATGACGCACCTTATACACCGACGCCCGCTGAGGTAGTCGTCACCACTGCGCCTTGGGTGGGTAACCCTAACTGGGACGAGGAGAGACAAAACTCAAAGTTTTATTATGACGACGAGTTGGACTATGAGTACGACGACTATGAGTACGAGGCGCCTCACGAGTCTGACATTCGACTGGGACCTGAGGATGGCGATGAGGATGATGAAGATGAGGACGAGGATGAGGAGGAGTACCGGGCTCGACCTTGGGGCCATGGCATTGCCGGACCTGGTGGGGCATTGCCCAAGAAGAAGGGTGGCATGTTCAAGTTTAAGAGCGCCGTCAACCGCCTCTTCCTCAACTAGAGTAGGCGTCATTCCTGCACTCCCAACACTTTTGTATGATAGTCTTATTTAATTATTTTTTCTGTACAATACTTTTCATTGAGCCTGAATGCAAGCAAACCATTGACCACTTTGTAACATGAAAAAAGCGTTGGCTCTTGTGTTTTGCTCGATGGGTTCAACAAGCACATCCAATGGAACTGCTTGGATAACATTCTTACTTTCCGATATTGCGCGAAATGATGGGCACCCCTTTTTGCACCTTTCTATGCTTCATTCATCGGACAAAAGAAATCATCGATGGAGTGTAACTTGATGCGGGGTAATTAGGCCAGAAGCGTGGGTTTTTCATGGAACGTGTCCAAAGGAAAGTAGGAGCTGGAATGGGCGCCATCAACAGCAACTGGAGCACCAAGAAGGGAAAAACAGTAGCAGAAGAATTGAGCCCGATCCCAGCTGTTATTGTTATTGTAAGAAGGAAATCCAGTTTTTATTTCACACGAACGAGCAATGGGAATCAGGGACAGCGAACGAGCGTTTTCACGCGTCCATGGCCGGTGCTTTCATTGGTCAACTAATTTCACACAAAGCGCCCAATTAACCGTTCTCTTCTTTTGTTTGCTCTCATTCTAAACTGTTGGACTATTGGGCATGTAACGTAGACCTTCGTTACTCTTTTTGGCCCTGCCTTTTGCTGGAGGAAGGAGGAAGGGGATTGCGTGGTTGTGATGAAGGGTGAATGATGAAGAGCCCTTCTCTTGCTGTAACTTCGACGATTATTTTTCTTGATGCTGCACCAACGTCAGGCTGATATTTTACCCTGGGCTTGCTCACCAAGAAACGTGGGTTCAAGAAAGAACCTCTAATGGCTTACATTCACGGAATAATAAGCGGGGGGCGGAGGACTTCCTGGACAATCTACCGATGATGACAGACGTACCTCGTTGCACTTCATTATTCTTGTTCCGTTCCCATGTTGCACCTCTCCATCAACGACCCCTCCACCTTCTCGCCTGTTCACTAAGAGAAATTCTGGGCCAACAGTTTTCTTTCCTGTCTTCTCCGTTGTTTGTTGCCATCCCGTTGGCTGGCACGGCATCCGATCATGCATATTGCGTTGAACACAAGGTGGGGACGAGAAAGACAAAAAATACGAGAGCGTTTTTATTTTTCCCTTTCTCGCTTCATATCTGTGGCATAAGCAATAACGAAAGAGAAACTAGAGGCACCAGCACCCAGTACCAAGTCCAGCAACGTGCTTGAAGGGATGGCCTAGTTCTTTGGCTCCAATTCCTGTCCCTCGAATAGTATGCCCTATCTGTTTCCCGAAAGGAGGCTCTCATCAGCGAATCACAATCCTGCTTTCTTTTCCCTCTATTCCGTGCGTCCCTCAGTTCTCACCAGCAACCCCTCCCCTTCCTTTCTCGCCTCCATGGCATTCCACTTCTTCTTCGTGGAAGAACTGGACGTATCTATAAAGAGTACATCTTCGTCCTTCTTTTTCACTTTTCTTTTTCTTCGTCTTACTTTTTTAGTCCTCCATCTCCTTCTCCCTCCACCCCATCCAACTACCAACCATGCGTTTTTCAGCACTGTTGCCATTGTTGGCCGTGGCCGTTGCAGCCCACGGTCATGGTCACGACGATGACTCGCACATCGAGAAGCGTTCCCAGCCTGGTGCTCCCCAGCCCAACCCTGTCGATCTTAGCCCCTTGACCTGGGGAGATGTCAACATCATCCACACCACCGGTATGTCCTTTGGCATCTCTTTTGCTTTTTGAGATGCGGTTTGTTTTTTTTTATGTTCATACCATTAACACCCTTTGGTGAATGATTAATTGTTGACAATAGATACCCACGGATGGTTGTCTGGGTAAGATAAACTCCTCCTCACTCATACCAACGATTGAACACTGAACATTTTCCTTGCTTGCTTCGCCCTCCCACATCGAAATTATTGTCACTCATTCACACCCACACACCTCCTTCGCATTCCTTCTCATCACACCTTCTATCTCGAACAGACACACGAAGGAGGCGTCGTACTCGGCTGACTTTGGGGATTTCTCGTCGTTCCTGTACCACATGCGCCAGCAGGCCATCCACCGCCGCAAGGATCTCCTCGTCGTCGACTCTGGAGACTTGCACGACGGCAACGGTCTTGGAGATGCTTCCCCCGTCAACGGAGAGTACACTCGTCCCATCTACCAGAAGGTAAACACAACCCCTCCAGCAACAAAAGCAATAGCGATCAACAACAATGTTATGCATACATACCCCATTCTTCACCCCTGAAAAGAGGTGAAAGACCTTGCATGGGATACCCTTGCTCTTACTCTAAGCATGCATGTGCGCTATACTCATTTTTTTTCGTGCTCCACTTTTTTGTGCTCTTTTATTTCTCACACCCTTTTTACGTTTTGCCTCTTTAGATCAACTGTAAGCGACCATAACAAGGACAAGCATATACGGACATATGAATCATTTGGAGACAACGATGGACAGGAACCATGGACACCCATGACTGATGCTGACTGCTCTCTCCCTCTTTCTCGGAACATGAATTATAGACGATGCTTTGTCTATCGGAAACCACGAGCTGTACGTCAACGACGTTGCCGAGAACACCTACCGCCACTTTGCTCCCGGCTGGGGCAAGCGTTATTTGGTACGTATCCCCTCGGACATGTACCTTTTTTGTTGACCTTGTTTTGTTTTCCTTTGTCGCCGTTTTTCTCTTTTTTGTGCTACATGGACAAGGGTACCACGCTAACTTTTTTGCGAATTCCTTTCCCTGCTTTCTTTTTTTTATATTTTCAACCGATAGACCTCCAACGTTTTCATCAAGGACAGCTTGACCAACAAGACCGTCCCCATTGGAAACTTGTACAACAAGTTCCGCCTGAAGTTCGGAAGTACGTCTACTTCTGCTTTCAAACCACATATGCCTATGGTGTTTTTTTTTATTACCGCATACCATTGACAAACAACATACCAACGAAATTGTACAACCATTGCTAACCCCGCATTATTCCTTTTCTATCTCTCTCAACCTCAAACCCAAACCAAACATTAGCTCGTGTGATGAGTTACGGATTCTTGTACAACTTCGTCGGCGCCGCCAATAACACCGTCATCGAGCCCTCCAACTTCACCGTCACCCTCCCCTGGTTCCAGAAATCCCTCAAGGAGGACGTCGACATGTACCTCATCGTCGGACATGTCCCTGTCCGTTGGGCCGAGGCCACCGCCGTCGTCCAGGCCATCCGTGCCGCTCACCCTTCCAAGCCCATTGTGGTTCTTGGAGGACACTTGCACGTCCGTGATTTCAAGGTCTATGATAACCGTGCTTTCGGTCTTGCCAGTGGTCGCTTCATGGAGACTGTGGGCTGGTTGTCCGTTGATGGAATTCGTGATCGTGCTTGCAAGGTTGAGACCAACTGTGTCGGCAAGAACTTGACTGTTACCCGTCGCTACCTCGACTCCAATGTCTACACCTACAAGAAGCACTCCCTTGCCCACCCCAAGCAGAAGTTTGACACCTGGAAGGGCCGTAGCATCACCAAGGAGATCGTCAAGATTCGCAAGACCTTGAACTTGTCCAACACCATCGGTTGCGCCCCCCAGGATTACTACCTCGCTCGCTACCCTTACACCGACGCTCGTTCATTGTTGAACTTGGTCTCCAACGAGGTTCTCCCCACCGCCGTCGTCAACGCCTCGCGTCCTTACCCCGGTGTTGTCATCGTCAACTCTGGATCCCAGCGTTTCGATCTCTTCAAAGGTCCCTTCACCCTCGACGACACCTACATCGTCTCGCCCTTCCACAACGATTTCGTCTACGCCAGCGTCCCTTACTCCATCGCGTCCAAGATGCTGACCGCCCTCAACGGCGCCCCTTTCCAGAAGCGCGGTGATGACATCCCCCTCCCTGCCTACGCCAAGAACGCAACTCTCACCCCTGGATACGTGACCAAGGACGATTACGGTTACGGTGGTGATGACTGGGCCCATTCTTCTATCCCTTACGTCTCCTCCCCCAACTATATCTCGTCCCCCTTGCCTACGGGATTGAAGGATACGGATCTGGTTGATGTTGTTTGGCTGTCGTTTTTCACCAACTTGGTCGACCCCATTTTGAAGAAGTTGGATCCCGCTAATACCTATGCTACGGGTATCTATAGGAGCGATGTTGACTCCAACTCGATGTTGTTGAACTTTGTCAAGGCCAAGTGGGCCAACACTACTTGCTAAACAACACGACGAAGAAGAGCAAGGTTTTAGGCATAATACCCCCCCCCCCCCCCCCCATCATTTTTTTTTCATATTTAGCATTGGAACGTCTTTTGTGAACTAGAGCAGTTGTTCCGCGTTCAAAATAAAAAAAAAAAGGAGAAACATTGGTACCTGTTCTCTCTTTTTCGCCATGTGTTTGCAAAGTTTTACAATGAAAAAAATATATTTGAAACTCCATTAGGTTCAGGTTCAACCACGTTCCGCCAGTCCACCAGAGATACGCCGCCGCCACCCCTGTTCCTGAACCTTGCATCTGCGAACAAAAATAAAACAAGACTCGTTATTTATTTTTTTGGCTGCAAAAATAAAAAGAAGAGTTAAAGAACAGTTCCCAATCCGGGGTTCGAACCCGGGCCGCCTCGGTGAAAGCGAGGAATCCTGACCACTGGACCAATTAGGAGGAGTTGTAGATTTTTGTAGTTTTTTCAATAACTTCCTTCAACATAAGGATACTTCTGCCACGTGATTCGAAGACGGACCCAAAAAAAAAGGAAAAGGTACCCGGGGGCCGGGGGCCCCCTTGGAGGCCTTAGAGCTGATCTGACCACTTCGGTGCTCCGAGGCGACCGGGTGGGAACAGACCCAAAGCATCTCTGCCAAGGACATGACATCCAAGTACACAGGCCCCCGAGGTGACTGGAGTCAAGGATACGGTTACATCACCCACGATGGTTTCTGCCCGTGTGGCGCTTCGCTAGCCACACATGATGAAGGAAGGTGCCCGGGAGCGACCAAGGACCCACGCGCTGCTGACGGGCGGTTGTTGGAGAGTTTGTTACGAAAGAGGAGGTTGTCAATGATGGAGAGGACGGGAAGAATCCCCTTCATTCGTATCTAGTTTTATTTTCTTCCGTTTAAGCTGTGAAGAGCAGCGACAATTGTTGCGCAGAGCCAGGTTCTGGACCGGACTGCGACTGGGGTGCACTGAAGAGTTTGGTCTGTAGTCACCTTTTACTTCCAGATGACTTCTCTATGCTGTTTGTTCGAGAAAAAAAACTGTGTACAAAAAAAAAAAAAAAAGGTGATTGTTGCTGTACTTTTATTTGCCATGCTGTCGCTTGCAGGTTTGTCTGTGACGGAATGAAAACGTGGTTGCTGAAAACAAAAAATAAAAATTTCAAGGTGAGAAAAAAATAACAAAAAGTCCAACCTTTCTACTTCCTATAAAAGTGAGTCTCCTGGGGCTCGCGTCCTCTCAAAAACGGAACCTCAGTGCCCTTCACGTACACATCCGTCCAGAACGTCTTCATATCCGGTTGCTCACTCTCCTCGGCCTCCTTCACCGTCTTATCCACCTCAGCCTTCGCAGCTTTCTCCATGTCCTTGAGTTCAGCTTCAGACAAGATCTGGGCTTCCAAGAGTCGTTCCCTCAAGTGGGTGATGGGATCGTTTTCCGATCGGACTTTTTGGATCTCCTCACGGGAGCGGTAGGAGACTCCTGGGTCTGAAACGGAGTGCCCTCTGTAGCGGTAGGTCTCCATCTCGAGGAGGAGGGGTCCCTTGTGTTCAGTTAGAGCCCACTCGCGTGCGTAGGCGATTGCTTGGTGGACCGCCAGCACGTCCATTCCATTCACCTAGGTTGTAAAGAGAGAAAAATAATTAGTTATGGCGCAGAAAAATAAAGTAAGAGTGAACACACACATACGCATAGCAAAGAGATCGCATACTACTCCCAATTGTTACCTTGATACCAGGGATGTAATCGCCTCGCTTGTAGTAGTCTGTATTTGCAGAGGACCGCGCAGCAGAAGTCCCCATCCCATATTGATTGTTTTCACAAACAAACACCGCCGGCAACTCCCACAGCTTGGCCATATTGAACGCTTCAAACACCTGCCCCTGATTCGCAGCCCCATCACCATAAAATACAAACGTCGCCGCCTTCATTCCAAGATACTTTTGCGCGAACGCGATCCCAGCACCCAGGGGGACCTGAGCACCGACAATGCCGTTGCCGCCAAAAAAGTTGGGTGTGAACATGTGCATGGATCCGCCTTTTCCGCCAGAGATGCCGATCTTGCGACCGAGGAGTTCTGCGACGATGGGGAGGATGGATCCTTTGCGCAAATAGGTGAAGCCGTGGGATCGGTAGGCTGTGATGACCTTGTCTTCTTGTGTCAGTGCTGTCTCCAATCCCACCCCGACCGCCTCCTATGTGATTTTGTAGAAAGGAGAAAGGAAGACAAAAAAAGGTACCAAACAGGTTAGCACAACTTTTGTTAACATTATCTGACGACCAAATAAAAGAAAAAAGATTGTGGATCATAGTGATGTCGAAATCCGCACTCTCTAGCTTCGCATATGAAAATAATGACGAATGAAAATAAAAAGGAGCTTACCTGACCGGTGCTGAGATGACAGAAGCCTCGTATGAGTTGAGACTTGTAGAGAGTATCGGCGGCGGTCTCTATACGACGTATGGTCACCATGGCCATATACATCCTCAAAAGTTCTTCATTCTGGAAGGTGACTTCCTGGGAGGGCGGGTCACAGTTGTGAGCGTGGAAGGAGTCCTTGGGCAGTGTCAGTGTCAGACTCTGGTTCTGGTCGTGATCATGGTCGTGGTCTCGGGGCGTGGGTGGTGCTGATGCCAGCGAGCGAGTTGGATGTTTGTTGTACAGGGAAAGCGTTATAGCCGGGCGGTGCTGCATACACATAAAAATAAGAGTACAGGAGTGTGAGCGGGCTGCTTTCATGCGCACCAATTCTGTTCTCCTTTGCTGCCTGCGGTTCGATGAGAAGAATGGTAGTAACTTACCCCAAGGATACTTAGTCGTGTCGTTGAGCGAGCGATGGTGGGAAGGACCCTTGGGAGCGCAAGTCTGACTGACGCGAGCATTGTTTGTTCGTTATGAGAGTGATTATGAGTATGTGGCGTTGTGTAGCAAGGAGTCAACGGTCGAAGGCGGGAGCAAAGAAGGGCAAGATGAAAATAGATAAGGAGAGGAGAGTTGACGAGAGAAGTAGTAAGACGAGGTGAAGAAAGAACAGAGTAATACGCAATAAGTTGGTTGTGATTGTGATTGTGATTGTGACAGTTCATGGAAAGTGACCGAGATAGTGCCTAACATCAAGACGCGTTCGTACTTCATATTGGTGTCATAGCAAGTGGTGGTTGGCTAGTGGGCTGAAGAGGGGGCACAGCAAATGAAAAGCGCTGTTGCCTGCTACGTGATGCTCATGTGGGAACAGGCACGCAGGCCATGCTTTTCGACTCTCCTGCCCGCTGTTTGTTGTTCGTTGTTTGTTTGCGAGGCAGACTGACTACAAGATGTGATCCCCAGACCACAAGAGGAGATGCAGGGTCTCCTCTTGTTTTCATCTCTTTTCTTTTTCTACGCGTGTTCATTGACGTACGACAACAACGGCTGTGGGCTGTGGAGGTGGAGGCGTGTGTGTGTTTGTGTGCAATGGCTGCAATCTTTGCACTCGATTTCGATCCACGAGACTTCATTTTTCATTAGCACCGCAGCATAAATAAATTCAAAGAAACAAGGGCATGCTAGCAATGTTGTTATTACATACTATATCCAGTTCCTTGTTTTACCAGCCTCCTTACTTTGAGAAGGAGTATGAGAGTGAGAGTGAGAATGAGAGTGAGAGTGAGAGTGAGAGTGAGAGTGAGAGTGAGAGAGTGATAATGAGAGTGTATGTGAGAGAGAAGGGAGAGAGAGAGAGAGGACCAGAAAGAAGGAGACAGCCAGCAGCAAAAACAAAAAAAACATTGGATGAGGGGGACAAAGGCAAAGCAACTGTGCCTAATAGTCAATAACAGATGATATTATGCCTTTCTCTCATCGCTCTATCCTTTGCCTTTTTATTTTTCTCCTCATGGTAGTGAAGGCAACAAGAGGACCCTTTTTTTTTTCTTGTACGTTCGCTCATGCGTCTCTTATTGTTGTATTGATGGACCAAGAAAAAGAGTCAAAACAATAGCCATCGGATGATGATCCTGTGTGACAGCCATGTTCAAATAGAGAAATTTCTTGGCTTTCTCTTGGTCAGTTGTTCCCTTTTTCTTCACTCTCTCTCTCTCTCTCTCTCTCTCTCTCTCTCACTCCCATTCTTCTTCCTTTCCCTCTTTCCCTCTTTCCCTCTTTTCCTCTTTCCCTCTTTCCCGCCACCACATCCACCCTTTCCAGCCCTCTTCATCTCTCTTCCTTTTCTTCCTCTCCTTCCAACACCACCCTTTACCCTTCCCTTCTCACTCTCACTCACTCACAATGCAGACCATCAAGTGCGTCGTCGTCGGAGGCAAGTCTCTCTTCCCTACTCACTTTCACCCTCACTTACCCTCACCCTCACCCTCACACTCACAATTGCACTCACACACGCACTCATACACTCCTACACTCATTTCCACATACACACACATACACGCACTCTTTTATCTTCCTTCACACTCACTCCCAACTCATTCCATTCATATTACTCCTGCCTGCCCTTTCTGCCTCCTCATCTTATTCCAGTCATACTTCCCCGCAAAAAAAAAACTATCATTCATATATCAAATACCGCCAACTACCACCTCTTCACGGATCTCACAGCAACAAAAAAGACTCATCTGACTAACCGTATTCACTTTTCCTTTTCTTTCATATGACAGATGGTGCTGTCGGAAAGGTAAAAAAAACAAACCCGCGCAACCCTTTTTCCTTACATATCCTCACTCGCGACACTTCTTTCCATCTCAGCCAAAGCAAAGAGAAGAAAGGAAAAAAACTCGGCACTATTAGATATTTGGACAGCACCTCCTGGGTTGAATACCGACACCACAGGCCTTTGAGAGGCGGCGACAAAAAAATATACATATGCAACACATACAGCATTGGGTGTCCCGTCCGTTCCGGAATGAACCAGCAACTGGACAGAGAGGAACATGACGAAAACGTAGCATAAGTCAAATAGGAAGGGGACCCAATAACACCGACACTTGGAACAGCCAGCCCTTGAGTAAGAGTAGAAAAAAAGCGCACCTCTTCACTCGCCAACATTCCGGTTCCACGCCGACAGGTCCCAATCTCGACGGGCCCTCTTTTTGTGCCGATGGAGCTGTTTTCCTTTCGCCCACAGGGACACTAGTCACACCTACCCACTCTTCCCTTACTCCCCCTCTTTTGCGCGCACGAAAGGCGCACGAAACCTTGTCGATAAAGGGGAGACTTGTTTGGCAACCTTTCGCTCGTTTGTTCACTCTGGAAGTGACGAACTGCGTGTTTTTTAGGCCCTGCCCGACTGACTGACTGCCTGCCTGACCGAAAAACCAACTGACTGACCAAACCTCCTGACATTTGACAACTTTGTTCATCCTTCTTTAGACCTGCTTGCTCATCTCGTACACCACCAACAAGTTCCCCTCCGAATATGTCCCCACTGTAAGTCGTCCTGATGACCTCTTCCTTTTCTTCTCATCTGTGGTCTTTGCTGGATCCACACCAACACTCATCTTCCCCCCTTCATACAACTGCAAACTACCTTTTATTTTCGTTATCCAAAAAAACGGCCCATCCTTAATTCTGTTACTGTTGTGCTGTGGTGGGGTAGGATGAGGGTCTGGATGTGGGTCTGGGTGTGGACGTGAAACGGTGCGATGGGAGGTGTAGTCGGTGCCACGCCACGCGAGATAATATCGGACGGAATGTGATTGAAGCGACCAGCATGAACAAAAAAAGACTGGGAGTGGGTGACAGCGGGAGTAAGAGCGCACCCTTCATACTGTGTTTGCCACTTCGGAGAGGCGCTTGCAGCATTGGGCGGTTCAATCTGGATGGCACACAGAGCAACTTGATGCGGCACATTACGATACGACACCGAGAGCATCAGCCAATTGGCACCAACTGCACGACATTTTCCTTATCTTCCTGTATTCTTCTTTTCGTCAGCAACACTCTCACTCCATACGCACGCTCAAGTACCCTTCATGCTGCCTTTCCTCCTTCGTTCGTGATGCTTAAAGAGTTGAGCATATTTTTTCATTGTGGTTGCTGCAAATGTGGGCATGTCAGTTCGGTCGAGGTGAAGAAGAGAGGCAAATATACCTCTTTGTGCCATCGTTTGGCTCTCTTCAATTGTTCAGAGCTGCTCTCGACATATATATTTTTTTTTAATTCTTTCGCGGCACCATAAACACAAAGAGACAAAGGAGAGAAGAGTTTGAAAGAGTGAGCAAAAACAACAACCACAATCGCATGGGATAGGGTGTATCGTGCAGAGCTCTCGTGCCACATTTGACCTAAAGCAGGCAAAGTCTGATGGACATTGTGTTAATCACACCAAACAACTTTATTTTTTGCCCTTGCCAATAGGTCTTTGACAACTACGCTGTTACCGTCATGATCGGAGACGAACCCTACACTCTTGGATTGTTCGATACCGCTGGTAAGGAAACGAAACGGACAAGGACCACGTCAAATGAAAGAGAACAAGAAACAAGAACACATAACGTCCGGAGACATGGAGAGAGATGACGATATCTGTCAGCCCACCCACAGCCCTCCATGACATGTCATGCACGCGGGGGATAAAAATAAGGAATACCACGACCCGTCCGCCCCTTTCTTTTTGTGCCTTCCCTTGTCGACTGACCCCTTTTCGTTTTTTCTTTTTCATCTCTCGTTCTATTGCATATGACGATATGCCACTGTAGGTCAGGAGGATTACGATCGTCTGCGCCCATTGTCGTACCCCCAAACGGATGTGTTCTTGGTCTGCTTCTCCGTCACCTCGCCTGCTTCGTTTGAGAACGTCAGAGAAAAGTGGCTCCCCGAGGTTCACCACCACTGCCCCGGTGTCCCCTGCCTGATTGTCGGAACCCAGGTCGATTTGCGTGACGATGCTGCTGTCGTAGAAAAGTTGTCGCGTCAGAAGCAGAGACCTATTTCAGCCGAGAACGGTGAGCGTCTTTGCCGCGAGCAGAACGCCATCAAATACGTCGAGTGCTCAGCCTTGACCCAGAAGGGTTTGAAGAACGTCTTTGACGAGGCGATTGTTGCCGCATTGGAGCCTCAAGTTGTTAGGAAGAAGAGCAAGTGCCTGGTCCTCTAAGGAACTCGGGAGTATTTCTTGCACACTCTCAACTACGAAGCAACAACTACAACCAACACCCAATAACAACAACAACAGATCCCCCACCAACAATGTTTAGTTCCCGAATTGCGTTGAGCAGGCGATAATGGTCAGGGAGGAGTGAAAGACAAATGAATGGAAGGGAATCGTTGAACGGATTCGACAATTGACAACAACAAACCATTGGAGGCTTCGCGATCTGGATTCTCTTTTTTTCGTCTTTTTTTACTTTCTTTTGGTCATGCTTTGCTGACCTTTTTGTATTCCACACGCGCCTCTTTCGAATATATAACTCTTTTTTTCTTCTCTAATAAAACAGCAGCAAACAAACAATATCAGGGTGAAGCACGGCGCGAGGAGATATTTTTGTTGGCGGCGAATGAGCACATTCATGCAGCCTTCACTCGGATATGAAACGCAAAAGGCCTCTTGAAAGGAGGAAGAGAAGAGAGGGGGACCTGTTCATCCGATGATGGGCTTTGTTGTTCTTGTTTATTAGTCGTCCAAACAAAGGAGGGAATGGTTAAAGGGGAAGAAGATGTCAAGGTGTAATGGGTTGGAGGGTGTAAGGCAATATCATGCCAGTTGTCGAAAAAAACGCTGCCAATATTTAGCAATGGATCGCTACGAGCAACGATAGAACAGAGAGGGAGGGAGGATAGGGACAAGTGGAAATCAAAAAAGAGAGCGCCCCGCGTTCTCGTTGTTTGTTTATACGGACTCCGTGTCGGCAGCTCCTGATGCTGATGATCCAGATCCAGATCCAGATCCAGAAGAGGAGGAAGACAAACCAGCTGCTGCCGCTCCTGAAGATGCCGATGCACCCTTTTGAGCCTCAGCCTGTTCCACTGCATCTTCCTCCTCCTCTTCGTCATCCTCATCATCCTCCTCCTCGTCGTCTACGGCGTCTGGTGCAACAACAGCGTCCTCTCCTTCGTCGTCCTCTTCATCGTCGTCCAGATCCTCCTGTGAGACTTTTGAGTAGTCGATCTTGACGCCGCGGGTCCTGCGGCCTGTGTGAATGATGTTGGAGGTTTCCAGAAAATCCAAATCTTCATCTATTTAATTTTGGACGAATGTGCAAGAACGATCGGATCGAGAGAAGAGGGGTTAGATATTAATGTGGTTTCTTTTGTGTACGTTCCTGGTGTTTGATTTGTTGTGTTAAGTTTTCGTTGGTCCAGGCAGGGATCCGATCCAGTCGAGGCTGACAGCGGAACAACTCTCTTGTTTTGTCCCGCACCGCGGAAGAAAATCACCATCGAAATATCAATCCGTTGATGTTGTGCTGTTGGGAGAAAAAGCATTTGTGGGTCTCCTTGTAATGACTTGAATAGAGGATATTCCTCCAAAGGTCCCTGTGTTTCGTTTTTGTGATGAATTCAACAGTTGGTCGTTATCCTGTTGACTGTTTTATCTTCCTTACCGAGGTCATCATCCTCCTGTTCACTGTCGTCCTCCAGATCCTCGGGCTTGGTGGATGAGCTCGACCCGACTGAGCGCTTGGTTGCCTCTGGGGCGATTGGCTCTATTGTGTCAAGAACAATGATTGTGATTGTGAGTATATCATGCTTGTTGTTGCGCGATAAATGATTGTTTTTGTATCATGTTGAGATGTTTTGACGGTGTCGCTCGTGAAGACTTCAAGTCGAGTCCAGGTTTTGTTACCATCGGCCTTGCGCTTCCCGGCAGTGCCTTCGGATCTCTCAGCGGGGCTAGAGAGCAAAAAGTGATAAAATGACGCGAAAATGTAAAGGGCTTTGTTGAGTGAATGAGGTCCTCAGTGCAAGTCGGCTATGGTAATGTCCTCGTTGTTGTTTGTCTTCCTTGAGCAATGAGGTGTTGACCGTACTTGTCTGACATGGTGGAATGAGAGGGGTCTTGTTGGTTGTTGGTTGGTGCGTGGGTAGGGTTGAGGCGAGGAAGGGCTGTGTGAAAAAAAGGGATAAGAAAAAAGAAAGAAAGAAAGAAGGAAAGCAACAGCGTCGACTGTTAGTGTTGTTTTAATCATTTGATGTGCAATTGGGTTTCGCTTTCTTTGGGGGCGTGAAAAGTGTGAAGTGGACCAATAGCCAGTCACACATACTTCGAAGTGTCCTTTTTTGACGCTCTTGTTGAGCCTCTTGTTCTTGGTCGTCTTCTTTTTCTGATTTGCTACTCTCAACTCTCAAAGACAAAAACGACATCAGGAGAGCCGCAGCCGATAAACTCCTTTTAACTCTTTCTCTTTTCATTCCTTCAACCTCGTCGACATCCCATCACTCTCCTCTCCTTGTATTTATTTGTTCAAGTTCAGCACAACCACTACGTAATGGTAAGCGCAACTCACAGGAAGTCAATTAGCAATCGCACTGCACTCATGCTCTGACTTGGTGTCTGTTTGCTGCTGCTCCTGCATTACTCATCACACTCGCTTTTGTTTGCCGAGTGGACAACCATTCACTCGAAAAAGAATGAACAAAGTGGAAAATAAAAAGCTTGCGTCCGTTCCTGGGACCCATGGTGGACATGCTGCTGACTCAATACCTCTGTGCTTGCTTCTTTATGTTCTTTCGGATGGCCGATGACTCGCCTCCTGCCTCTCTGTCTCCTTAACAACAACAACAACAATATCAAAAAAAAAACGACTATATCGGATCCAACAGAACACCCTTACTCAAGACCAGCGTTCCAAGACGCAGACCCTCATCTCGATCGTCAACATCAAGTAAGGGACACAAACACCATCTACTTTTTTGTAGCAGTCAGTCACTGCTCTTGCTAGCGACGACAGTTACTCGTACCGGGAGAACCCATGACACACGAAAACACTACACAGAGAGCTAACCAAACGAGTGACAACATCTTGCACTGGGAATGAATTCCCTTGCCCTATCACTTTACTTCTTGCGTTTCTTATTGATGAACCCATTAGGGAGCAGCCTGCCATCACACTTCTCAGAGATGCCAAGTGGGATATTCAGGTCGCGGTCAACAACTACTACAACGGCGCCACCGCTGCGCCTCAGACCAACGCAAAGCAGAGCACACCCGTCAACTCCAAGCAAATCGAAAAGATTTTTGACGACTTCAAGGGTATATTTTTGTTTTTTGTATGCTGTAATGCTCAGAGCACAAAACGAGTTTGGCAGGACAGATGGAGATGGCCTCATCCTGCCCACGAACAGGGGTCACAATGGAAAGGAGATACAAACAAACGACATGAACAACAGCAGCAGCATCATCGATATTACCGCCACTCGATATCAACAAACAGCAACAGCAAGGCTAGGAGGAGAAAAAAACCAGGGGAGCAGACGGAGGCAAGGGAGGAAAAAGATGAAGGGTCAGGCATTTTGATCTTATCCCCTTCCCTTCCTGCGGATTGGTTCCTTTTTGCGCTCTCTCGTTAGTCCTTCTCTATTGAAATTACTCATCATCTTTCCAACTTGTTGTGCTGCTATCTTTTTAGATGAGAAGGATTATATTCTGATTGAGGGCATGGAGAAGTTCTGCGAGGCCTTGGACGTTGACCCTACTGATGTTGTCATGTTAGTCATGGCCTACCACCTCAAGTCTGAGAATATGTGCGAGTTCAGTCGGACTGGCTTTATCGAGGGCTGGACTAAGCTCAGGTATGGTGGCAAATCTTTATTCAACTGTTTGAGATTGTTGGACCGCATGGTATTATGCTCCGTTTAACTAATACGCGCCCATTTCATATGGACGAGATAGATGCGACACTATCGAGAAGATGAAGAATGCGATCGAGACTATGCGCCAGGAACTCAAGGACGACGCAGCTTTCAAGGAGATTTATTACTTTTCGTTCAGCTTTGGTTTGGGCGAGAACCAAAAGAGTTTGCGTATGTGGAATGACAGACTTGTGCATTGTTTTTCGGCATTGACACACTTGTTTGCTTGTGCGCTGTCATTTCTCTCCCTGGCCATGACTGACCTTTTTTACTCGTCTACTCTTCTTTTTTTTCACCCCTGAATCCCTTTGAAATAGCCTTGGATGTCGCTATTCCATTTTGGATGCTCTTGTTGCCAGATCGCTTCCCAAGACTTGACATGTGGTGCGATTTCGTTCAGAACAAGTACGGCCGCTCCATATCGAAGGACACCTGGCAGTTGGTGAGGCATTTTTTCTAATTCTTTCGTCCTGGAGAAAGTTCATTATCATGCTGTTTTGAGAATGCGCATGAGTGATATACTGACCCAAAGCATGCTGCATGTTTTTTTTAATGTAGTTGTTGGACTTTGTTAACCAGGTCGATCCCCAGTTCACAAACTACGACGATGAAGGTGAGCACATGTCTCTTGTTGTTGTTAATGGTCAGGACATTGGACGATCGCTTTATTGTATTACTATTGCAGAGGATTAATCAAGTGCATTTGTTTGTTGTGTCTATTCCTCTTTGCTATTAGGTGCCTGGCCTGTTCTTATTGATGACTTTGTTGAGTACGGTCGCACGACATTGGATCAGGACTAATTTTGGAGACGCGGGACCTGACCTGATAACACCTTGGTGTTTTCTTGTGCATCACTCTATCTCTCATTCCGCTCCTTTGCTTTAACATACTTCAGCATACAAGAAAAACAATCAAAACACAATACAACACATATCGACTTAATCAACATCGTAGTATTCGGACGTTCAACTCTGTTTTTTTCGTTCAGTGGATGCGAAAATTAGCGCCACCAAATATCTGATCGCACTTCGGATATCTACCAAGACGTCATCATCATCGCCTCGGAAAGTTGGTCCCTTTCGCGAAAGGGATCGGATCTCAACCCTTTCTCATCACCGACACTCATCCCATCACCCCTTCCGCCCACTCTCTTTAACTTTTATAATCAACCATGTTGAGTTTCATCACCGATTTGTTCCCTGCCGTCTACGCAGAGGAGAAGCACGAAGAGGTCGCTGTTGAGGAGGCCGAGGAGGAGGTTGCCGTCGTCGTTGAGGAGGAGGAGGAGCCCGAAGATATCAAGCCCGAGATTGAGGAGGGTAAGTTTTCTTTCGGGTTCTTGTTTATTTTATTTTTTCCTCTTTCTCTGCATTCTTGTCGCTGTCGATGGTGGCAGGAGAAAGAAAAGAAACATGGATGCCGGGCGACCTTTACCACCGCTTTTTCGCAGGACATTCTCTTTTTTTTACCCTTTTAAGACCACTTCGGACATTCGGATTGATTCAGAGAATCCTGAAACGCGGCCGGATGATTGCAAAAAAAAAAGCCAGCAATTCACCTTTCGGATCGATCAGGACCTCCCACCAGCGCCTTCCTCTACCGTTCGCGACAACCCTCTTTTTTCCCCGCCGTCGACGTTATACACCCTCCCACTTTTTTTAATTGATACGACATCGACAGCCAACTTTTCCGAAGGACCCCGCCAACACTGCCCCGCATCGCCTTTTTCGCCCTTCCACCACAAACCACAAACCACACACACCACCCGACCGACCGGCTTAATTTCTATCGCACCAATCTTCAATTACACCTCCAGAATCCTGGGATCCATAACAACACGCGTTTATTCCAAATCACTTCAATTGCTAACTTCGATTGATCCCTTATTAATCATAATAGCTTGCGGTGAGACCTCTACCTGCGCCCCATTGAAGCACCACCTCGAGGAGTGCACCAAGCGCGTCGAGGACGGAGCCCACGAGGACTGCATCGAGGAGTTGTACCACTTCTTGCACTGTGTCAACGAATGCGTAAGTTTTTGACTTTTTTTCCTTTCCCCCCCACCTTTGTTATGTATTGCGCCGGCAGGACGGATTTGTACCCTCGCCGGAAAAAGAAGGATCAAAATGAGCACTGCATTATATTCGTGCATTTCAAGGAAACCAACGTTTTTTTTTATCAAAAAGATCACAAAAAAAAGCGCATCGAAGATCAGGAACCCAACAGGAACCACCACGTCAATTGGTGTAGAAAACAACGATACGCCCATTGACAATAAGCGACGACAAACCGACAGCATATATACCCGGATGGACGATACGAGAGTAGCAGGAAGGGCGGAATCATCTGTGGACGGGATCGTCCTTTGTCACGGTCCCCTCAGTTTCCGGACAATTTTCGGCCGTTACATAAAACATTTCATACTTTTTTTTGTTTTTGTTTGGCTTGTGATACTGACCCCACGATCCTCATCCTTTCTACTTTCTCCTTACTATAATAGGCTGTCCCAAAATACTTCAACAAGCTCGTTTAGATTTCTTTCTTCTTTATACATCTCTCCATACACATGGCTTCCAGCCAACTACTATTAAAGCTTCATAAAATATATGTTGAAAGTTTTTATTGTTTTGTAAGTATAGTTTTGTAACGGTAGAGTTGATAGAAAAAATGTGTGTGTGTGTGTGTGTGTGTTTAAAGGTTTGTCAGAAAACGAGAGGGAAGGTATTGGTGGCGCTCAAGCAACAAAAGGAGGGGGGGAGTGTCTCTCTCTCTCATTCGTCCTCGTCCTCGCCTGAGAGGTCCTTGTCATCGATGCCAGCAGCCACTGCAGCCGCCGTAGCGGCAACAACCTCCTGCTCATAGTCCGATTCCTCCTCTCCAGACTCGACAAACTCGTTCGTCCGGATATTTTCCGTCGCAGCCGCAGCCGCAGCCGCTGTCGCCGCCGCCGCCGCCTCTTGGGAAGAGGTAACAGAAGGCTCGAGTTGCATCTTGAGCAGGATCCTCGATAAAATCGGCATCATGCTATCCGAGTTCATCTCATCCCGCAACATCTCTTCGGCTTTGCTCTGGATCGAATTCAATGTCCGGCGAGAGTTATCTCCAAAGTGCTGATAAAGTGCCTTTGACGCGGCCTGTTTCGCGACGACATACGTACGCATCTGACGGAACCTCGCCACAGAAGCAAACGTCTCCCGGTTCGCCGAAGGGCCTTGAACAAGTGCGGCTTCCGCATACTCGGGACTTGTAATGATCCTCCTGGTCTCTCTATACTTCCGGACCTCCTCCTCTTCAAGCGCAGTCATCTTGGCCAACAGTTCCTTGAACGGCATGGTCTTGTACCCCTCAACTTTGGATCGCGTCACTCCAAATGCTGATTGAAGCACTGCAGACGACGCCGAGAACTGCACCGTCATCACCGACTCGGCGTGGGCGGCCGTCAAGGCTGCATCCATTGCTGCCACAACACCCGCCAACACTGATCCGTTGAACCGATCACCATCACTCACAGCCTTGTCTCTCTTGGCCGACAACCGTTCACGGGCCTCAATGATCTTGCCCAGTATCTCTCCGTTGGCCTCCTGGAGCTTGGCCCGAAGTTTCTTGGCCATGGTCTTCCACTTGATCTCGGAGTACTCCTTGTATTCAGACTTCTCGATCAGACGCATGACATCAAGGGCACGCTGGCGCGCTCCTGTTCTTCTTTGGAGATGTTCGGGCGCGGGTGGCACAGTGTTGGTCGTGACATTGGCTTCTGTGGTGGTGGTAGTGGTAGAAGAGCCGGTGGTCTCTGCTTTGTCGGTGGAGGCTGCAGATGCGGTCAACAATGCTGGAGAGAGCAATGCTGAGGCCGATGGAACAGGAAGTGAGGTCGCCGCAGCGATGGCGGCCGTCAAAGCCGCATGATCTGCTTGATCGGCACTCGACATGGAAGAGGTGCCGCCGGCATGAGTCGATCCCGAGCCGCCGATCGCCTGGGTCCAAAGAAGACTACTATCAGACCCGTTGGGCATGACGTTCTGGAGGGCAGCAGCAAGGACGCGGATATCCTCAACTGGAACAGTGAACTCGGTGGAGGCGGATGCAGGCTGGACACTAGAAGGTGATGTGCCTCCTGCTCCCTCCGCCTCTGCTTGCCGCTTCTGTCCATTCTTCTCAGAAATCGACTTTCGCAGTGACATCACGTTCGAGGCCGCCAGGGTCTGTTCAAGAGTTGGAGGCAACCAGTCGGCCATCTCCATCTTGGGCTGCAAGGACTGGGTGTATCGATGGCGACACTGATGCCTTGACCGAGTACCTCCCATCAACTCCGAGATTGCCGTCCACATGTGCGTAGCATCGGCAAGGTTGGTCTTTCCTTGCTTCTTTGCAAGGTCCGTCATGATGTCCAACAGTTTCTTGTCCTCCTCAGGTGCCCACGTTCCAGTATTCATCGTGGCTAGGTCCTTGAGATGGTTACGGTAACGGTCACGGCAACTGTCGGCCATACGACCTAGGGCCACTCCAATTGTCGTCCACTGGCCCTTATGCTTGGCGTAGTATTCAATCAGCTTGTCGTCGTCTTCCTTTGTCCAAACTCCCATGTTGTTCTGGGGATGGTACATACGGCGCACATGCAAATAGATGTTCAGCAGTGGTCTCGTCTTCAATCGGCCAGCTAAAAGATATTGAAAAGCAAGGGTGTAAATGAAAGTTAGAAGTTGGTTGTCTTTATCCAACAGCAAGGGTAAGCTCCAAGTACATCATAAACTAAGCTTACCAATTTCGACCCAGAGAGACTTCAGCTCGTTCCGCTCCGCCTTTCCGGCTCCACGGCCTGAGGCCTTTTCGAACCACTCATGGAGAGCGTTCGGGGGCAGATGGTGGCGTGAAATGTATTCGTCGATGCTTTGGCGAATAATGTTGTCCTCCCCCGGACTGAACGTTCCCGTGCGGTATGGGATGCCTAGAAGACATGCCAACAAACATAACAAAAAACAAAAGCAATTAGACAACATTTCAACAAAACCACCCACTAGACAGAGCCAGTAAAGACCAACAATAGCATTGCTTACCTCGCTCTTTCAACTCGGTGGCCATCATCCACTTGGTGTGCAGAATATTTTCAGAGGCGCCACTCATATCATAGTCCATCTGCTCTTCCAAAGTCCTGGCATTGGCAGCGTTAGCAGCCGCCACAGCTGGCACACCAGTTCGAGTGTTCCTCTTGGGCCCGGCCGCTGCGGCCGCCTTCTTCTTCTTGGTGCTACTGCTCTTGCCATCAAGCACTGGCAATCCGGACGCCGCCGCTACCGCTGCCGCCGCCGCGGCTTCCCGCTGCATAATCTGACCCAAGGTGGGGTGGTGCTCTGTGTTGTTGACAGTCGCGAGGATCGAGGGGTCGTTGCTGAGGCTCATCAAGATCGCGTTCGCATCCTGATGCTGCTGTGGCTGGGCTGCGGTTGCCAAACCGTCCTGCTGGAGCAGCATCTGCATCGCTGGAATGCCGGCAATCGACTCTAGGATCTCCTCTCGCGTCAGCTGTTCTGCACTGCTAGCGGTAGCGGTAGAGGTAGACGAAGCAGTGAAAGGAATCTGTTGCTGGAGTTGTTGCTGCATCTTGATCACATCCGCACTCACACCTGCAGTAGTGGCTGTCAAGAGATCAGCGACAGCGGCCATGGTCGCATCGTTGACAGAGCGCGCCTTCTGAAGGACCTTGGATCGAGCAGTCGCCTCGTCCTCATCGCTCGAAGAGTCCTCCTCCGCGCTGGAATGGTCACCACCACCAAAGATGTTCAGTTCGTCCAAATTTCCAGATCCAGCGGAACCGACTGTGACAGGACGACTAGAAGTTGGAGGGACGGCAGTTGAGGCGGCCAAGGACTCGACGGTAGGGGTCACGAGGGCCTTCTTGAAGCTGCCGACGTTTAACTCAACATCGTCTTCTTCATGCTTTCTCTTCTTGTCCTTGTGCTCCTTGTGCTTTTTGCTCTTCTTGTGCTTCTTGTGCTCCTTGCGTTCCTTGTTCGATAACTCCATGTTTGTCAACTAGAAATGTTATCAGGAAGAAAGAAGAGTGAGATGTATTAGTGATCTTTTTCGAGGGGTGGGGTGGCTTGTCAGCAGGCTGACAATACCAGCCGCCTCGCCCTCATGCGAAGACGCACAACTTCTATCTGATGTTCGTTCAGTCTAGTGTCACGTTCCATGGTCAGCGCTGTTTACTCTCCCCGGTCGTCGTCGTTGCTCTTGTCATCCCTTGCCAGTTTATTTCCAAATGAACAGATCAATGCCATCCAACAGCCCTATTCCCCCCTGTATGAGTAGATTTCTGATGTTCTTTCTCTCACCATCACTCTTCAAGCTGCACGAGGTTATCCTCATGACAAGTTAGCATGGCGCGCGTACGAGGAGGGAGGGGAAGAGGAGTCTCATTCAAAAGCATTGGTGGTTGGTGGCGTTTGGGATTCATTTTACCTTTTCGTTAAGGGCGTAAAAGAGGATGAGGTGAAGAGGAGTGGAACGAGAGGAAAAGAAAAAAGACTTGAGGGTGGTTTTTTGTTTGCAAGCATCAAGAAGGCATGAAAAAAACAAATATCAGCTGGCAGGTAAGGCGCGTTATCGCAAATGCTGCACACACGTGATGTATCATCCTAAGAAATTTGTATGTGGTGCTTGCTTTTTTTTATTTCTCTAGTTATTCATGGACATGCAAGGGAAGCCTATGAGTAGGCGCTCGTGGGTGGGGGAAAAAAGGCCAAAGACTTCAGAGAAGTTACCGGGGAATGAGTGGAGAGAGTGTGGATGGGTGGAAGGTGTATCCGCTCGTCACCGCCTGCACTGCTGAGCGACGATCGAGAGGAGGAGCTGCTCGCATGGTGACCTTGAGCATGAGGCGAGGTTGGCGTTTGAAGTCTTGTATCGCGCATAGGAGGCGCTTCTCGATGGGACCCTGCCCCATGGTTCATCGTTGGTGCATGGAACTCGGATGGCGAGAAAGGGTGGGGCGGCGAGAAGTTGCTCTCGCTGTGCTGTGACGACATTGACGGTGTACGGCTGTGAAGAACATCTTGTTGTTTGTCAGAAGACACATCCTCCATCTCTTCGTCGTTCAACAGGGAAGCAGGGAATCCGTGGCGAGCAGATGGAACGGCTCGGGACTTGCTGCTCTTGGATGATGGCGTGGCGTGAGACAACGGGGCTCCTTGGGGCGAAGTAAAGGCGGCAGAAGGAGGATGGGCCAAGGCAATTGCGTGTGGTGGTGGCTCGGGACCGTGAAAGTAGACGGGGTGGCCTTCAACCCAATATGGACCATGATTTTCGAAGGGGTGATGGAAATAACCAATGCTGGAGGTTGAAATGTACCGAGGGTGGCCAAACGAGCGGGATCGCTCTCTCTGAGCAGCATACTCAACAGGGTAGCCGTGATCAGGTCGACCACCACGGACCTCTCTTGGATGATGCACCAACGCACTGCGAGCAAAGCCGGGGTGTTCGAAAAGGCGAGAGTTGGACTCGATGTGGAGCCCTTCATAGAATGCAGAGGGCCTCTCTTGCTCGTAGTATGGGTCGCGGAACCGCAACGAAGCCGAATAACGGGGATCCTCGTACCGCCGAGGGGAGAGGTCCAGTCTGTATGGGTGGTGGCGGCCCCACGATGGCGCAGAACCAAAGGCAACATAGGGCCCAGGTGACGATGGGGGCGTCCTCTCCGAAGCTCCCTCGGATGAATAGTTGCTCTTGGATCGATGATGTCTTGAACGACTGGCAATGGTAATAGGTTTCGAACCAGTGCTGGCAGCAGCGGTCGACGACGACGATGTGGAAGGCTTTGTTCGTTTCGCGGGCTGAGTATCATGGCTGGAGTCATGATCGCTTTGATCGCCGTCGTTGCAGGACGAGAGAGGACTGTGCATGGCTACGGAGGTGCGGCTTTCCTCCTCTTCATCTGCGTCGGTGGATTCGTTCACGGGTCTCTTAGGCTTGACGTGGTGGTCCTTTCGGATCCGAATCCGAACACCTTGGTCGGAAAAACTCCTTGACAAAAATGTCGACTCACACATTCCAGGGAAAGTCTTGCTGGAGTGGACCGTCACCGGGTTCGACGCAATGGACATCACATGTACGACCTGACCCTCGACCAGCTCGAAGAGTGTGAATCGAAGGCGGAACCGGCCCTCGATTCTGGCAGACATGTCCCCAAAGACAAAGAAGCCGCCGTCAGAGTTGTCGACATCCTTTAGCCGGTTGAGAGACGAGACGACGGTTCCGGCCAGTGCGCGGTGTGCTGGGGCTACAATCTCGCCTTCGGGCTCATTGGCGGGGACGAGATTGCAGCACATGAACAGGTATGGGCTTTGAAGATAGTCCCTGCAACAAGCAAGCAAGGAAGAATGTGAGAAAATAGTAGAAAGAGGGTAATGAACAAAGGTTAGATGATCGTTTTGGTTTGCTGCAAAAATAGCAGTAATTTTCCGTAAAGTCATGCCACTCGTTGACATTCGCACGCATTCAATATTCGGAGAGAAGGTGAGAGGTTGCATTTACTTGTTCTTATCGATCGAAGGTTCGGCCAGTTTGATCTGGATGATAGGGGGCGGGTCAATTGGACGACGGTCGCGCTCCTTGACACCGCAGACCTTGGCTCTCTGAGGCTGCTGACGAATAGACAGTATAAACTTGGATCTATTGATAATGAACAAAGAAGAATGGTTAGGAACATAGCGAACAATTGATAAACGGAAATAGGCCGGTGCGGCTGTTCAAGGGTGTTTGGTTGCGTTATTGATGAGTCTGAGACACCAAAAATCCTGGGGAAAAAGTGTAGGAGAAAAAAGGGAGGTGGAGGCAGGAGACATATTGCAGGAACAGAAACATAACAAGGCGACTTGTCCAGTCGGAGCAAGAGCAAGTGAACGAGATAGAGAGGGGAGGGAACCGAGGATCATGTTTATCCGGGGAACCAACAGAAACGAAACGAGCAAAGATCTGAGCAGCTCAAATTCTCTCTTTTCCCCTCTCAATCTCAATCTCGGAGTAAGACAAATAGGCTGGGCCTTTTTTTTTTTTTTTGTATGTCAGAAATAATACGTACGATGAAGGCGTCTTGGAGGGGTCGGACTGGCCACTGACGAAGCAGTAGGCCGAATGAGTGGTTGGCTTGACCATTGTATATGTGTGTTGTATGTGAAAGGAAAGATTTTTTCTTTTTGTGTGCTGCTGAAGGAGTGTAGCGTGTGTGAAGAAGTGAGACTAGGAGTTAGGAGGGATGACGCAGTGGATAAAAAAGGTGTCGATAGTGAACGGGAAGAAAAGTTGGATTTGAGGTGAGGCGAGTGTTCATAAGGGGTCGGATGTTATTGACAATAGGAGAAGAAAAAAAAGGGAATGAGGAGAATGACAGTGAATGAGAGAATGAAGGCGAATCAGAGAGAGAGTGTGTGTGTGTAAAAGAGAGAGAGAGGTGATAGCAACAGCTATAGTCAAGTGAGGGGTGAGAGTGGAGGCGGAGAGAAAGGGATGAGTGAGAGGAATGCAGAGAGTGGAGAGGAGTGTGGAGTGAAGGGAGAGTTAGAAGAGAACGATAAAGAAAAAAGAGAAAGAAGAAGAGGAGGAAAAAGGGAAGGGTGGCGATGATATAGTAGCAGGTTGACGGGTGAATAAAGAATGAGAGATAAACGAAAAGGAAGAAAAGGAAAAGGAAAAGGAACAAAGAAGGAAGGAGAGAAACGAGAGAAAGCGAGAAAGAGTCGTCGATGACCAGGGATAAAGTGCATTCGACACATCCAAAATAAAAAATAAAAATGTCCAGCAGACCCCATCACTGCCTATTTCACCCTTTTCGTTGCCAACATGTTACATGTTCAAGCGTCATTACAATAGCGCAAAAAAATGTCCAGCAGGTCTTTTTTATGAGCACTTTGGTTTTTCCCTTTATGTCTTATGTTGGTTAGTTCATTACATGGGGTGTTTTTCACTTTTCTTGGAGTGTACAATTGGCTGCCTGGCTAATAGAGGAAAGACGCTGGCTGAGTCAGGGCTGGGCCTCATCGACTCACGGCTGTATTGAAGTTGGACAAAGGGGAGGCAAAACAAAGGGGGAGATACGTGCGCAAGAAGGAATAGAGGAAAAAAAAGACAAACCCTCGGATTTTCGTTTCTCCCTGAGCCACTCTATTAGTCCACACCGAGGCCACATATGAGCACTTGTGGTCGTGGCTGCTGTTGTTGGTGTAAATAATGATGGTATTCATCCTTGTTCTTTCATTCATTTACTCTCTTTTCCTGTACTATTCTATCCGAGGGTGATGGTGATGGAAGGTGGCGAGGATACAATGTAGGAGTAGCAGGTAGGAGCAAAAAGAAAGGACAGGCAAAGGGAGTAAGGACATCAGGAGTAGACAGATGCAGGCAGATGAACAGAAAAGATGATGAATAAATACGATAGACTACTGACTATTGTGCATACCTGTTGACACCACAGCAGGTGGGGATGACAAAGGCCATCTTTTCTCAAAGCGGAAAAAAGGTGTCCAGATGGACAAAATGCCACCACAGAGAAAAAAGTCTACTGTACCAAAAAAAGGGCAGACAGACCGGAAAATTGCAGTGAGCCCTCCTCTCTTTTCTGTCACATTCAGACTTTTGTGTTCTATTGGCACAGTCGCAGCGCTAAAAAAGCTCAGTTCTCCCTTTCTCTCTTTCTTCTGATTACAGGCCCATGTGCGTCTTTTTTATTCGCTCTTTGTAGTATCATGGCTACTTGGTTAAACCTTGCCCACATCAATGTATGGTTACCTTCACACCAAAAGCAAGTCCGTAAAAAGAAGCAACATCGATATTCCTGACAGCAGACCCGTGGGGGATTAGTCCAACGAATGCCATTACACAACCAAATGAATAGCCAAGGAAAAAAAAATAAGAGTGTAATTGAACTCTGTCTCATCCGAAGAGCAGGGTAAAAACGAAGGTCTACTTGGCACCATCCAATGAACGTCCAGGGAGTAGAGGCTTGTCAACAGCGCAAATTTGGACTCTCCTTGGCATAGGGTAAACTGCGTCCTTGTTCTTAATCCCCTGTGCTCGTAGCACCATTCTTTTTCCGTGGTACACACACGAGTGGCAGGGCGGATAAAGTTGGTGCAGGGAATTAAGACGTTCAACCACTATTTACAGACACACACGCCCAACTACACATGCTCTATACACTACCTACACTGCCTCCTGTTCTTCTCATCATTCCCGAACTGCTCTACTATAAAAAAACAGCTTGTCTTTGGAGTCGATTAACAAGTGCTGTTTTTTCTTGGCCACCGATAAAGAGGATTTTTCTTTTTCCCCAGGATGAGTTGAGGCATTTTTTTTTGAGGATGCGGTGTGGTAGGGTAAGATCGGGGTTCACGAAAAAATAGATAAAATAGGGGGTATTCTCCCGCCCTGGTTATATGTCTTTGTTTCTTGTCTAGTTCCTTCGCCTTCACAAACAAGTTCTTTTTTTTCTAGAGAGAAGCGGATTCAGTCGTTGTTACCTTGATCCGTTGGACATAATGGGATGGGAAAGAGGGCTATTAAGACATGGGTAATATGTGGAGGACTCTGACACAGGGGCACAGGGGTCCTTTTCCAGGGGTGTTTTTCAGTCTTGAAGATGGAAGTATGAAGCAATGGAAAAATAGGACATGCAAGGAGAAAAAGGATAAATTGGTGGCAAATTAGAAAGGGACTTAATGCGTCTTAACTTGTTGGGGATGAAGAAAGAGCTTGTTGTCTGGCTTCTTCTCTTTTCACCAACTGATGGTACAAAGGTTAAAAGGAAGGATATTCCTATGGGGGCTTCGCCCAGACCATTTCTGAAGCATTAAAACATAGCCCTTAAGCCCAAGTCACGAGGGAGAAAAATCTTGCTCAGGCACATCTTTTTCCTCCTCCTCAAAGACATTGTTCGCCCTCGGTGCAGACTTGTGTGACAAGATCTGATTTGGACATGCCGACAAACATGAACAAAAAAAAAGAGCAATCCCTCCCCCTCCTTCCATCTCAAAATAAGCATAGGAAAACAATTGGGCAAAGTCGGGTTGCTTAATCGTATCTTTCTATGTTCGTCATTTGTTCTGGGGTTGCATCCCTGGCGTGGCTGCCCTTTTTTTCTTTCTTTCGCCCAAACCCGGTCGCTGTTTCAAACATCGATGAAGAAAAAAAAATGCTTAAAAGACTCTTCCTCCCTTCTCTTGTCATTTTCTTCTTCACTTTCCTTTGACCCTCTTTCCCTCATTCCTTACAACAACACACACACAACCTTCTCCAATTACCACTACCTTTCGTCCACTCTGCATACCTTACACACACAAACATGCCAAGTATCATCAATATCACCAACGACCACTTTTCTTCAGCACCCTCAGGGTTGGACTTCCTCTCTGACAGTGTTGCCTCCACATCATCCTTGCGCTCCAACAAGAATGACAACTCGACGACCATTCAGGAATTAAAAGACCGTGAACGTCGCCGTCGCCAATGGCTCGAGCCCGAAGACGAGGTATGTTAATCCTCCAGGCAAATTGAACAGTGCAATCATGATCCACATGCCAACCAACAACAAGCCGACTCAATTGCCTTTACTCTTCTCTTATCAGTTCTCGGTACCAATCCACACAGAGTCGCCATTGATCACAAAGAATCCCCTCGACATGTCATCCTTCCTCCTCAACTACCGTGCCATGCATCGATCTGTCGAGATCATGACCCCTCCTCCCTCCAAGAACCATGATGTAGGTTTCTATTGTTACATACCTCGGACCTCCTTTTTTCTCATAAATTTTTTTGTGCCTGTGTGTTGTGCGTGCGCTGCCCTCCCTTCCTTTGTTTACGGAAGGAAACTCGGAACACAAGGAAGAGGCAAGCCGCATTCTTCCATCCGATATGGACATTCATATACCACACTCCGCACGTGCGCTCCAAACGGCTTTTTTTTCTCTTCATAGTTCCACGGGTTAAAAATAACATACTAATAGAATTTACCTGGTGTTTACCTGATGTTTGCATATGTCATTTAGGGATTATCATCAACACCGCTGCACCCAACACTCCCCGATGGCCCAATCTATATCCACCACCGGTCAACCCTTGCCGAAAGCCCTCTCTCGAACGCCTTGTCGTCCTATACTCATTTGCAGCGATTTGATCACCAGTCTAATTCTGCTGTCCCAAGGTACGAGAAAAAACAACAACTAAATGGACCCCCACATGGTGTTGTTATATGGAAGTGTGACAATTGTTATCTCTTTGCTCCGCCCAATTAACACCTCATTTCTGATCTTGATATCGTAATATGATTAGTTCAAAGGGTCCAGACTGTCGGATGAGCCGCGTGCTTTCCAACTCAGCACAACAGCAATCAGGAGCAGGAGGAGCATTGGCCAAGGAGGACCAGGACCGATACCACAGCTATTCACAGGACTCTGCATCATCATCTCCACGATTTACCCAATCTCGAAACAACGATCCATCGTCAGGAGAGCACTCGTTCTTGGAATCCCATATCGCGTCCATCAACCAATGGCTCGCCACCAACGCCATCTAAGCATTGCAGCGGAAAAAAATGACCCGACGCACTGGAACAAACTCATTTTTTTTTTTTGCTCTTCGGCATCAGATCTTATTTTGATTTTCTTATCATCATATCATACACATACCACACCATACCTGTATTCAATATCTCAGCCCCCCTCCTAATTGAATATGTGCTCGAGCCTACGGCACGCCACCCTTTTTTTTTTTTGTCTTATCTGTATCATTTTTTTTCTGACCGTTGGAAGGGTGGACATGAGGCTACTCTTTCTTCTTTTCAATTCAGTCAAAAGCAATTCATTCCAGCCATCATTGTAACAACATAGTAATATCTCCCTTTAGAATAATAAACACCGCACAGCATATCAATTTCATGGACAACATAGACGAGAGAGAGAGAGAGAGAGAGAGAGAGAGTGATAGTCGATCATTTTATTTCGATCTTTTTTGTGGGGTATTGAAATGAACTACAAACGAAAGCAAATGTTTTTGTTGTTTCTTTTTGTGTTTGGTACTGAAAGGGAAGTTTTTGGTATTGAAGTGAAAGCAAAGAACAGAGAAAAGACAGAATTTTGGGGGGGTGGGAGTTGAATGAACTGAAGGTATGGGTGTATTTTTTGGGAAGGTGGTACTGAATGGCACTGAGAACGTTTTTTTGGTTAAAAGGGAATAGGCATACAGGATGATACATGAGGGAAAAGAACAAAAAGTATAAAAGGGCATGAGGCACATAGCAAGTAAAAGGAAGGATTGGCGACTGAGATACAAGGTGACACCGAGAAATGAAGATACAAAAGGTCTGCTCAGCCACAATGGAGGTGGAAAAAAGAAAGAATGGAGGAGGAAAAAAAAAGAAACTTTTGGCGGATGGAAGGGTATGTCGCGATCGGGTCGAAAAGTAGGCCGGTTAGCGAAAAGGAGGGAAAAAAATATACAAAAAGAGAAGGCTGGGAGGTGTTGGCTTCCCGTTAGTCGGATGAGGTGGCTGGTGTCAGTCTCGGGTCGCACGATAGGGAAAGAGAAACCGTGCCGAAATCGCCTGTCATTAGGAGTGAGAAAAAAAGGGAAAAAGTCATCGTAGAGTCGAGCCCCGTCAGAAATCCGTATCCCGAAAGATGTTGTCGATTTCCTGCGCCGGCATTTTACTCGTGGTTGCGGCGATGACCCCCAACCGCGGGAACGGTGGCGGTGGTGTAGTTGGAAGAGTCCTCAGAGTTCTGTCTCCAGCTACGGGAAGCAGCAGCGGCGGCGGCGGCATCGTTCGAGAACTGGGACGACTGTGACATCATGGCAATCATCTCCTCCATCGACATGGCAGAGCGGGGTGCAAACTGAGCGGAATCCTCGATCGAGACCAAGTTAGCGGGCTGAGTGTACTGAAGGGAAGACATGTTTGTTGTTGTTGTGTTGTTGGGTGGTTGGTTGTAGAGTTGGTTCTGTCTGGCCTGAAAAGAAGGTCCTGTACTGTGTGTTGTGTTGTGAAAAATTCGAATGTATCGAGCAGAGTGTGTTTGTTGTGTGTGTTGTTTGTTCCTGGGCTGGGCGCGGGAAGCTGGCTGACTGTTGGACGAGATAGACGTTCGTGTGTAACCCGAGACGCGGACAGGCATTAAGGTGAGCATGGTCGCGGTTGAAAAAAAGGGGAGTGAATGTGCAAATGAATGGACATGCCCATTGAATAAGAAAGAAAAGAAAGAAAAGAAAAAAAAAAACGAGTGTTGTTAGTAAACAGTCGTCAACAGTCGATTTTCATTTTTTATGCTTTCCAATCAAAAATTGCTGTTAGCCTGGCTCGATCCCTCCCTCTTTTTCTTCTCTCATCTCTTTTCTTCTCTTCTCTTCCTCCCTTCTCTCTCTCTCTCTCTCTCTTAATCTTCTTCCCTTGCTCCTTCTCCTTGACACCCCTGTTTCCCAATAACCCGCTTCTCTTCCTTTCCCTTCTCCCCCCCTGCTTCCTTCTCCCTCCCTCCCACTCCTTTTCTCTGTCACTGTCTTGTCGGTTCCCTTCCCCCCCTCGTTCTCATCACTCCCGCCGCCTATTTCAGTTGACAGCGTCTCATCTCATTCCTCTTTTTCCTCCAACTTCTCTGTCTTATTGTTTTCTTTTTTCCGTTGTCCAGATATGTTGATCTTCCTGTTGCAGTCGGCTGTTGTTAGTGTTATTCCTCCTTGTTCCTTTTTGTCATCTTCATGCCTTGTCGCTCTTCCTTTGCACTCCCTCTCCCTCCTCCAGCCCTCTTGAGTTTCTACTCGACACGACATTCTTTTGCTCTGAGTAAGAACAACAAACTGAAAATCTCTCGAAACTCTAAAACGAAAACATTTCGTAAAAGGGTCTTCTCTTCCTTCCTTCTCTCTCTCCAGGAAACCAGGTAGGCAGGGTGAAATAAAGGGAAATGATAAAAAAAGGAGTTTTGGAATGAAAGACATAAAAAGCAAGATAGAATGCCAAAAGCGTCCAAAGAAAAAAGAGTAACGAGATGGAAGAGGAAAAGGGGAGGAGAAAAAAGAACCAAACCAAATCCCAGAAAAAATAAGTGAGAGAGATGCACCCACCCACCTGTACCCCCAGGAGAAGCATTGTTTCGCCAAACCCTTTTTTTTTGTTACCAACTTAATCTCGCTCTTACAACTCCTCTTTTTTTTTTTCTTCTCGTTCGTTCGAGTCGAATCGCATCCACTCCGCTTGTTTCGTATCATATTGCTATCGTTTCGTTTCATTCTCGTTCCATGATATGCCTTTCTCTCTCTTCCTTTTGTTTTGTCTTTTCTAGTCGCGTTGTTGCTGTTGTTCCAATGTAATGCGACTTCTCCCGTTTGTTCCTCGGGTTTTAGCTGTTCCCTTTCCATCCTTTCTTTCCTTTCCACTTTCCGAATTTTTCTGTGAGTCTTTGCAATTACCTTTTTGTGAAAGTAAAAAAAAAAAGGCTTGGTCGGTTTAAGTGTTGAGAGCGGGTTGAACTTGTTGACTTTGTTGGATTAGACTCCTGTTAATTTGTTTCCTGTGTCCTGGATCCTGCGGTTGGTTGGTGAAGATAAAAGGGGTCGGTCGGCGAACGGTTGATGATCGAGGCGAGCGGTTATGACTTGCTGGACGGTCTTAAAGAGTTAGACGGCGGTGGGGAAAAAAAACGAGCGGACGGTGACGGTGACCGGTAGTGATGATGCGAGCGAGGAGGGAGTGACGGTATGAGAGGGCTCTTGGGGACGATTTCCACTTGATCGGAGGTGTCTGTGTGTCTGTGAACTTGAATGTGTGACCTTGGATCGGGATGGCCGTTAGGACTTGATGTGGACGGACGGTATGTGGTTACTTGACGGAGGAAGTGTGAAAAGGGTTTCTTGAAACTTAGACTTGAGTGGTTGGGACGAGACTTGGACTTGAGACTTGGGCTAGAGACTTGCGGTGGAGGACTGGCTGGCTGACTGGCTTGGTTGGGTAGATCTTGGTAGGGGAGGAGGAGGGTGGGCTGGCTTGCGGATGGTGGTGATGGGTTGAGGGAGAAGGAGAGAAAGGAAAGAAGAGAAGAGAAAGCCGATTGATGAAGAAAGTGGCCTTTTATACGAGTTTTTTTCTGTTGTTGATTGTTTTTTGTTGATGAAGGAGAGAAAAGGAGAGGGTAGTGGTAAGTTGGCGTGAGTGTTTGTGTGTGTGGTGGTGGTTGCTGGGTGAGTGATAGTCGGGTGTCTGTTTGCGTCTGTGTATTGTGTGTAAATTGTGTGCGTGTCCATTTTACCACAGTCCAGTCAAATAAATGAAATAAGTCAAAAAGTAACAATGAAGAGGAGTCAATCAAACACAGTTGCTGGTTGATGATTGATGATGATGATGATGATGATGGCGGTGGTGATGACTGATGCACCCAAAAGAAGAAATATTAACCCACTCTGGGGGCAAAGTAAAAAAAAAGGATACAAAAGGGGGGACTGACAAGCAGGAGCATCAAATGCACGATGAATGCCGCTGCTTTATTCTTTCTCTCCTCTCTCTCTCTTTTTTTTTCTCTTGTCCTTTAACATTTTCCCTTTTTTCATTTCGTTTTTGTCCCTCCTTCCCTCTCCTCCCCCCTATTGAATACAAATAAAAACAAAAGTAAGCGCGGGTCGGGGTGTTTGTTATCAAAAGGGAAATCCGTTCAATTGGACTCATTAGAAGAAGGAGTGGGAAGGGCGGAAGTACAGACAGGACGGGCAGGACAGGACGGACAGGATAGACGGAACTCTTTTCCTCTCTGCTCATCATCATCAATTCATCAACAACAAAAGAAAAGAGGAACTTATTATTTTAAAGGGTTCGCGGAAAAAACTTTGAAGGGAAAAGGGAAAATGAAGGGATAAAGGGATCGTCGTTCTTGTTGATGCCGTTGATGTTTTCCAGCTGGGCTGAACTGGACTTAATGTTGGTTCCTCTCCACCGACCGGGCTGCACGGAACTCGGACACGGACTTGATCTGACTCGCTCTGACTCGCCTTAACTTGAACGCGCTTAGTCAGGAAGATGTTTTTTCTACTGGTCAAGGAGGTAATGAATAACACGAAAACCAGAAAAAAGTCAAAGGGCAAGGGGAAATGAGTTGGAGGGAAGAATGGACATGAAGGGCGAGAGGTATTGAAGGATGGGCACGCAAAGGAATGATGTTAGATGTTTGCGTAGAACGTCAGCATGAAAAATGCAACGGCATTCGACATGATGACAACGAGCGAGAGGGCGCAACGGATGATGAGAACAAGCATATATGAGCAAGGAGGAAAGGTAAGCAACTACTGTCAGCAACTGCAATGTCGAGAGCAGCAACACGACAACGATGATAGCAAACGGCAGAAGAGAAAAAAACCGATTGAGTTGATTGAAATCTCGGTCATTCATTCGTGCATTCGTGCATTCATTCATTTCCCTTGCTATCATTCCAGTTCATGCTTAAACCATGGTGCAACACCTGCAGCTACAAGCAAGGCGGATTTTGTACTTCTTTTCTTTCCTTTTCATTCGATTCAATGAAAACTTTGAAAATGTAAGCAAAGGGTAAGGGCAGCTCACCGACAGTCAATGACTGGGCTGCTTTTTTTTTTGTCTTCCACCCCTTTTGTTTCCCTTTACCCCTCGCGTCTGGAATAAATAATTGAGTTTACCGTTAACGCGTGCAAGATGAACAAAAGTGAGGGGTGAAAGAGAGACAAGAGAATAGGAGAAAAAAGAACGAGAACAGCGAGAGCAACAGAGAAAAGGAAGCGGACCAAAAAACCAAGAATGAAGGCTATGTTGATGGCGTCTCGTTCTGTTGCTCTCAACGCTTCACAGCAACAACAGCAACAACAAAAAAATCTGGCTTCGATTGCTCACTCCATCACATTCTTCTCTCCGGCTCTCAAGGCAACAAACATTTTTTTTTCTCTTTGCTTTCCCTCCGAACACGCATAGCAGTAGCAGAAACAACAATAGAGAGAGAGAGTGAGCGCTTGTGTTCTCGAAAAGGCATGATATGACATGGGGAGGGCATCGGGGATTACAAGAAGGTTGAGAAGAGGCAGGGCACAGTTAGTTGTAGGGCAGTTTAGGAATGTGCTTCTTTCGTCGTAGCTTTGCTTTTATTCTCTCGTTTTTTTTTCCCTTCAACAACATCATCATCACCATCATCGCCATCCTTCTCCTTGTTTCTAATGTCCCTTACTCCTTGTTATGAAATAATTATTAGGCTGAAATGCATCCTTGAAGCTGAGAAAAAAAGGGTATCGATCGGCGTAAAATGGCCGAGTGACAAGGTAGGAAAAAGAGACAGGGGCCAGATCGTTCCGTTCGAGACACACACAGAGAAAAAAAATGGAAAAAACACGTTACGTTGGCTACTTGGCCTGATGGAGAGGGTGAGGATGCATTACGCAAAAAAAGAGACCGGGAACCCTTTCCAAATGCCTCGGGTACTCTCGTTTTAGTTCAAAAGATAGCGTCTCTTTACTCTCGCAAAGACAGGGGGTGAGTGAGAGAGAAAAGGAAAAAAAGTAAAGAGAGTAAGAAGAAAGTAAGAGAGATGTGTATGTTGCGCATTTTGTTTATTCAGTGTGCGGTGTATGAAGACGGCATTTGGGCGTAGTTCGTTTTTTTGTGTTTGCGATATTCAATCCGCCCATTCATTCATCCAATCCGATGCCCAATCTATGCTCTGTCATTCTCTCATGCCTTTTGCTCTCTCCCTCTCCGACCGACCGGCGGACAGGACAGACCCCCTCGTCTCCCCTTTTTTGTGCAATGGTGGCTGCATCATTTTTGCTCCTTGGCCAATGCGAAATGCATTGGAATGGTACACAAAGATCAGGGAGACAGAGCGAGCGAGAGAGCGAGAGGGGGAAAGGGAGACAGAGAGAGAGATTTTCCATGTAGGGTTCTATTCGTCCA